AATTCATTTTCTGAATTTCCGCGATATAAATGAAATCAAATCTTAATAGAATCCTTGAAGATATAAAATTTCAACGACCCCCCCGTAGACTATTGAGATCCCACAAATCCCGCAGATACCACAAATACCATAATAACAGAACAACGTTAGAGATGGAAAGAATGCATCAAAATCGTCGAAACATTTTTGGTCGGGGAGAAACCCCACAAAACCCCTCAGACCCCGCAGACCCCACGAACCCCACAGAACATACAGACCCGACAAACCCCGCAGACACTACAAACACCGCGAAACCCTGCTATTCCACAGATCCCACAAAACCCTCAGCACCCCACAGACCCCACAAACGCAATAACAGAACGCAGCGTAATAGGCACAAACATCGCATCACAGTGGCCATGCAATCTAAGCGAGGGGGGCACGGGCGGGGGCTCCAGAAATGTTCGGAATATTTTGGGAAGGGGGGCTCCCAAAATGTTCGGAACATTTGGAGCCTCTAGCTTTTCGAAGGGGCTCTAAATGTTCGGAACATTCACAGCCGCTAGGACCGCAAGTGACGCCGGCGTTTTATTGATGTATTCAAACACCCCCACCCGGGCCCACCCAGGAGTACCCAATGCGCCTTCGTTTCAAGTAAGTAGCAATTCCGTCTTCCGTGCTCGACGGGATGTCCAAGTCGTCCACCCTTCAAGCTAAGCGCTGAAACGCTTCCTTATCTATCATGTGAAAAATGATGTGCTTGCGCACTCAGAGCTTGCCGACCTCAGCACGGTCATGCCCGCCAAGCACACAGCTGCCATGTGCGGCCAAGACATGCCCCACAGCAAGTTCAGTGGGCGGCGTTGAACATGCGCACCAATCCGGCAATGAAGAAGCCCAAAAAGAAGATGGCGAAGACCTGAAGGAAGTAGCGCCGTCGCGTTGGTCACGGAGCTCGACATATCTTTCTTATAGTCGCTTAGTGCTGCACCAGACCAAACTGGTTAAGCTCCTGCAAGTGCGACAAACTTATGCAGAAGAACCAAATACGGAACTTGCAAATGCGAGCATGCAGCTTCAAAACGAAATTGATGTAAGCCTGATCCTCATGCTTCGTTCAACACTGACCATTAAACCTCCAGCTCTCCGTCTCAGAGAATGCGTGCGCTGGCTCTGGAACGGATCCGATCAACGCAGCCGCGGCGCCTGAATCACACAGCGGCTCGTTCAGTCTGTAACAGTCGCATCTGGTCGGCAAAAGATCCTCTGTTTAAACTGCCGCAGAATTACATGCCAAAACCTAGGGCCCAAATCATCCCAAAAGCAGGACGTGGTTGACTGTTGTGACGCGCTTTCATTGTCATTCGTTGCTGCAGCATCTTCTACACCTGCAAACCAGTCCTGTGCCCGAGTCTTTACGCATGATTCCAACTACAGCGGACGGAATCCAGATACATCAACACAGCCAGGGTGCCAGAGGTGAGCACAGCCTTAGGTGCACCATCTGAGCGTCAGGGGCTTTTGAGCTAGCTGCGCAGCAGGGTCACTTCATGAAAGCTCCCCTAGCAACAACAGAGACAAGTAGCCGAGCCCCGCAAAGACGGCTCCACCTTGTTGGCTGCCGGCACGAAGCTGGGGGCCAGGGTCAGGAAGGCCACCACGACAGCCAGGGGCCTGAGCTGCTTCTTCTGGGAGACCGCCGGCTGGTTCGCGATCCCACGCTTCATAATCTGGTGCCGTGTCGGAGAGCCGGGCACCGGGGGCTCACATGATGGTATTGACAAGCCAGTCTTGCTGCCCAGCGTCAGGAGGATCGTTGCAGATCGGAGCGCCATCTTCCGACCTGTCGCATGTCGAGTCTACTTCAGTCCAGCTACCTCCTGCAAGTCGCGCCAGCGGAGCTTGCAGGCAAGGTGCTAACTCGGCAGCAAGGCTTGGCCAGAAGCTGTAATATCGTGTCCGCGCAGCTAGCCGCTTGAACCCGAAGCACATGCCGTGAACGCAAACCATGCTCCATCGTGCTCCCTGCTTTCTACTGCCTCCGGTTCTTCTGGTTCCTGGCCTCGCGAAATAACAACTGCACCGGAAACTTTTTGGTACTCCGCCTGCTCTGCCCCTTGTCACGACAAAAACCTGATCTCAAGAGCAGCAACATTCATCTCCAACTCACAGCTTTCCAACCTCAGCTGAAAAACGACATGTGAACCACATACGGACCTTTGCGTCGAAGGTGCCAAGAGCTGCCTGTCGCTATCCAGTGCGAAGCATCCCGAAGCCAATGGCAAGCGAGTGGCGTTGAACATGCGGACCAAGCCGGCAATAAAGAACCCGAGGAAGAAAATCGCAAACACCTTTGCCCAGGCGTCTCATGCGTCGGCTTCGGTGCTCGCGAAGCTCCGGTGTTTTCCATGACAGCATCTCTCTCCCTATACAAGTAGCTTGCTCTGGACCGTTCAGTCGTTAAGCCTGTTGTCCTAAGCTCTGAACTTGAGTCAGCCTCTGACTGCAAGCCCTTGGTCTCTGAGGTTTCCGCCAAGCCGAACTGGTTCAGCTCCTCTTCCCGAACAAGGCAGCATCGCATGGTCTCAAGGCTTCCGGGTTCTGGCGACTCGGAGGCGGCTTGTAAGGAATTGACCAAGCACCCACGCATTGACCCCCCCGCCCGTATGTGCGCGCCGAACGATTTATGTGATAAGATTCCAGGCTCGAACACAGCCTTCTGACTATCGCTTCATGCGCTTCAATCGGCAAACGCAGCCAGCAACACAACCGAAACCCTACACCCTCAATTCGTCACGCGGATGCTCCGTCTCAGAGAACGCTTGCGCTGGCTGAGGGGCGGCGGCGACAAGCGCTGCGGCTGCGCCTGCACACAGAGCTTTGGGTGGGTCCCCACAGACGCGGGAAGCTGCTGAGGTGTACTGATCCCGGCGAGCTGCAACCACCATGGTTTTTCTCAACAAGTCAACCCCAGGGGCAGGTGTAGGCATCCGTAGTATGCTTTTCTCTGAATGCTTCAACGCAGGCCGGCATGCACCCAACCCAAAATACCAAACGATGCCTGCTGCGGAGGTTGCCTGGGCCGAGGGCTCTGCTTCACGAAAACCGGTGCAGCTGGCTTAGTCTTCTCTTCTTCTTAAGCACCTAGAATCTAGAATCTAGAAATTGGAAATAAAGCTTGATTCCTGCGAGCTATGCCCATCGGCCAAGGCACCGCAGGTCCCCTCAGGGACGGCTCCGCCTTGTTGGCTGCCGGCACGAAGCTGGGGGCCAGGGTCAGGAAAGCCACCACAACTGCCAGGGGCCTCAGCGAGATGCTTTGGGCTGCTTCGTGGCTCTAGCGGGCTTGGGATTGGAGACTTCTTCCGCATCTCTTCTCTTGCGCGCCAAACACTCCCAGCCAATGCCGAGTTGCAGGACAACAGTGGATGATCGGAAAGCCATCTTTCACCTTCAGCTTGGGCGCTTGATATCAAAGCTAGCAGCGGCCAGTATCGCCACAGGATGCGCATCAAATGTGCCCGGTTGTGGATCAAAGGCTTGTCAAACTTGAGAAACTGGCCGTACGTAATCCGCAAGCTCGAGGCTATAAGTCACGAGCAGCACACATCCCCGACACAGGCCCCCCAGGCTCCGTCTCACCCTGATGCCGAAGTTCAAAAGAACCCAAGGTCTGAGGTGCGACATGAGCCCCAAGCGCCACAAGCTGAAAGTCATTGCCCCCTCCCTGCCCCCCTGCGCGGCGCCTTCCAGCAGCACGCTTCGGAGCCGGAGAGAGCAAGGAGCAGGCAGCGAACTTTCGAGCAAAACGGCGGCGGTGGGAGCTTACGATGCCGAGGACTTGTGGGCGTCGTGCTGCGGCTGCTGCTGCTGGTTGGCTGCAGATGAGCAAGCAACGTGGGACTGGCTTCGAGTGCGCTGTGCCACGCGGCTTTTCTGGTGCAGACTTCTTTCATGGTTTGGGGTTTAGGCACGAGGGGCTAAATGCATGTAATGGGGGATAGCTTGCTGCGGAGATCGCATGTACGCTTCGCTAGGGTTCCGCACTCTTTGTCCGTTGAAAGTTGAAAGCATGTCTGCAGGCTCTGCAGGGCTCTGAGGTGCTCTGCGACGCTCCACAGGGCTCTGCAGCTGAACTTTCAGGGAATGTGCAAACTACGCACAACAAGAGCATCAGAGTCCGGGAGCAAACACGGGCATCAGAAGAACACCTTCTTACGAGCACGAGCACTATGTGCTAAGCTAAGTGCTCCCAACTACAAGCCGCACCTGCAATACCTACTACAAGTAGAGAAGATGCGAAGTGTGCTGGTTGACCGCTTGCCCGGAAGTGGCGACCCGCATCCGGGTCTACAAAATCCCTTTCCGATTTCCTATAGCCACGGCTCTAAGTCAAGGGTAATCTGCATGTATTTGGTTACTGCAGAGCTTCCTTTCCCCGGACAACCGGCTCGCAGGGGCAGGAAACCCCCGGCCCAGGGGTGAGCCACTATGGGGGGTTTAGGTCGTGCAGAACATCGCGGAGCGAATGGGCCGAAAAGGGCACCTTTTTCGGCTGCGTCTAAAGCATTAAGGTCCCATCAGCAACCATGGGCAAGATGCATCAAAAGCAATAACGAATCAAGGTCCCTGCGCGCTCGCGGGATTGGAGAGCACGAACGCACCCGTGCATCCTGTGATTGGCTACTTGTGAATGTGCAGCGGTTGCTGCAACCTGAACTGACCGTCTCTGGTGTTTCAAGTCTTTCTGCAGGGTTCTTCAGATGCAGGTGCTTCATCTATATTGGGATTGGGGCACATCGCCTCATTCGTAGCGTTCGAGCGCTTTTTCAAGCTGTCACGTGCTGGCGGAAAGGTGTTCTTTCTGCGAGCTATCGGGCCAGGGAGGAGTCAAACAGGTCGTCGAGCCTCTGGAGCTTTGCGATTTCCGAGTTTGGGATCGGTGGCCGAAACCGACGACAGTTCTGCATCTGGCAAGGACACGACGTGAGAAATCGTGAGAGGTCACAAGCGAGACCCGACAGAAGTCACAAGCGAAGCCGCTACCTTTACCGTGTCTTATTCGAATGCTCTGATGTCGAAAAGCAAGTTCGTCTTGATCGCATGCACTAGCACGCGCTTTCTGGGCTCGACGGGATGTCCAAGTCGTCCACCCTTCAAGCTAAGCGCTGGAACGCTTCCTTATCTATCATGTGAAAAATGATGTGCCTGTGCACTCAAAGCTTGCCGACCTCAGCACGATCATGCCCGCTAAGCACACAGCAGCCATGTGCGGCCAAGGCATGCCCCCAGCATGCTCAGTAGGTGACGTTGAACATGCGCACCAATCCGGCAATGAAGAAGCCCAAAAAGAAGATGGCGAAGACCTGAAAGGAGTGGCACCGTCGCGTGGGTCACGCAGCTCAAGACGCTAACAACTTATGTCAGTCCAATCGTGGCTCAGTGCTGAACCAGACCAAACTGGTTGAGCTCCTGCAGTTACCACCAGACATGATTGACTGCTGAAGACAATTCTTACTGGTCTGCCTCAGCACTTCAGCGACACTCACTATCGTGCTGTCGTCAACGTTACGAGTAGAACCACGTAATGGAACTTGCAAATGCCTGAACGTATTAGTCAAGGCATTTAACCCTGATCCTCATGCTTCGTTCAACACAGACCATTAAACCTCCAGCTCTCCGTCTCAGAGAATGCGTGCGCTGGCTCTGGAACGGATCCGATCAACGCAGCCGCGGCGCCTGAATCACATAACGGCTGGTTCAGTCTGTATAACGTCGCATTTAGTCGGCAACAGAACCCCTGGGAAAAAACCTCCGCAGAATTACATGCCAAAGCCTAAGGCCCAAATCATCCCAAAACCAGCATGCGGTTGACTGTTGTGAGGCTCTTTCATTGTCATTCGTTGCTGCAGCATCTTCTACACCTGCAAACCAGTCCTGTGCCCGAGTCTTTATGCATGATTCCAACTACAACGGACGGAATCCAGATACATCGACACAGCCAGGGTGCCAGAGGTGAGCACAGCCTTAGGTGCACCATCTGAGCGTCAGGGGCTTTTGAGCTAGCTGCGCAGCAGGGTCACTTCATGAAAGCTCCCCTAGCAACAACAGAGACAAGTAGCCGAGCCCCGCAAAGACGGCTCCACCTTGTTGGCTGCCGGCACGAAGCTGGGGGCCAGGGTCAGGAAGGCCACCACGACAGCCAGGGGCCTGAGCTGCTTCTTCTGGGAGACCGCCGGCTGGTTCGCGATCGCACGCTTCATAATCTGGTGCCGTGTCGGAGAGCCGGGCACCGGGGGCTCACATGATGGTATTGACAAGCCAGTCTTGCTGCCCAGCGTCAGGAGGATCGTTGCAGATCGGAGCGCCATCTTCCGACCTGTCGCATGTCGAGTCTACTTCAGTCCAGCTACCTCCTGCAGGTCGCGCCAGCGGAGCTTGCAGGCAAGGTGCTAACTCGGCAGCAAGGCTTGGCCAGAAGCTGTAATATCGTGTCTGCGCAGCTAGCCGCTTGAACCCGAAGCACATGCCATGAACGCAAACCATGCTCCATCATGCTCCCTGCTTTCTACTGCCTCCGGTTCTTCTGGTTCCTGGCCTCGCGAAACAACAAGTGCACCGGAAAGCTTTTTGGTACTCCGCCTGCTCTGCTCCTTGTCATGACAAAAACCTCATCTCAAGAGCAGCAACATTCATCTCCAACTCACAGCTTTCCAACCTCAGCTGAAAAACGACATGTGAACCACATGCGGGCCTCTTTTGCGTCGAAGGTGCCAAGAGCTGCCTGTCGCTATCCAGTGCGAAGCATCCCGAAGCCAATGGCAAGCGAGTGGCGTTGAACATGCGGACCAAGCCGGCAATAAAGAACCCGAGGAAGAAAATCGCAAACACCTTTGCCCAGGCGTCTCATGCGTCGGCTTCGGTGCTCGCGAAGCTCCGGTGTTTTCCATGACAGCATCTCTCCGTACATAGTCAGCTTGCCCAGAACCCCTAGACCATTTAGGCGGTGAGATTGTTCTCCTAAGCTCTGAACTTGAGTCAGCCTCTGAGTCCGTAAGCAGCGTGCTGCAAGCCCTTAATCTCTGAGGTCTCCGCCAAGCCAAACTGGTTCAGCTCCTCTTCCCAAAACAAGCAGCATCGCTAGGTCTGGAGCTTCCGGGTTCTTGCGACTAGGCAGGGGCTGCGGTGTCTGTGGAGGCAGCAAATAAGGATTCTATCCAGCAGTTAAGCCTTGGGCCCCGAACTTCAAACCCGACCCCTCGCCCACGCGCATGCTGAACTGAACGATTTATATGGTGCGGTTCCCAGCTCGACCAGAGCCTAGTTCATGTACTTCAATCGGCAATCGGCAAACGCAGCCGGACCTAGCAACCGAAACCCTACACCCTCAATTCGTCACGCGGATTCTCCGTCTCAGAGAACGCTTGCGCTGGCTGAGGGGCGGCGGCGACAAGCGCTGCGGCTGCGCCTGCACACAGAGCTTTGGGTGGGTCCCCACAGACGCGGGAAGCTGCTGAGGTGTACTGATCCCGGCGAGCTGCAACCACCATGGTTTTTCTCAACAAGTCAACCCCAGGGGCAGGTGTAGGCATCCGTAGTATGCTTTTCTCTGAATGCTTCAACGCAGGCCGGCATGCACCCAACCCAAAATACCAAACGATGCCTGCTGCGGAGGTTGCCTGGGCCGAGGGCTCTGCTTCACGAAAACCGGTGCAGCTGGCTTAGTCTTCTCTTCTTCTTAAGCACCTAGAATCTAGAATCTAGAAGTTGGAAATAAAGCTTGATTCCTGCGAGCTATGCCCATCGGCCAAGGCACCGCAGGTCCCCTCAGGGACGGCTCCGCCTTGTTGGCTGCCGGCACGAAGCTGGGGGCCAGGGTCAGGAAAGCCACCACAACTGCCAGGGGCCTCAGCGAGATGCTTTGGGCTGCTTCGTGGCTCTAGCGGGCTTGGGATTGGAGACTTCTTCCGCATCTCTTCTCTTGCGCGCCAAACACTCCCAGCCAATGCCGAGTTGCAGGACAACAGTGGATGATCGGAAAGCCATCTTTCACCTTCAGCTTGGGCCCGCTTGATATCAAAGCTAGCAGCGGCCAGTATCGCCACAGGATGCGCATCAAATGTGCCCGGTTGTGGATCAAAGGCTTGTCAAACTTGAGAAACTGGCCGTACTTAATCCGCAAGCTCGAGGCTATAAGTCACGAGCAGCACACATCCCCGACACAAGCCCCGCAGGCTCCGTCTCACCCTGAGCAGAATGCCGAAGTTCAAAAGAACCAAAGGCCTGAGGTGCGACATGAGCCCCAAGCGCCACAAGCTGAAAGTCATTGCCCCCTCCCTGCCCCCCTGCGCGCCTCCTTCCAGCAGCACGCTTCTGAGCCGGAGAGAGCAAGGAGCAGGCAGCGAACTTTCGAGCAAAACGGCGGCGGTGGGAGCTTAGGATACCGAGGACTTGCGGGCATCGCGCTGCGGCGGCTGCTGCTGCTTGGCTGCTGAAGAGCAAGCAACGTGCCACGGAGGGTTTCTGGTGCAGCCTGTGCCAGGACAAGGTACAGATCACAGCCTCGAAACGGACGACTCCGCCCGGCTACCCATTGCTCGCAAGGGGCTGTAGTTGACCCCTGACGGCAGGGAGTTCGGGAGGGCGTAAAAGGCATCGAGGCTACCGGACTACGAAAGCATCTCACCCGGCTTTGGCTGAGCCGCCAAGTCTTTGACTGGTGGCTTGCCAAGAGCCTCGAACTTGTGGGGGAACTGTTTGCCTTCGAAGGTGGGTAGATGAAGCTTCTCATGGTGGAGGGTGATGGACTTTCGTCCAAAAGCATGCGGCACCGAGCTTCTGAGAGGCCGCGCCGCGGCGGGGGGGAACTCGGGTCCCGAGCTCACACGGGCATTCTCCTTCAAAAGCCCCTCGATTTTGGCGACGGATCTCTTCAGGGACTCCTCCATGCTGGCGTGCAGGTACCGCCTCGCCACTCCCATACTTTTTACTCCATCGCGTGTCTCTGTCTGAGTCTAAGTAGTATAGTATTACTATAGCTATAGTACCATTCTAGTATAGTACTACTATAGAATAGGATTATTATAGTATAGTACTGTAGCTACTGTTAGGCTCTGTTATGCACATTTGTTGGCCGGCTCAGAGCTGCCGAGATGCTCCGTACGCGAGAGCTCGCTCCTTAAGTGACGCACGAGATCCTCGGAGTGCTGCAGGGGATCATCCTGGCAAGCCAGCAGGGCAGGCAATGAAGAACCAAATCAAACCATTCAGCATGCCGCATGCCCGTTTAGCGGAACACGGACGTCCGCTGAACCAGAAGGACTCCTCGACGTGCTCGGCGGGAAGACTAGCAAGCTGCTTGCCAAGGTCTGAGGGGTCTATCGGAGGTTCCGTCCTTAGCTGGTCTAAAAATCGCCTTGCACAGTCAAGCGGGAAGAGGATGAGATGGAGTCCAAGCATCCTGGGGTGGGACGGGAAGGGTGGGAAGACGGGAGCGGAGGCTGCAGGCGGCTCGATGACCTCTGACTCGGGCACGCTGTGAACCTCAGCTCCGGCTCCGCAGCAATCGCATGTCGTAGGCACCGAACAGCGCCTTTTCGGCTCAGGCGCCTCTGCGTCGCTTTTGCTGACGCTTCGTGGGGTCGCATCTCCCTCGCTGCCGTTCGGGCACATCTTGGAGGTCAGAGTGTCGAGGCGGTCCGAGAGACTCCGCAGGTAGAAGTCGGAGAGGTCTCGGGCGAGGTACAGACGTATACGGTGGCAGTCCACGCGAAGTCTCGATTATGCGGAGATGAAACTCAAGGCATCCTAAGTCTAGGGTTTACGGTTCAGGGTTTAGGGACCAACCTTATCACGAACAGGAGTGCTATCTACACAGACTTGCTGTGTTGCATTGTGTTGCCAGGACACAGAAGAGTTCCTCCTGCTGCGCCTGCATCTTCATGAGGTTGTATTTCACGAAGCGCCTCCAACTCTTAGCGAAAATCAAGGAGCATCGACCTTTAATTAAGTTTTCGGATCCAAGATTAGCAGCGTCATGTGTGAACAACGGTGCTGCGTCAACTTGTCTTTCGCTGAAGGGACTCTTGAAGCAGCTGTCCTAGCCAAATCCGCGGAAAAACTCAAGCTCAAGTCCGATCCTACCACAATTACCGAGGCTTCACGCCTCCGAGCTTGAACAATCCACCAACCATTCCAAACCTTACCCTCCGAAAGCCCCTTTACGTGTTCAATTTAGGGCTGTTTCTCTCTCGCTCAACCGCTAAACGCACAGCACCTGGGTGGTACAGGTAGCAATCTCACTTCCCAAAACTGACGCTCCGGAAAACCCCACTGCCCTGGGCTTTGGGATCCTCGGGTCCACGGGTCACACGCGGTTGCGGTGGCAGGGTCCAAGGCCGGCAACATCTCGTGAGAGCCGAGTCTCGGCGCCGTCTTCGAGTCCCTCGCCCATCTGCTAAGGGGCCCGATGAACTCCTTAGGGAGCCGCTTCTTAGGTTCGGAAGAAGGCCTGGGCATGATAAGGACTGAACTCCAAGTCCCCAAGTCCCTCACCAGGAGGCCTCATAGAGACAAGACTACTGAGGGGTCAAAGACTGGAGTGGTGATGATGGGGAGTGTGAACAGGTTGTGGTTGTCGAAACACTTCATGCAGGACCTGCTGGCCCCAAACTCATCACAACAGCCAAGCATCTGTCGGCTGGATCATTCCGTCTCCATTCAGGTCGACCATGTCGAAGAGCATCTGAAGATCTGCCTCTGCATTTCCCGGTTAAAGCTTAAGGGTTTCAGGTCCCCAAACGCTAAACCCTTCACCCATGGCATCAGTGGCGCCAAGGCATGCTACAAGAGACGACCCTCGACCGTTCGGTCACTGCTTCTTGTAACACTGACCATACGGCTCTAAACATCAAGAGCCAAATTCAAAAGGCCCCTCCTGATCTGATACAGCCCCGCCAAAATGTCCGGATATGCTTTCCGTGAGAAAATGATACTTCATGCCCCAAAGGCCTACGACTAATGGCACGATGTTTCACGATGCTCGGGTACTGTTGGCGAGGTGCTGGTGGTCAAAGGCAGAATACTTTTCATGTAACACCGATTGGCCACTCTCTTTACGGATTCGTGGTCTGATCGTCACCAGGGAGGTGCTCTACACAGCATGCTCGCGAATTAATGGTTTCCGAACACACCATCACCCCTATGCAAAGCAATCTCGATGCCTCTGCGGCCTGCATAGTACTGATGGGAGCCATGCTGCCACGCTTGCCCAGTTTGGCAGTTACTCCGTGTCTGTGGCGATGTTTTAGGGAACTACCGAGAAAGCGCCCCCCCCCCCCCCCGCCTGGTCGATGTCCATGACTCTCAGGCGGCTCTGGAACTCGGGGTCCCGGCCTGCTCCGGCCATGAGCTCCTGACGAAAGATCATCCGAACTTCGGGAGAAGGATCCCCCCATTCCGGGTGCGTGGGGACCCATCGGCCATGCCAGAGTACCAACAGCAACGATGGTCGTCATTCGTAATCATGGTAGTAAGAACAATCATCGTAGTAATGGTAACAATAAGATTAAGACTGGGGTCACAAGGTGCATCAACAATAGCTGCAGCAGCACGGAGTTTTTTGAAGACGTACCTAAGAAATCGGATGCCGCAGTCATCATCATCGAAATCATCAGAATCATCCCCGAAATCCCTGGTGCCACAGGATCCGCAGAAGGAAAAGAAGGAAACACAGGGCCAAGACCTACATCAAGGAGTAGAGTGCAGCTTTGGCTGGGCTTCCGCCGAATTCTTTGGGCGGTTCACGCTCGCTCCTCGAAGCAGAGCTCGCCGTCGTTGTTTGCGTCCATTCCTTACTGCAAGCTGCGCTGCCAACTTGCACATGCAAAGTCTGACAGACCCACGCCCCCTCACGGCAAGTAATACAACCAGTGATCTGAAAATGCCCGGTCGAATGTGTGGAGAATTGTGGAGATATGGTCGAGAGCGGACTAGAGACAAAATCAAAATTGATCACAGGATATCGACGCGAGCAGGCGACTATCGAAGAGTTTCTGCAAGTATTTTTTGTCGTCCTCCAGTTCGTACTCCAGCTCCTCTGCCAGGTTCACCATATCCCGTTCGCGGGCTTCAGCAAACATGTCGATGACAACAGCTACGATCAAGTTCCTCAGTTATTCTTGATGGAGGTGCTTCAAAGTTGTGGCTTTGGCCTGATGAGAAATTACAACGACGGTTCATTACAGAAGAGCCAACGTAAGTGCTGCCAGGCGCAGTACTCCAAAAACCAATGTCAAGAGTGAGAGAACGAATATGATTGCAGTCTCCGGGTGCTTCAAGATCAGCGGAACCGCTATCAGACCCCAGCTGTCACCAGCAATCACGGTCTGGAACAGCAGCAGGTTTGCACGCATCACCGAAGAGGTCGCTTCCAAGCACAGGTCGCCACAGCTGGCGAAGTCAGGATTATCCTTTATCAGCGGATGTAGCATCTCAACCATCAACATGGCCTTCGTCGTAACAAAGACGGGCATAATCACACTCTTCCGGGTCGGACTACTACTGGTACTGGAAAAAGGAAAATTGAACCCGATGCTTCAACATGGCCCACAGGGTCATGATCACGAAGCAAAGGAGGAACGACCAAAGCAAGGCCTGCAGGGGCTTTGGTTCATCATACCCACCTCCCACACTTAGAGGCGAACTCCGCTGAAACCCCCGCATGAACTTACTGAACCCAAAAAGCTCGCATGGATTCTCAGCCCAAGCGCGAGCACGTCATGGACTTTTGGTTTCCACTGTCTTACTCATAGTTGGCTTGCTATGAAATCCGGGTTCGTTGTTCCAGGGCTCAGAACACAACCACAAGGGGCATCAATGTGGCATAGCTATCGGGACGAAGACGGCACAATGGTCTAAAGCATCGTTCGTGGCTCATGTAGTGAAAGCACGCCCAAGCCACATCTTGCACGGCCCATTCCTAGAGGTCCTAGCATGAGCGAAGCCGGCAAGCCTGCAGTCTGCGCGACAAGAAGCCGTGTTGAAACATGCTGACATGCTTGCGCAAACTACAAGTATCAAGAACTTAACCAGAACAGCGAGATGAAGAACATCGAAAGGGGTACTGGCCTTGAAACAAGTCGTCATCATGGTTGCCAGCTTTTGCAGCTCCTTTAAGGAGCGGCTCTTCCGCAGTAGCCGCATCCTTGGGCGACGAGAGCTCCAGGGCACAAAGCTTCGGGTTCAGTTCAAGGTGGTCGGGGTGAGTGGCAGCTGGCCGTAGGGCTAGTGCTTGCTGCAGACAGGGGTCAGCCTACTGATGCGGACCAAACGAAGGGCGCGCAGGAGACTCATCGCACCAACCTGCCAATGCTGAAGGTCGTGAAAAAGCCGGAACAGCTCCAAAAACCCGGCTGCGGCCTCTACACTTTTTGCAGACAGGTGTTGCCTCTTCAGGAGTAAGGAAGTTCGCCATCACCATCTCCGCATAGCCGCAAAGGACGATCAGTAAATCCAGAAGAGGCATCCAGTTCAGAAAAATCCGCAGTCCACCTACGAAGATCATAGCCAGAAGCTCTGCTGTATACATGCAGAGGCAAATATCTGAAAGGGCCATCATGGCCCGAGGCGGCTCATTGCCAGCTGCCCGGGCATCCACGTCTACCACAGTGACAAGGGCATCGACCAAAATCACCAGTGCCATGATGTTCATGAGCTGAGAGCTCTGCAGGACTTTAGCCAGCTTCCCTCTGCAGCCATGGGTCGCCGACTGCTTGGTAGGCTTCCCCTTTACGAACTCGCTGTTCACCTGCGACTTCTTTTTTCCCCCTCCCGCAGACCTATGCCACACCCCTCCCGCTCTCCGTGCAGCCGGCAGCGCATTTACCATGCTCTTCCGCCCAGGATTTCCATCAACAGATCGCTGAACAGGCGACTCTATCTGCTTGGGCGTGCTGGGCGAGCTGCCTCGGTACCAAGGATGGAGGCGCTCTCCATCATGACACCCTGACCGCAAGATCCGCCACCCTGCCCTTTCAAGTGAATGAGAGAGTCTTGGGTGCGCACCAACAACATCAAGACTGAACAGGCACGTCTGCGGAGTCTGAGTAGCCCAGAAGCCCTGGATCCCCCAACCTGCTGTCGACACCACCACCATCACCACCACTGCGCATGCTCCTACCATCTTCTACATTAAGCCGAAAGCCCTCAAGACAAAAAAGAAGAAGCCGAAGGCGCTTTTGCCGCCATTTCCTCCGGAAGTCTCGCGAAGCCCCGCGAAGGGTGGCCCCTCTCCACAAGCAGGCTCGTGGGATCTCGTGGGTGTGGCTTTCGCGACTCGGCTACCGACCTGGCACCTGTCTAAGGGGCTCACTTCGGCCTGCGTGGGTTTGAGAAGGCAGGGCCCGAGTCAGGGGGTCCTCCATGCTTTGACACCCCATCGTCAGAACTAGTGCGGGAGGACTGCCGAGACGCCCAAGACTGACAACGACAGAAGTCATCGCAAGTGCAAATCACCCCTCCAACCCTTTGACGCACAATGCAAAGCACAGACCATCACTGGCGGCAGCCACCGTGAATGAACAACTGCAAAGCACAGCAAACAATAACATCAACAGCTACAACAAAAAAAACATCCCCGCCGATGCACCTGCAGCATCATCAACACCCTCACCAGTATTAGGGGGGCCGTGAACGCCATCGCCACTGTCCCACCGCAAGACCCTGCCTCCATACTGGCGCGGCGCACCCGGTGCGGCGCAGGACTGCCTAGGCGACCTCTCTTTCTAGATCGAGCCAGGCATGCCAAGCAAGGTCACACAGCAAGCTTGTCATGCTGATGTATTCCGTTGCCGCCCCATCTGTCTCGCTGCGCACCGGCGGGCTAACGGTTTTCCCTGCCGAGAGCTCTGCAACTTTCCGATCTCCGTCCAGGCGGGATCCCTCGACCAGTGCTACTGGGCACAATGCGCCCCGCTGTCAAAGGGCTGCACAGCCGCCGTGGAAGGTTTTTGCGGGACTCCCGCAGGCTTTAAGCGGCTCAGGGGCTCTGGGATCGGCAAACGAATTCCCCTAGAAGCAAGGCCTCAGGCGAAGGACGAAGGACCGCGCCTCCGTCGAGGCAGAACGCTCTGAAGGAAGCACCCGACCTCTCCGCTCCTGCTGAGTCGAAAAACCCAAGCCCTGGACCACTTCTATGCGGTGGATACAGTACCGCGTCTATGTTCCAGCAGCCCGGGCCTCCATCACTCAGTAACTCCATCCACAGGAGCTCCTGGGACGTGTCCACGGGTTGTTCCCCCTCCGAAGGTCTGCGGCGCTCGTGCTGTCTTCAACTATGTGCACCACAATTCCCCAGAAACAATGAGTTGCACTTTGCACTTGCTCAAACGAAGGCGGGAGTGGAGTCTCATTCCACCCTGCGCAGAACAATGCACGACACCGCTCCCACGACTGGGCTCCCCGACCCTCGTCGTACACGACATCGACACCCTCCTCGTCCTCCTGCTCAGTAGAATCTTGGACTTCTACCGCGTCCGCAACTTGCAGCTGTGGAGTTGGTCAGAATCAGCACCGCTGCAGAGGTCATTGAAGCTGAACTGGGTCAGTCTTGCTGCTGCTGCTGCACGCTTGGGCCTGGTAAGATGTCTGGAAGTGGTTCCAAGGGTTTGTGTCGATCAAGTTGGAAAAGCGCTCCTTGTGTCTCCAACCACTTTGGGTTTCCAAACAGTGCGGTCTACGATGTCTCTGCTTCGAGTTCTTTCTGAGAGTTGTGAAGTTGCTTTCCGAATGTTTCTGTGAACAGGATTCTCGCCCGCTTCCATTTAGAATAACGACGGGCATAAAGCCCTTCATTTCATCTTCGATCCGAAGCGTGGACGCTCTTCCAGCGCTATCCGTTTCAATCCAGGCAACAGTCAACACATACTGCGCCCTTCCTTGGCAAGTCTCAGATGGCCCTGCTTTCTGCTCTCTGTGTCATCACCGGCATTCTTGCTGCTTTCATGTCCCGCTCGCAGCAATGAAAGGTAGTTTAGCGGCTCACTGCCTTGAACGCAAATTGCGACGTCTGAATCCAGTTGAGCTGAACAGGCATCTGCTTGGCTGAGCTTGACTTCGGTTTACCTACCTGTACCCTCACGGGTGGGTATCCCGCATCGTTGAGATTCGCTTACCAATCCTAGGGTGCTAGCGCGTGAACCTTGTGCCGCTTATGCCTTCTACCTCTAGGACCCATCGCATTTCTCTACGCCTGGCCTGATTCTGATTAAGGCACGGTTATGGAAGCAAGAGTCTGGGCTGCTCAACCACCCCGGTGTGTGTGGCGGCTCTCGCGGCCGGCGAACCTCTGTCCAGGTGAACCCGTCGAACTCGCTCTCTTTGATGTCCGCCTTCACTTCCGAGTACCTCCGCAACCCGGTTTGAGCAAGCTCCAAATTAAACGTAGGCAGGTGGTCGGACGGCAATGTACACATGCCAAGACTGTCAGTCGCACTTCTTATGGAACGGTGACACGACGAACAGAGCGTAGTCGATGGGAACCTGAGACGTTTGCCGCGGTGGAATATCGATAGGATCGGCAACGCTGTCATCCAGCTGCATTTTGCACAACCCCTCAGATGCCGGCCGTGTTCGTTGGGATGATGACGATCCTCGGATTGTACAGAAACTCTGCCCCGGGGCAACTCGACCCGAACGAAACACCTTTAAAGCGAAGGCCTTTGTCTCCAAGGTCAGACCGGAAAAAGGGACTCAAGAACTTCCTGTGACTTCGGAAGCATCCCGCTCGTCGCATTTCGTCACCGAGACAAGCGTCGGGATGCAGGAGAGGGTCTGCAGCTTCTGAACCTTCGGTTCTGCAGGCTTGCTTCGGCTTGCTCTGGGTGAGACATGCAACCCCGGCATCTTATGCACAAAGACAACTGATTTGGCAGACCCCTCAGATCACCGCCATGGAATTCTGTTGGAACGTACCGTAACATACCCTTTGCAGATTTGTTCACAGCTCCCACCCGCTGTGTCCCATCCGCCTTGCAAGTATCTCTACTTTGTCTCTCGGCCTCCTCTTTGTCCTCTCGGGATCTCCACGTGATCTGAATGGCACCTGGCATGGTGGGAGTCGAAGATTCCACACAAGTAGACAAGGATCATGTCTGGATGTCAAACCTACCGCTGCCAGGCGTGAAGACAAAATGGGTTCCGAGTGCCTCTGCCGAGCCACTCCCAGTTGTCCGGCAGGAGCCTGGCATGCGGAGGTCGAATGTTGGGATCCCATCCATGGGATTCAAAGCAGTCTCATTTCATGTTTTTGACAAACCTTCACCTCAGACTGCGACCAAAATTCAGAGTTATCCCGGAAGTAGGGGTTTACTTTGTGCGGTAGAGAGAGAGAGAGAGAGAGAGAGAGAGAGAGATAGATAGAGAGAGAGAGAAAGAAAAACAGAGAGAGAGCGAGACAGAGAAAGAGAGAGAGAGAGAGGGAGACAGAGAGCGACAGAGACAGAGAAAGAGAAAAAGAGAGGGGTGAAGGAAAGAAAGGACACAGAGAGAGAGAGAGAGAGACAGAGACAAGTTAGCTGCAAGACTAGAGAAGATCACATTATGGCTACACCGGCTTTATGCACATTATGGCCATGCGACTGGACGACTCGGACTGACAGCCCGACGCCATGGCTCTTGTCATCTGGGAGTCTCGGGAATCTAGGGCCTGCTTTAGGGGCCTCCAAAGAAGTTACAGCTCCTTCCAACCCTTCGAAGGCATGCCGCGCGGACAGCTCGTCATCGACACCTGTGCAGAGGGCCCTGCACACTTTAGCTACTTAAGTTGTCCTACGGTACGGCCCCATACGGTTTACGGATCAGTCTCGGCGTGGGATGGGCTTCCGGAACAGTGGACTCGGCACGCACGTCCTGAGTTCTCGACCGTTCCTGAAGAGTTCCACGTTGTCTTCCTTCCACACGAGCCCCGACTCTGCGTGGTGCATATGCTGCGCTGGCTGTGCACGCAGCTCCTCCGCAGATGCGCGGCAAAGGGTCACCTTGCTCTCTCGCCCCAGCTGGGAGCAGTAGACCTGAAGCTCGAAAGGCCATCTTAAAGACCCTCTCTTCCGTTGCAGTCCACATCTCTTGCATCTTGGGCGCACTTTGCACGGACGGCTGGGCATGCGGCAGTTAACGAGTCGCCGTCTCGCTCGTTCCGGGTCATGGCGAGGATGGTGCCCACGGTGTAGCACCAAGACTGAGACGGGGTGGGGGGACTCGTTTGCATTCGCAAGACAACCTGAGTACATCGGGGTCTCCTGAGAGATCCGAGACCCTGCCTTCATCGAGCGCAGGTAGATACAGAACACAGCCCGGTCGAGCTGCTCCTGGCACCTTCCACGGTTTTGTTTAATGCAGCCCCGGCAAACTCTTTGTCGCCAGACGCTGTGGCGATGGAAGCCCGAGATTGCGAGTGAAGGAGACGGGGAGCTTTGTCTACGGAGGCACCTCCGGGAATTCATCTTCTTCTCGTTGCAGATTTTCACCTGCCGGCATAAGAAGCTGCGGAATTGGGAGGTCTGGTTCCTCACGGTTCAAGGATTCCGCGTCACACCAGGTTGCTAAACAGCCGATCCCCGGAACATGTGCTCGGCAAAGCCCGAGTCAGATGACTTAAGTGCTTTCGAATATTCACGGAGACCCCGAACCCCCGACCTGCTCCTTGGCTTCGTCGCGAGTCTGAAAGAAGGCAGGCCCCTGCAGCTGATCACAAGCCCGTCCGACATGTTGGCTCTTGGGTGTGTAGCAGTGTAGCACCATGCGAGATTTAAGAGCAGCATGCCGGAAACAGACTATGCTGGGGAATTTTCGCTCGGCAGCGTACGACACACCGCTCCCTTGCCTCTTCTTCGCCTTCTTCTGCTGGTCCTGTGCGTCATATGCACTGCAGAATGACCCCACTTCTCTCCAAGATTCCAAACATCCATGCATTGCCCAACCGTTGTTCTGCCTGCGAACACACACGGCATTGCGCGCTGTCATGGCACTCCCCGATGTTGCAGAGCAGGTAGCTAAGTCAATATACGGAAATATCGAAATAAATATATCTATATATATAATAATAATAATAATCATAATAATCATGATAATAATAATAATAATCATAATAATCATAATAATCATAATAATCATAACAATAATAATAACAATAACAACAATAATAACAATAATAATAATAATAAATAATAATAATAATAATAATAATAATAACAATAATAATAAGATATATAATATAGAGTAATATATATATATACATACATACATACATATATACATATATACATATATATATATAATATTGTATATTATTTAATATTGTAATATACTATACTATATTATACTATATTGTATTATATATTGTCTTATGTGTGTATATATATATGGGCGCACCCCTATTTGGGGTCCCCTACGTTTTTCGCTACATCATCTGACTGAGCTCTAACCACCAGACTAGGTTATAACCAGCCGATTAGGTTATAACCAGCCGACTAGGTTATAACCAGTCGACTAATTTATAATCAGGTATACATTATCGAATATAGTATTATGCTTGTATGGAGCAGCTCGATGGCAATGGTGTACGCCATCGACTACAGTATTATATCCGGTTTGAAGACTAACCCGGGAAGTTGCAACAACCCATGCTTTCAGAATGCTGAAGCCCGCACAACGCTAAGAATTCTATGACACCCTCGTCGAAACCCCGTTACAATGTGCTAAAATCCTTGCCTTGAAGCCGTCGATATATCTTCGTAGTTCATCTTTGTGTGACTGTATCTAAACCGCTGTATTTCAGTTTTTTCCAACAAGCGCGCTGTAGTCATTAGTCTGGCTCAGTCATTCCTTATCGCGAACTAGATTTTGGAACGAAAAGCTTTCCATCTTTGTACTGTAATGCCACAATCCCATCAAAGTCTCTGTTGTTGGACGCATTGCTATCACGTTTTGGCAAACTGATAGCTTTCAATGACATATCCCTGTGCCCCTATGTGATTGCTTTTCAACACTGGTATATCCGGTAGGTATATTTGAGTGGTGCATTCCTTAATTCTGTATGACGGCTGCCCCAAGCCAACATTGAAAACTTGCACACTACAAGCTTAGCAAACGTTGTACAGTGTTTTTCCTGGGGGACGACATGAAGCGTCGCTTCTTAGGCTTGGCACTGTTTCTATATGCTGAGTGATGACCGACTGAAAACCAGAAGGCTACATCTAGCTTGTCCGAATTTCTGTTTGTGTTCTTGTGAATATTGACTGAAGGTCGAATAGAAGCCATGGTTCCCAGTCCAGAACTTGATCCTCGTGTTAGAAAAAGTGGTAAACACACACCGAATCACTCCTCGAAAGAGGTTCATCCATGTAGTTGGAAGTAGCATTGCTAGGAATTTTCTACGTACCGAGCGAGGAAATTTAACAGTTTGCAAGTTGCAAATTTTGTTTCGCTCACCACACATATTCTTATCAGTTTTGTCTCATCGAAATCCTGCTTCCTTGGACCGGTCTTTGAACATAGCGTTGCAACCAGTTCGCCTATGTACGAAGTGATGAAACCTGACCACGCTGTAAACTTAGAAATACTGTCTCTCCCTACAATGACGTCATATCAGTCGTATCTCAACTTTCTGTGTACCGTGATTTTCCAATGTTGACAACACTTACTGACCTACTGTAATCCCGATAGAGCCCCTTCATATTCCGCATTTTGATTCCTGGGTCAGTGACATGTTAGTGGCTATTCTCTCAATGTGTACATAGATCTCATAAACCCGATGTACTGGAACGGACAGACCATTATGTAAAGTCCGCCATATAGCCTTTCCGCTAAAGTTGGGGAATGCGCATATGGTCCCCGGAATTTTGTCTGTTACAAAGCACTGCATCATGCCTCAACAACCGAATACATTCCAATTACCTCGGACCCTCTATTCTTCTAGTCCTTGTTTAATTTCATTGCGGTTACATTCCCCCTGAAACACCGAAACTTTCGAACGTTTGGATCTAGGTGTTGATGAAGTAGCGGTGGCACAGATTTGCTTCGTAAGGTTTATAGTGTGCAACAAACAATCAAGGCACCCCAATTTACAAACCACAACCCTGGTATGTAAGCCCCCCGGTGTTTCGACACAGTTTACCAATATTGCAGGTTCACCATCAAGTGTTGGGTTTGTTTGGGTTTTACTGCTTAGGGTTTGGCGCTAGGGTTTGGGGGAGACTTAAACTTAAACTATTATACCGGCTCGCTTGCGCGATACGACACGGAAGACTTAAACCATCAAACCAATAAGCCAATCCATTTGGTCTATAGGGCACGGCGGGAGTCTTCAAACCCTGAACGTATTTTGCCGCCTGGTTATAACCTCTGTCCCCGGTTATAACCAGGACACCTGCGTAGTAGGCAGCTCTAGACCCATCACTAAACCATTAAACCATTAACAAACCATTAAATTAGTACACCGTTAAACCAATCCTTTCCCCCAAAGGACCCAAACCAATAAACCATTAAACCATTAAACCAATCCTTTTGCCCCATGCCACTAAACCATCAAACCATTAAACATATCCCTTTACCCCATACCACTAAACCACTAAACCACTAAACCATTAAACCATTAAACCAATCCTTTCCCCCAATGCACCTAAACCACTAAACCATTAAACCATTAAACCGTTAAACCATTAAACCATTCCTTTTGCTCCATACCACTAAACCACTAAACCATTAAACCATTAAACCAATCCGTTTGCTCCATACCACTAAACCACTAAACCATTAAACCATTAAACCATTAAACCAATCCGTTTGCTCCATACCACTAGACCACTAAACCACTAAACCATTAAACCATTAAACCATTAAACCAATGCTTTCGGCCCATACAGGGATGTGTCTCTCTCTATAGGGGAAAATGATTGGTTTAATGGTTTAATGGTTTAGTGGTTTGGGTCCATTGGGGGAAATGATTGGTTTAATGGTTTAATGGTTTATTGGTTTGGGTCCATTGGGGGAAAGGATTGGTTTAATGGTTTAATGGTTTATTGGTTTAGTGGCATGGAGCAAAAGGAATGGTTTAATGGTTTAATGGTTTAGTCGTTTGGGTGTGCAAAAACCAGGGGACCCCATATAGGGGGGTACCCATATATATATATATATATATATATCGAAATATCGGAGCAAGACTCAGCCTCCGGTCAGTTGCTCCGGGCAGTTGCTCCAGTCCCCACATTTCCCGCCTCGAGGCTCCATCTGACGATCCAAGAGTGCACACAGCACTCTGTGCACCATCACGTCCTCTCGGCTTTCATCTTTGTGAGGTCAAGAAGATCATGTGTTTCAGGCGCCGCAAAAGGACGCAAAAGGAAGCCGGAATCAGCCAAGACACTGGATATCGCCGAATGGGCGAAGTGAAATGCGTGTAGTAGTCCTTGCAAGAATGCTGACATGGCGACAAGCAATGAGACGGGTGGCATAGTGCACAAATCTCCGTATCTGCAGTCGAGCATCAAAATTCAGCGCAAAGTGATGAGGGCAATGCTCCTGGCGTGGGCCACGGACCGTCCAGAATTTTCAAAATCAGACGGTGGGCCGGAACTCGGATGCAAAGCCACCGAGAAACATCCCTCTTAAAGTTGCCTCTGCCACAAGCCTCATGTAGAATGAATTTTGAAGGATCCTCAAGGTATAGGTAGGAGATATGCCAGAGAAAACATGACGGATTCTGGAAGATCCGATCAGCCTCCTCTTCTTCCTCGACGACACCGTAGAGGAAGTATTCTGCCTGCAGGAACAGATACACCAATACACCTCAAAACAGGCAAGGCTCGAATTGCCTGATTACCTGGGCATAGCCTTCAGGCTGAGGAAAGTAGGGCTCTGTGCCTGCTTCATCCCGGCGCGCATGATCATCCTGGCGGCGCGTGGGTGCACGGTCAGAAGTTTGTCACTAGTGCGATCCGGCGAGCTCAGCCTTAGCTTGACCGCATCCTACGGCTTGAACCATGCCACAGCCACATCTCCACACACAGCCCCAGCATTTTGCCATGCTTCTGGTAGATGTCCTGCACATTCCGGCTGTTTCATTCAAGCGCGAGGACTTATCTCGGGCAGCACGAACATGTCAATCTGGGTCTTGCGACATGTGCGAGCGCAGTTTAGAAGCCATGAACGGATAGTTTACCTGTGCGGATCTAGCATCTAGAAGTTCCATGCTGACCCGGTAGCATGGCGGAATGTCCTGGCACGACTTGTAGATGGCGAAGGCCGAAGACATGCTGAAGTCCTTTTCCGCGGAGGCAAGATTCGTCAAGGAAGAACGTGTGTCTTGTATTGCTGCTGTTTGCTGCTAGAGCTGCATGATGCAAGGTTTGGTGAAGAAGACAAAGATGACCATACCATGCGGTGAATCCTGCCACTACTGACCGAGTCTCCCCCGCCTTGATCCCAAGGCGCTCTCGCATGAGCTTTTGGAGCGTCTCCGCCTGTGGAAACAAACAGCTGGAGATGTAGGCGGTTTTTTCAGCAACACCTCTCGGGCACGGGAGTCTATAGAATCTCTCTGACCCTAAACCGAGTTTGCCGTTGCACGTCAGCGGTCACATCGACAGCTGTCCTTGGAGAAGATCTCTGCCGGATATTCTTGCAACAGAACTCGCAACGGTGCAGCATCCCTCAAGGGCATTCAGGCTCAAACCCAAGAATACACATTCATGCAGGCCTCCTACCAGGGAGGTTTCACGAAAACCACCACCGCTTTCGGGGCCTCTTTGGAGCCTTGTCGCCGGCCCTTGAAAACCCCCGGCTCTGGTACTTTATAGATCCCTTATAGTATCTTATAGACCCCTTTAACAGGAGCCCTTTAAAGGGAACCCCTCACCTTCTTCAGATCCGGTGGCTTGTGGTTCCGCAGCACCGCCACCTCGGAGAGCTCCGACATGGCCTCGGTTGAGCCGTGAGGACGAGCAGCCTCCCTTTCAGAGGGGTTCAGGGGGCCCGCTACACCATAACTAATTATAATAAGACACCCCCAGAATAGTGTTTCAGGATTTCGGGAAACCTGGAACTCAAAACCTCCCCTCCTCAAATCCTCAAACATCGTGAACACTGTAACACCGCCGGCTGGTGCTTCCTGCAGCTCCTGGGCGTCGCACCAGGCGCTTGGCAACGCACCTGTTGGCCAGAAGCATCAACTCCTGAGGCCGCTGAGGCTGCGACACAAGAACTACCTTGCACTAAACCACGAAGCATGGAATAGAGTCGCACTTGCCGGAGTGATAGATTCAGCATCTGGAACACTGTCTTCGCACTAAGCCAGGGAGGATCTCAGACGGCATGACAGCTCACCTGTCAAGAGTCAAGAGGGATCCGTGCCGGTCCTCGATGACCCAGTGGGATGCACTGTGGGACTCCAAGTGGTAACCTGTGGGAATCCCATCCTGCAGCTGCCACAGCCCACAATCCACATTATGTTCCTGCTTTCGGGCGATGGGTCCTCGCTGTCTCTGGTGTGGAAGACCATCTTCCTGAGCGCACGACAGCCCAGCCTCTCTCTCTCTCTCTCTCTTTCTTTCTGCAGGGCGTAGGGGTCGTCAAGCGACCCTCAGGCCTTCGGCCCGCCCAGCCTCCCCACTGTATTAGTGAGTGGCCGGCCTTGGGGTTACTCCTGAGTGTGGCAACGAACTACCTGGTGTGCTCCCGGTTTTCATGCAGCAAGCCCCACCCTTTACGCTAGAACCCCCCGCATCCCGGCCTCATCCCCGCGCCCCTGTGGCTAGCCAACATTAGAAACCAATCCGTGGGGCTTGCTTCATCACATGATCTACCGTGTAGCACGTTTGGCGGTTCAAGGCAACACTGTTAACGACGACTAAAGGTCACAGCTACGTCCATCACACCATGGTGTTCCCCTGTCCCCGGAGGTTCTCTCTCTCTCTCTCTCTCTCCCTCTCTCTCTCTCTCTCTCTCTCTCTCTCTCTCTCTCTCTCCCGGGCATGAGGGCGGGTCAACGCCCTCGGGCCAATGGCCCCCCCGTTGTTTTAACGGGTGTGAGGGGTGAATAACGAGTCATGAATACAGTTTCGGCTAAAGCCATATAGAATACAATAACGGCAACTGTAATCATTGACTCTCAGTTCCACACATGCAAGGTCATCTCTCTCTTTCCCCCGTATAAATGACAAAGATAGCTTAAGGGGTTCGTGCAGAGAGATGACTTCGGGAGGTACAGTATTCCCCCCATGATGCCGATGCGGTCTCTACAAACGATGGCCAGACAAATATGAAACTAGAGAATCATTCCCCGGCATCATTTTTCGGGGGTGTAGGCACAAGGAGTTTTTGGGGATTTTGGTCCATCAGATTTGGAATAAACAATGACACAGCGTTGTATGACCAGCCTAAAGGCAACATATAAGTGAAAGGCAAGTGCCACCGGATGGACCATCCCCCGCGCAAAGTCAGCTCAAGGTAGCACTACAGAGTCCAGGGCCTGACTGTTTGTCATTTGGATCCTCGTTTGGATCTGTCCCCCGCAACTGACATAACTGTAGAACATCTGTCCCCCGCAACTGACATAACTCTAGAACATCTTTGGAGGATCCAGCAGACTTGGCCCCGAATCGTCAACGTTGGGGAAACAACCGTTTGCTCTCATGACGAAGCACTATAAGGTTTTGTGGGAGCCTAGTTTCAAGCATTCAGAGCCAGTTCCCCCCGCGATGCCAGCATCTTTAACGGGGTGATGCGGAGTAATGAGATTGTTGGAGGTTTGGGTCCATCGGATTTTGGGTTGAAACAAGGACACAGCGATACATTCAAAGCCTAAAGGTCAAACATGTGTACAGATCAAATCAAGTTGGTGGACCCATTCCCCCTTGTTTGGTTATAATGACGAGTTTTGTCGTGGTGCTAGATGGCATGAAGTGCTGAATCATTTCGAGAGCTAGTTCAAAACCAGGGTTAATGACCAAATATGCAGGTTCTTTATTCAGCACTTTTCGGCAGCAGCATTGCCAAGATGGTGGAACAACAGCTTGCAGTGTATAGGAAGGCAATGAGGCAGCAGCAGTTGGCAAGGGGTTTTTTGGGATTGTGTATTGTTTGCAATGCTTTTCCCCCTGCTCGGTCCATGCAGCAACAAGGATGAAATAGGGAACCTGGAGTCACAAGGTAGGTCATGAGCAGGGACAAAAGGACTGCATTCCCCCGGCTCAGCTTCTCTCAGATCGGCCCGTGGCGGTCGTAGAGGGCGCCATGTAGTCGGCGGCGTCGGTGTTCCGCGGGGCTTGCTTCACTGCTACTGGCTATGTCTTCTGTAGGACTGAGGCCTTCACGAGGTAGTCCCCCGTCGTCCAGTTGACTGCCAGTGGGTACGTTCCCAAGCCCGTGGTGTCTATCGAACAGCCACCATTCTTGCTGGCTTGAAGAGGATGTCGCCATGCCACGTCCCCCGGCAGGATCGTGTACTTCAGCAGCGCCTGGAGGTGCAAGTAGATGTCCCCCGGCCGGATCGTGTACTTCAGCAAATCCCGGGAGAACAGGTTGTCCAGGATGTAGTGCCTCCTCTACTGCTTCAAGTGTCTCGAGGAGGGCCCTGTGTACAGTATTGAGCTCGTCACCAGGCCATTGTTGTAGTTGGCCCCTCAAAGACTGTAGTTCGAGGGCAATCCCCCGGGCCAAGCGTTGTCGACGGTCACGGGCCAGGTGGGATGTTACAATCCCCCGATGTGCAGCTATGACATCCGCGGGGTGCCCAACTGGGTCGCCTCTCTCCACCGCAGCCAGATAATGGCAGAGATCTGCCAACTGTAGCCAGTGCTCTCGTTGTTGGGGCTCCATTTGGATCCCCTGCAGAGCGGTGCCCAGCTGGCCGAGGACAGTCCCCGTGTTGAACATGCCTCTGTCATAGTCCAGCCCAGCTTCGCCGGTCCCCCACTGTTGGGGGTTGCCATCGCGTGCTGTGGCCATGGCGTGTAAGTGACTATTCAGCCATGTGAGAAGAATGTCGATGTCATGTTGTATGTCAAAGTACGAGGTGGGGTTGTGGTTGCTAGCCGCGCTCAATTGCCGCCAAGCTTTTGCCAGGATGCGCTGCAAGGCTTGCTGTGTTGTGGATGTTGCTCCTGCGTCTGTCCTAGCCCGCTTGGGATCTGGCTCCCCCGGGTTACTTGGAGCAGAAGGGTGCTCAAGCTCAAGTTGTCTTAGTACTTCAGATTCGGTCTGATCATCGACCAATAGGTCGGCTAGTGCGCACTCGGCCAGGTGAGTGATCATGTTCCCCCCTGGAAGTTGGTGGGAGAGTCTGTAGATGCGAGTGAGGTAGTGTTCGATACGGTCTGTGGCAGTGGGGTGGTGCTCGTATGTAGCCGCTGCTGTCTGTGGGGGCGGATTCAGTGGGGTGTCGCCCGTGGTGCTGTCGGGAATGGTTTCTGGTGGTGGTTGTTCCACCAATGCTGTGGTGGCTTGGTGTGGTGGTGGGATGGCCGGAGTCGCAGCCTGCGCTCCTCTTTGCAAGGCTTGGTGGATGTTCTGCATGAGGTTGGTTTCGTCGTGGATGGTGGAGGTAGAGCTTGTGGTAGGTGTTGTCGTTGTGGAGGTTGGCCGAACGTGGCTGGCGGAACTTGTGGTTGTGGTAGCAGTGGTTGTTGTACTCGTGGTCGTGGTAGTTGTGGTTGTCTCGTTGTTGTGGTTGGCTGTGCTGGTGGTAGTGGATGTCGTCGTCGTTTTCTTCTTCCCCCCAATGTCCCGTCCATCTCGGATACGAGCAAGTAGGTCACTCGGTTCGCCCGGTTGAGTGGGAGGTGCTGGTGGCTGTGCTGGCGGCGACTTTGGCTCAGGCTTGCTCTTGCCCCTGCCCCCACGTAGGTCACGTGTGTCCACGAATGCACTGTAGTTTCTGGGTGTTTGTGGTGGTGGTTGTTTGGCTTGGGGCCGAGGCTGGGACTTGGCTTTACCCCTCGGCTTGGTGGGAGGGGGGTCTTTGACGTCAGGGGCAAAGTGTACGTGTTTTGGTTGTTTTGGAGGGGCTGTTTCCCCGTGCTCAGTGGTGGTGTTCGTGGGTTGGCTGACTTTTGAGTCAGGGGGGGGGTCGTTGCTCCCCCGTGCTGTGCTGTTGGTGTCTGCTGGGGCTGTTGAAGGCTTTGGCTGCTGTCGCGGCTGCGTGTGCTTCTGGCTTGCCTCTCCACGTCTGTATTCTCTGACGTCTGAGTGCACTTGCTTGTCGATGGTCATCTTCCCACCTTTGGGGGTAGGTTCGAGGATGAACGTGTCCCCCTCGACTGCGAGGATGCTCCCCGGCCAGTGTTCGTCGAGGAGAGGGGTGGATGTCACCATGAATAGCCAAACGTCTGGTGGGCCCATCGGGGCTAGTCGTCCTCGTAGGCCGACTGTGAAGGGTGGTGCTGTGAGGACCGGCCCGCTCTGGCCAGGGTGGGTGAGGTGGAGCGGTGGCAGCCCTGCTGATGCTGTCTGGGCAGTAGGTATGTAGTGGACTGCTGTGATCTCCACTTCGAAGCACCCGTGTGAGAGAGGTGTGTATGTGACTGTGGTCCCCTCTGCGTGTGGTATGCTTGGTGGGATTTCGAGTTCCTCGTGGGGTGGCCCCAGCGGGGCATTGTCATACTGCCATTGCTCTTCAGCTGTTGGTTTGTATGGTGTACGTGGAGTAGTGGGGGTCGGTTGACCCGTGGCTGGTGGTGGTTGGTTGGAGGTGTTGGTGGGGTGGGCGTCAGTGGAGCTGGAGCTGGTCGTGTCTTGTGTGGGGGGTGGTTGGTCTGTGGATCCCCCTTGTGGTGTCGGCTTTAGGGGTTTCCCCAGGAAGCGCGCCATAGCTTCCTGGAAGCGTGCTTCGGCTTCAGTGTCGGCCTTGGTCCCCCTGGGGTCGGGTGTGTCGCTGGGCGTGGGGTCGCCGACATTCTGTGTTTGACTTGCAAGAATGCCCCAGCCTGGCCCTGCTTGGGGCTGTGGGTCAGGTCGCACGAGTTGCTCCCCTGCCCAAATGCGTTGCTTGAAGGAATGTTTTCCTTCCTTGTTGCCGACACGTTGGGAGCCGTGCCCCGCCCCTCGCGTGGAGGGATGTTTGCGTCCCCCTATGGGTTGGCCCCACCCTGGTCGTTCCCATGGAGGGATTTTCTTCATTGGGTCTTCTACCTCACCGGAGTCCGTGGCATCGCCGTCGGGGTCTTCCATGTCGGAGCTTTGGTCCGATGGGTTGGGTGGTCGTGGCTGGAAGAACTCTGGAGGTGGTTGTGTGTTATGTCCGCGCGGTAATGGATCGGGCTGTGGCTGAAGTGGTTGTAGTGGTGGTGGTGGTATGCTGCAGGATGCATCCACAGTGCAGTTTACATTTGCTGTAGTAGCTGCATCGAGGTGTTCCTCGGAGTCGAGAGTGGTGTGAGTGGCTGTGGGCTCGGTTGACGGTGGTTGGTGAGCCGTAGCTGTGGAGTCGGGCCCGGGTGAGCAGACTCGTTCGAGGTAGCTTGGAGGTAGGCGCCCGGTGGAGATCCAGCTGGTGTATTCCCCCAGTCGCATTTCAGGTAATGGACCGGTGCCAGGGGGTGGTAACCAGGCAGGTGGTTGTTGTGGCTGTTGTGGTGGTTGTTGCTCTGGCCGTGGAAGTGGTTGTGGTTGTTGTGAATGTGGAGGGGCACAGTGGCTTGTCGTGTGCCCGCCTGTGGTTGGGTTGTTGTGCGAGGCTGTGTTGCTCGTCTGCTGTGTTGGGGGAGGCGGATCGTCTTGGGGGTTGTTCCACGGGTCTGTGTCCCAGTCGTATGTGGGATGGTAGCCATGGAGGTCGCGGTCGGCTCGTGGGTGGGTTGGTGAGCCGGGTTGTGGAGGTTGTTGCACGGACGCCGTCGCAGTGTGGGGCTGTGGTGGTGTCTGCTGTGGTTGTTGGCTTTGGAGAGGTGGTGGGGAGGTCGGTTGCGGGTGGCAGGCTTGCTGGCTGATTTGGTATGGTGGTGGTGGTGGAAAATAGAGCGGTGGTTGTTGTGGGAGGTTGTTGGTGGCACCCCCGGCAGTCAGGGTTGTCCAGCCACCCCATGATGTAACGTAGCCGCCCGGGGTAAGATGCGTGGCTGCCCACGCTAACTGAGCTGGTGCACCGCTTTCCCCCCACGCCTGCTGTTGCCACGGTGGGTTGCTAGGGTCTGTCGGTGCAGTGTTTGCTGCGTGGTGTGGCCCTGTCGGCGTCTGGAGACCGTGTTGGGTGGTATGTTGCTCAGGTTGTGATGTCAGTGATGTCCCCGCTGCTGCTGGCGTGCTGTCGGCTGCAAGTTGTGCTGGTTGTGGCGGGGGGTCTGGGCCCTGTGGCCACACGTGGTGGATCGTCCCCCACCACAGAAGGATCGGTAGCGCGCGACCGAGCATTCTCTCTGAGTTTGCGGCAAGGTTGGGGCTTTGGGCCTCGTGCTGCAAAGCTGCTGCTGTCGTGTCTCGTCAAGAAAAAGCTGTACAGGTTGTAAAAGGGATTAGGTCGCAGGGTCATCGAAGTTAAAAGACGTTAAGCACAGGTTGTGAAAAACGGCGTGGTAGTACATGTATCATGTTTGAGCAAAGGGACGTAGTCGAGCAGGCGCCGGAGCTTGTCATTCAGCACGAAGAGAGAGAAGAGGGGAGACGAGGACACAAAATGCTGCATCGTCCAATCGCTGTCACTGATCTTCGGCGAGCAGGTCATTCACGATGTGACTGGCAGTCTGCAATGGTACATGTCTTGTACTCTCTCACTCTCGTCGGTGTAGTGTTTGCAAGTTGTTCGACTTGCTTGTCTGCTTCTTTGATCGTTGTTTTGGCTTGCCATTGTTTCGGTGTTGCTTGCGCCGGTTGTCATCCTCAAGGCTTGCTAGGAAGGCTCTGTCGGAGGCTTGTTGGTCCCCCGGTGCGAGGTTTGCGATGCTGCTTTGTTTGCCACTGCTCCATGGAACGTCGTACTTTGCAATGAAAACAGATTCCCATTCCCCCCATGTGTCCCTGTCCTGTGCGATCGCAAACCAGTTCTTGCCGATTGTGTCGCTGAGTTGCCGGTCTATGTCCATGTAGGCGTTGAAGCGGGCTGCATGCTGCACAGGGTGCCCTCGGTCTTTTTGCTCTTGCCACCACTGGAGGCTGTGCCACTGGAGGATTTTCCCCCCGATAGGATCACCACGGCTAACATGTCCAATGGCGGTCCAAATCTGGGAGAGCACGAAGGTGGACCAGCGGATTCCCCCACAGTGGTAGAGGGCAAGGCGGCTTCGTCGGAGACTTCGCTTGTTCCAGGTCGCCCACTCTTCACATGGTTGTCGTCGGAGTCCGAGCATGACTCGCACATGGGCAAGTTGGATGCTGTTAATGGAGCGTAAGAGGCTGCTGTGGCACGGCCATGTCTGGCAAGCCCATAAGGCGCTCTGTCTGACCAGCACGACATGGATCTGGAGTTTCTGCCGGATGGTGGCTGCAGAGGTGAAGGACTCTCGATGGGTCCAGAAGGCTTTTCGGGCCCTGCTTTGTGCTTCAGCAGCAACATGGCAGTCCCCCCTTGGAAGGAGAGAGGGCTCCCAAGCACGTGAAAAATATGTTTGGGCCCCTTGGTCACGACATTCTCCCCCGCTACCTTGAAGGTCTCTGGCTTGTCGGAGTTGGAAATGATGTCGGTTTTCCCCGGGTGCAGGAAGAGTCCGCGTCGAGGTAGTCGATGGCCCAGACACGAAAGCAAGTGTTGGAAGTGCTGGCGGTTCGTCGACCAGATGTAGTTGTCGTCCATGTAGCTTCCCCCGTCTTCGGGTGGTGAGGTGTCGTCAGAAGGCTTGCTGCTTTTCGCCTCGCGAATGGCTGCATCAAGGTCCTCTGCCACTACGGAGCCGAAAGCAACTGGACTTTCGGGTGCACCTTGACGGACCCCATTGCTCTGGCGAATGGGAATACTTTCCCCCGCCACTTGTATGCAGATATTTTCTGCATGGAGCAGTGCTACCCATGCACGGGCCTCCCAGGGGAGGCGGGCTTTTTCCCCGACGGCCTGGTGCACGTGGGCGGCAAGGCTTTCTTGGTAGATGGAGTCGAAAGCTTTCCGGATGTCTAATTTGGCGATGTAAAACTCCAGGCCCCAATCGCGAGCAATGCGTGCCAGTCTTCTGAGTATGAGGATCAATTCGATGCCTTGTCTCCCCCGCCTGCACCATTGTAGCCTCGCTGGGGTTTGAATGGCATCCCCCGATCGCTGTAAGACCAATTGTCCAAAAGTCTTGAGGAGGACTGAGCTGAGTGTTATGGGGCGAGTTTCGCTCCAGTCTTTTGGCTGACTCGTCTTTGCCAACAGGATGGTGACTCCGGTTTCGACACTTGCAACGATGCGGCAGGTGTAGAGCATGTCGTTGAACAACTCCAGCAGGCGGTTCCCCCATGTTGGGTGGGGCAGCATGGCCTTCAAAGCTTCATGCGACACCATGTCGGGTCCGCACGACTTCCCGTTTTTCCACTTGACCTTCACAGCGATGAGCTCTTCCATCGTGAAGGGTTTCCAGGGTGTGTGCTTGCACATGATCTCCAGCTGGTGCATGATCCCCCGGATGGTGGCTGTGACAATGATCTGCTTTTGTTTGAAGAAGATCTTTTCGAAGTGGTCCTGCAGCGCCTGCTTCCAGTTGTCGTCGTCAATCAAGTGTAGTTCCCACGTGTGATCACGGCTCTGCTCTGTGAGGGCCTTTTTCATCCCCCGCCCCAGTCCAATTCGGCCACCTTCTGCATGGCCAGCTGTTGCCACTGTCTGTGTTCTTGCTTGCGTGTTTTCCTGGCCAGTTTCCAAAGGCGACGTCGTTCTTCGCCAGGTGGAGCTTGGAGTGCTTGTCGTCGGACTTCGCGAAGTGCCGGTGATTCTTCGAAGGGTTGCTTGTGTTTGCCAGGTTTGCTGATCGCCACAGCAACTCGCTGGATCTGTGTCACAGGGTCCCCCCCGACATGGAGGTCGCGATCAAGGATGGCATCGACCTCGTCGCCCGCTCTGAGCACACGAGATGACCATGCTGCAGCTCGTTCCCCCTCGATGTTCTTGATGCGAATCTGAGTCAAGGGCACCGCCACGGGTTCATGGTCCGACGTGGCAATGTCTCTGTGGGCGAGGATCTCCCCCGGGTCGCAGAGCAACTTCTTGGCAAAGATGTAGTCGAGTCGGCGTGGTTCGAGTGCCGTGTTATACGGGAAGTGGCTCGGTCGCTCCAGGGATTGTTGTGGTAAGTGACATTCTTCCTCCTCGAACCATTCCAGCAGCATCTCCCCGCGTGCAGTGCAAGCCTTCGTCTGTCTTCGTTGTTGTGCCATTTCAAAGGTCTCGTTGGCATCGATTCCGATAAGTGCTCTTCGGTGGGCTTGTAAGTGTGGGTGCAGTTGTTGTAGGATTTGTTCTGTAGTAGAAAGAGTCGCATGGTGTGGGATATGGACTGAGAAGGCGCCTAGCCGAAGCTCCTCTGAAGTCAAAGTACAGGATAGCGAAAAAGGCAAAAGTTTTCCTTGGCTGTGTCGCAAATTGGAGGTATGCAAGATGGCATTCCCCCGCCATTCTCCAGCTTGTTTGCCGAAAAAGGCCTGCAACTCGCCGAGGGAAGAGTGTTGTTTCCCCGGGTCGCATATGATCTCTTGGATGAACACGACCAGGGTGCCACAAAAAGGACGAATTCGTTGTCGCCGAAGTGCAAGGATGACTTCAAGTGCTTTAGCCGCTGAAAGTCCCCCTACATTCCAACTGATGGCATGCATCTGTCCAGCCTCGGGCCGGACGGTCTGTCGCCCCCGCCTCGTGGTTCCCCCTCATTGGAGAGCCTTACGAAGCTCCCCCCATTTGTTTGCGGCAGTCTCCTCTGAAATTCCGATCTGTCGGGCCAGGGAGCCGAGGTGAACCCAGCCGGATTTCTCGACCGAGGCGCCTTCTGGGGCCGAGGTAACCCCCGAGGCGACTTTAATGCTGTTGTACCACAGGTTTGCTGTGCCATACTCGACGTCGATACGGCGTACATCTCCTCCTTCTTCGATGATGAGCCTTTTGACTTTCCCGGCAAGTTGTGCTCGTTTGCGGCGCTCCGGGCTCTGGCTCATAGCGGCAAAGAAGTATCGCTGTCCCCCCTCGGGTCGTTGGCCGGTCACGACTTTGGCCGCCCGGATTGTGCGAAGTGCTTCTTGAACTCGGGCTCGTTGTTCTTCCTCTGTTTCCCCCTCCAGCCTGGTGAGGGGGACGAGGGCGAATCCGCGTCTCAGTCCTGGGACGAAGGCCTGGCTGACGTCCAAGTTGATGTTGAGCTCGGTGAGGTGTTGTTTGACCAAGCGCAGGGTTTCTTCATGATGTTGGTCGGCATCCCATCCCCCGACCACCAGAGCTGGTCGGGGGTTGCCCCCTTCGGTCTCCGAGGTCCTCGTGCTCGACATAGAGAAATTGGCCTTTGCAAACTTCCCCTCCAAGAGCTCAAGACGATGTAGCACGGATTGCTGTTTTTCATCCACCTTACGAACACTTTGTTCCATAGCACAATGTCGGTCGGTCATAGCTTCCAAGAGTTTTGTGGTGTTGGCAACATGTGTGTCCACAGTCAGCTCCACAGTGGACATGCGATTGGTTATGGTGTCCATGTCTTCCCGAACTTGTGCCACAATCTCCTCACGGTTCTCCTTGAGAGCGGCCAGGAGAGTGTTGAGAGTCAACGGTCTTTCGTTGTCGTCATCTTCAACTGCAGGTCGTTTCCTTCTCCCGGCAGCGGGGAGTGGCTGGTCCCCCTGTGTAGGTGAAGAAGGCTGTCTCGCCGTCCCTGCCATTACTCAGTCAGGTAGATGTTCGCCTTCCCCGCCCAGCGTTGAAGGAGCAGAATTGCAGGTTGAGGTAGTCCCTCGCCCACGTAGGGTCGCCGATCGCGGCAACGGTGTTGTGGGTAATGTCCCCGAGGTCCAGCGCAAGGCCCCCGTACAGGACTGTCCTTTACGATGTCTCGGCCGTCAAGGTTGAAGGAGTTCACGCGTAGTGCTGCGAAGTCCCCCGAGAGGTCGATGCCACAACTCTTTCCTCGCCTCTCTCTCTCTCAGGATCGCGGCCGGGTTTCTCCCCTGTCGGTAGAGTTTTACGGGCTCGGGGCTCGAACCACTCGCGGCTTGAGCCAAAATGGCTACTCTCTCTCTCTCTCTCTCTCTCTCTCTCTCTCTCTCGTAGCAAACCAAGAAGGAAAAAGCAGGCCGAGCTTCGTCTTGCTGATTGTCATGGCTCCGCCCGTCAGGCGGCCATGCCGCACCTTTGTGCAAGAGAGATGGAGCAGAAGTTGGGAAAGCACCTGGGAACTCTCTTCGTTGGCCTTGCCGCAGACTTCGTAGAGCAGCAGGATGTCGTCCTTGATTTGCTGCCTGAGATGATTCCAAGTTCGGCGAGCTTTCCAGGGGTCTCCTGGGCACCGGGCCACGTGTAGCCACCGTGCACCTTGGCTCGCCCCAAACTGGATAATTGCCGCATCTGCTCACCTCTCCACTGCGTGGCAATCTCCGTGCAGCGAAGGTGCGAGCGGCCGATCTTCCTCCTCAATGTCAAGATCGTCGATGATGTCCTGAGCCTCACAGGTCATGTCATATGTTGCAACTTCAAGACAGAGCTATCTGGAAAGAGCTGCCGGTATACATAGGTGCATACTTACACATAATTTAATACACTTATGACTTATGCAGTGCGCAGACACAGAAACAGCTCCAGCTCAGTCTATTGCACAGCCCAGGTTTCACTCAGGTTTCCGATATCTTACGGTGTGTGTGTGTACCTGGTTAAGTTTCAGAGCCGCCTGCTCGTAGTTCAGACGACACACGGAGGAGATGGCCGTCTTTGCAAACCAGGGCCTTGCAAAAGTCCACCGCAGGCCGGTTTCACAAGCTCGGGAGGTTGTGGTGTTCTCCACGTGTTCTTCGCTGTCTTGCTGTTCTGCTTGGCTTCTTACCTGTTTGCAGCTCATGCGAAAAGTCTATTCTCCCTTCCGATAAACACGGCATGCCCACGCAGGGTTCTCGATCAGCTGGCCCGTTCTCTTGCAGAGGCCTCAGCTCCGGAGCCCTTGTTGAGAAAGCAGAGGCGGAAGACAAAACCATCTCAGGCCGGAGCGGAAGAAGGCCGAGAAGGCCAACTTTGGCTCGTTCCTCATGTACCGATGCTCATCGGAACAAGTCAACGCCACAAGGTTTGCAGTGACAGTCCGGAAAGTCATCACAACAAGCCTCATCTCTTAATGCAAAAAAGGCTTCGGATTCAGGGAGCAGAGATAGTTGCAGAGGCCATGTGGCAGCATTGGCAACACCTCGGCTCGCAGGCAAAATATCATCGTGTCAGACAAGCGGCAAGAAGCTCCTTTGGGATTCCGAGTCGTCGGCCCGCCCAATGAGGTAGACAGAGGTGGAACGACCTCGGCTGAAGTACCATGAACCCACGGCAGTAGCAGCTGTCGGGGAGAAGCTCACTACATCGCCCTTCGACTCCTGGAGAGAAGGAACTCCCACACAGTAAACCTCCGAAATGAAACCTGGCAGCATCCTCCAAGGTCGCACGGCAGCCAGAAATCGCAGCTTAGGCACGTCGGGCCTCCTCATCTGTTATCGTGCCGAGCCTGGTTCGGCATCAGGTGCCAATGGCCAAGGGCTGGCCAAGGGACAGGGACATGAAAGGGCAGGGTCCTGCTTCGAGCGGCAGTGTGTCCGGAAAGGGTTCTGCTAGTGATAGTGCTCGGGGGACATGCCGAGCGGCTTCAGGAAGTGACCGACGTCGGCAATGTGCACTCCCACCTCCCCAGCGTGCCAGTGGTCGGAAGTACCAATCACGAACCTTGAGGCCACTTGTGCTCTGCACCGTAGCCGCGCCTCGATCTGACCCTTGCCCTTCAAGTCCTCCACGTGAATAGCATCATCCAGGTCCTGCGGAACTTAGCCGATCCATGCACAAGCTCTCATCGATAAGAAGTGACACCTGCAGAGACTTGCGACATCTTGTGACACGTGCCTCAGGCTCAGCCAAAGCTGAAACTCGAATTTCTCGGAGGAGCCCGTGAGGAAAGAGGCATATCGGAAATCCTTCGCCGTGGCCGGGTCGATGGTGAAGATCCGCTTCTGTCGCAGATCCATCCTGCCGCTCCCAGTCGGACCCTGGAGATGTGCTCGAGCACCGGTCCGGGGCCTGGAAGCAGCCTCCGACTCGAAATCGCGCTGGGCGGCCTTCACGATCTGGTCGACCTGCGAGAGGCTGTAGGATGCTCGTTCTACCAGCGGCGCTCTTTGTCTCTGCATTGCTACATGGAGCTCTCAGACCTATGACCTATGACCATGCTCCATACCTGGGACGGGACTTGCAAACGTCTCACAACCTCCAACATCACGAGCCGCCACGACGGCTGCCATATGGCACAAGTGTCTGTAGGATCGTAGTGCTCTCACCTGATGACGATGGTGGCGATACGTGGCGCTGGCGATAACAACGCACGTCCACTTGAAGATTCACGAAGATGGTGTAAAGCGTCGAACACTTCTTCTGCATGCTTTCTCACCAGTGGCATCATTGTTGCTGCGATTCCTGCTAATGCTGCTACCCCGGCGACGACGACAACAACGACAAGTCGTGCTCCCGTTCTTGCTGCGAGGATTCAAACTGGTATGGCTCTTGATTGGAAGATCTAGGCTTCTGAGTGGCCGAAGCATAGAAACCCCAAGAGAGTTCAGAACATCCCCTCACAGGATCGACATGAATCGTGAGTTTGGTCAACCTCTGACCCGTGGAGAACCTCGTCAAGCTCTTCCTCGCAGAAGTCGACATCGTGGCTGTCGAGTTCGTTCGCAATCAGGGCCTCATCAAGCAGGCTTGCTGCGGCCTCTGAAAGTGCAGCATGCTTCGCAAACAGAGAGCACCAAGTAGGCCATGGGTGGCTGGGGGTTCGCGCATGGCGCTCCTCCGCTTCCAGGCTGCCGGCCTGGCAAATCTGAAGGATAACCACGCCGCAGGCCTAAGCCTCCCTCCTTGTGACATCATGGGTGTGCATGTGCACGTGTGGTGCACTCACACACAACAACACTATACACAGGTGCTAGCATACAGACACACAAAGATGCCAAGGGCAAAACGCAATATCCTGCTTCTTCCGTCCTGTCTTCATCGCGTTTTGGATGAACATGCTGTTGGGCTCGTACACTCACAACAGTATGTTGCACTGTTTGTTCCGCAGTCAACCTCGATAAAAGCGATGTTTCCGGTAAACTCAGCTGTCAAACTCGATTTCATCTCTCCTCGGCCCAAATCCATATCAAACCATTAGCAAGCCCTCTCTCGCAAGTAAACAGCTCTGAACCTGCATCGCGAGAGGGCTTCAAGCAAAGAACAACCCGCCAAAAATGGCATCAGGTGAACCTCGGATAGTGACATCTAATGTCGTACAGCATAGACAGCCGCCGGGAAGTTCCAGCCATGCTTGGCAAAAGCGAAGACCAGAAGCAATGTGTACCGATTGATTGATTGATTGATTGATGGATGGATGGTTGATTGATTGATCGGTTGATTGCCCGTGGGTGCAAACACTCTTGAATTTGTTGCAAGGCCCTGCAAGCAGCTCTGCGACTACGCAGAAATGCGCACCGCTTCAATATCTCACACGGCCGTTCGCACTGTAGGCTCTCCCAACGACTCCTCATGTCTGCCAGAACCGAGCAACACCGCCAGCCTAACTCCAACCCCTCAAACACTAAGCCGGGGCCACCCGGCCCAGACAGCTGCCCTGCAGGCGGCAAAGCGGGTGCCTGGCGAAAACTCCGGTATTCCATGTATTCCTGATTCGTGCTATGGTGGACCGAGGAGCTGCGCGAAACCCTGACAGCCTGACGGCGGTCCAAAACTTGAGCTGGGCGCATGGCTTGCTGCTCTCGTTCCACACTTGGATCTGCATAGGCCACAGCCTGCAATACATGCCCATCATGCATCTGCCTGCAAGTCTCGGAAATTTTGATGTGCAGCATCGCAGGGACATATCCCGTGAAAGAAGGGTCTGCACCGCTCGGGTCCCCTGCTGAAAGCGATCCAGCTTCCCCGGCAGCCGCAGAGCCTCCACATGGCCAAAACATGGCTTGTTACTACAGATGAGCTGGAAAACCAAAAGACTGCAAGACCGGGATGCTCGACGTGATGCACGTCGATCCCAGCCGCTGCAAACTAAGTTTGCGCCGGTTGCAAGAGAACCGCGCAAGGATGAAGAGGATTGAGCGCAGGCAGTCTGCGTCCTCGTTCCCCAAATAATCATCCTCATCCTCATCATCATCATCATCATCATCGGCAGCAGCAGCAGCAGCAGTCCGCGCTGCCATCACCCTTGTCCCATCTTCGCTATCATCATCATCATCATCATCATCATCATCCTCGTCGTCGTCGTGGCCACATAATGGTACACTATCACTGTCTTCGTCTTCAATATGGGTAGCACAAGCAACATCCGCAAAGGTCAAAACGGAGAGAATAACAAACCCCTGACGCAAAACAAAACGAGTGTTCAGCACACGGATGGCCTTGGTGGTGACGTTGTTTATCTGGAGTAGCATCGTCGGCAAACGCTTGTCTGTCGGCACTGCTCGGATAAAACGGTCGTCCTGCACGGATGGGAATCCAAGGCGCTCCCTGTCTTTCATGGCCGGCTCTACCTCTGGGCCCTAAGAGGAAGGCGGACAGCTCACAGATCCTAGAATCCCAGTGATGGCCCCCTGTGCTGCCCTCCATGCTGATCTCACACCTCAACAGCCATACTACAGCCATAATACCACACGGAGCACAGCTGGCGTTTCAGCTGCACGGCACCGGTATACAGGCTGTCCTAGTCCGTTACTAGACCTTCAGAGGAGCCCCCCGACACCCTTCGCCTTTGGAGGTCTTTATGAGAGGCGCTTTGTTCACTCCGACTCTCTCCCTTCCCGCTGCGACAGCTCTTGGAAAGAGCTTCTAGCACAGGAGCCAGCAACAGAGCCGCAAGACCCCTCCCTGCAGTTTGGGGGGCGTCCTTCAGGACCTCGCCCGTCGAATCCTGGCCCAGGACTTCAACTGTTGAGCAACCCGTGTTCAAGGAGCCTGACAAAATATGATTTAAGTCATATAAGTACTAAGCTGGAACAAGCTAGAGCACTCAACGAGTGCGTGAGCTCCAAACCTTGCACTTGCACTGGTCTTTTCCTGCCATGGTCATCGACTTCCTATCTTCATCTGCGCACTCTGATCTCTTTGTTATCATACCTTGGATCGTAACGCTCCACGAACCGTTGAGCAGCAGGAGGGAGCTTCTCGACGCAAATCTTGATCCACACCTCACGGCCGCACCTTCTCTGGTGTTCTTTGAGGCACCATAGCCGCCGGTTGTCATTGGAAAATAACCGCCCGTGCTTGCGCACGGCCTCAAGACACAAGAAAGGCGATGTCAAGGGATCGTGCTTTCCTTCCGCCAGCTCCTCAACTAGCTGCTGCAGACTGCGCCCATCCCTGAAGCATTTGCCACAACTTTCCTGCGTGTAATTCACCTCATCGACAGGAATATTTAAGATCTTGGACTTGCCTACAGCTGCATCATTGGGATCTGGACGACGGCTAAAAGGAGTGGCGTGTGCATGCAAATTCTGGTTTGGTACGTCGTCCTCCGGCCGGGCGCAGGGGTATGGCGGCGCAGCACGCCTTCTGGCTTGCTGGGTAGCTTCATGCCCCCCTGTTGCAGCAAGCCTGGCGTTCTCATTGGACGTCCCCATCGGCTGTGTCGCCTCCTCCTTCGGCTTCTGTAGAGGAAGTGGATCCGCCAGCTGCAACGTTGGCAGAAACGCCGCCACATCCGGGTTTACAGCTTCAGGTTGAACTCCAGCGAGACCTTCCCTCACAGCCAGGACCACGGCAGCTTTAACTGCCCGTTCTCGCTTCGTCGTGTTTGATCCAATGCCTACGACTTGCAAGCCCCTCACCGGTCCGACGGTGACGACTGCAACATCAAAGCAGTAGCGCTCGCGATTGCGAGGATCGGCGTGCAGCAATCCTTCCAAGTCACAGTGCAGCCACAAGCCCTAGGTTAGGCGCCTGTGCAGATCAGACAGAACCTGGCACTGCAGCGAATGCAGCAGAGCCTCTTTGAGATTGACGAGCTTTCTTCCCCTGTGGCATCGCAGGAGGGTGCTGCGGCAGCAGTTGACCCCATCCCGACCAGGGCAGCACCTGCTGGTGCTGCCGATGGCATGGTCATTGAAGAGGTTACGGCTCTGCTCGCCCAGGTCACCAAGCAATCCGAAGACGAGGTGAAGAGAGCAGGTGTTATCGAAACACTGCGAGCCGCCAACACGGTGGGTCTCCTCAAGGGACAGCCCATCCTTCAGCGTTTGTTTCTTGACATGGGAGGATCGGCACCTGAGGCAACCGCGCTCCCTTCCCCAGGGGGCACCTCCACCATAGCGAAGTCGCCGGCAGCAGCCAGATCCACCGACTCCACCATCTCGACATCAACTACCTCAGGTGACACCTCCTGGGAGGGACGATCGGCACCTGAGGAGTAGAGGAGTCGCGGCTGGAAGTCATCAGCCGATTGCGCTTGGTCTCGTCATACATGTCAAGAAACAAACGCTGAAGGATGGGCTGTCCCTTGAGGAGACCCACCGTGTTGGCGGCTCGCAGTGTTTCGATAACACCTGCTCTCTTCACCTCGTCTTCGGATTGCTTGGTGACCTGGGCGAGCAGAGCCGTAACCTCTTCAATGACCATGCCATCGGCAGCACCAGCAGGTGCTGCCCTGGTCGGGATGGGGTCAACTGCTGCCGCAGCACCCTCCTGCGATGCCACAGGGGAAGAAAACTCGTCAATCTCAAAGAGGCTCTGCTGCATTCGCTGCAGTGCCAGGTTCTGTCTGATCTGCACAGGCACATCATCGTGCGAGGCGCGCGGGGGAGTCGACATGACCAGAAACAGAAAACAAACAACCAAGAAAAAGCCACCACGGGAACAACAACCCCGCATCACAGAGACCCGTCGTGAGTCTGACCCAAAATGGCTGCCGGCCCGAGCAGGATGCTGAAGAAAGGCGGTTGGCTTGGCCCTATGACATGCGAGTTGATCAGTGCAAGCACGTATTCCTCTACAAGAGCTCTCTCGGGACCGTGTGGGCGCGTCTGCCAAAGCTGGCACTCTGAATGCTCAGCACGTCCTTTACATGGTGCCCAAGAACGCATTGCGCTTTTATGCTTGCTTTGCTGAACACCTCCGACTTTGGATCGTCACATGCCACTGCAACGATCTGCTTGTTGGCATCGCCACAAGGTACCAGCCAAGCCGACATGGCAAGAGCTAGAACGGCTCAGAGAGAGATGGTTTTGCGATTGTGCATTGCTGCGGGTGCTATAACCTGCGGAAAACAGCCGCTGAATTTCAATATGAAATCATGCGGCAGCCTAGAAAAACATGGCTGCTTGAAGTTCTCGAGCTTGAAGACCCTGCTGGCGATTCACCGGAACAGCATCCTGTGTCTTTTGGGGCATCGGCGAAGAAAAAGCACGAGGCGCCTTATGTACGGTACATTACAGTACTCGTATCCCCGTCCATCGAGCATGCCCAACACCGCACGCAGGGTTGGGGAGGGGGTTTTGTTTAAACTGTTCAAACGCACCGATGTTTAAACGCTTTATGTTTAAACCCAGAGGACCCTCTGACGAGTCATGTTTAAACCGTTTAAACATGTTTGAACCAATTAAACTAAACGTGAAGACCAAACACGAGGCTGAATGTTCACACCTTCGGGGCTAGGGCGAAGTTAGGTGCAGGCCTACCGTAGAATTTGGCTTTGAGCCTTTGTAGCCCCTGTGAGCCCGAAGCCGTCGACGACTGGACTTCTCGCCTTGGCCTTCAAACTGAAGGCCTAAACCTCAAAGCCCACCCGCTAACACCCTTTGGCCCCTTGGGACACTCAGGGAACTGTTTAAACACGTGTTTAAAAACGCCTTTAAACAGATTCGGCATGTGCGACACTCAGGGAACTGCTTAAACATGTGTTTAGACATGCGTTTAAGCAGATTCGGCATGTGCGACACTCAGGGAACTGTTCAAACACGTGTTGAAACATGCGTTTAAAAAGATTCGGCATGTGCGACACTCCGGGAACTGTTTAAACACGTGTTTAAACATGCGTTTAAACAGATTCGGCATGTGCGACACTCCGGGAACTGTTTAAACACGTGTTTAAACATGCGTTTAAACAGATTCGGAATGTGCGACACTCCGGGAACTGTTTAAACACGAGTTTAAACATGCGTTTAAACAGATTCGGCATGTGCGACACTCAGGAAACTGTTTAAACACGTGTTTACACATGGGCTTGAACAGATTCGGCATGTGCAACACTCCGGGAACTGTTTAAACACGTGTTTAAACATGCGTTTAAACAGATTCGGCATGGGCGACACTCAGGGAACTGTTTAAACATGTGTTTAAACATGCGCTTAAACAGATTGCATGTGCGACACTCAGGGAACTGTTTAAACACTGGGTGCGACACACAGAGAAATGTTTAAACACGGGTTTAAACAGATTCGGCATGTGCGACACTCAGGGAACTGTTTAAACATGTGTTTAAACATGCGTTTAAACAGTTTCGGCATGTGCGACACTCAGGGAACTGTCGGGTACTGTTTAAACACGTGTTTAAACATGCGTCTAAACAGATTCGGCATGTGCGACACTCAGGGAACTGTTTCAACACGTGTTTAAACACGGCTTTAAACACATTCGGCATGTGCGACACTCAGGAAACTGTTTAAACACATGTTTCATCATGGGTTTAAACTCAGGAAACTGTTTAAACACGTGTTTCATCATGGGTTTAAACACATTCGGGATATGTGTCATGCTAAACATGCTTTTAAACGCCGCGTTGGGACGTGTGACACTCCTCGAGTTAGCACAAGTGTGTTTAAACATGTTTAAACGCCGTCCTGCACATGTTTAAACCATGGTTTAAACATCTCAATGCGACGACAATGTTTAAACAAATAAACAAACATCGACCCACCGGCTAAACATGTTTAAACGCGTTTAAGTTTAAACCGTTTAAACCTAAACGTGTTTAGTGCGACCCTGACCGCACGAAAAGTAAGTAGCTGCGCACGGGAAGGAAGAGGAAGACGCAGCCTGAATATGACTGAATTGCCCCCGACAGCAAAGAGCCTTCTTATCGCGGTCTGGGTGCAGCGTGCAAACGATGACCTGGCTACTGCGAGCTCTGTGACTTGATACATAAAGCAGGCCACGAGACACAGCAGGAGGCAAAACTGACGAGAGACTGACGAGCGTGATCACAAAACAAACAGACTTTCCGAGCTGCGCACCCGACCCTGTCCTTTCTTCTCTGCGATGGCGACGACCTCGACCCACCGGCAGGCGCTCGGCTGCGAAGCCGCGGACAACTCCGACAAGAAATCCGCAGCACTGTCCCAGCTATGCAACCCTCGCCATGCCCTCCAAGAGTATCCATCAAGCACTCCAAAGAACTCCTCAAGCCTTCGAGGCTTTCAACAGCCAGCCTTCGCCATCTGCACTTCCTGCTCGGAGGACTTGGGGGCAGCTCGGGCTGCTCCTGGCGTTTCTCGCTTTTCGGGTTTGGGCATGTGTAGGAGTCCAAGGCAGAGTTTTACTGTGTGAAGTTGCGCGCTCAGACTCAGGACCGTCGAGGATGTGAGTCCTGCGATATGCGGCTTGTTCAGCACAATCTCTTCCTCCTGCATGAACGAAGAACGGATTTCAGCCCGTGCTGGGACAGCTTTCGCGGCTCTGCGGCTCAGTGTGTCAGTAGGGCTCGCAGCTTCGGTGGTTCCCGGAGCTTTTGAAGTGGGACCGGCAGGCTTCACACTTACAGCCGCTTGCTGTTGTCTCTCGCTGCGAGAACCTACCGACTTTCGGAGTCTCTCTGAGCACCTGCGAGTACGCACTTTTTGCACCCAAGAGGAGGCTGGAGGGGGTGCCTCAGAGTCGGAGCAGGGTATGGCCGCGGGCGGCGCGGCCTCCTCTTCGGAAGAGGACTCCTGGAGAACTGCGATCGGTCACAGCTCCGCCCAGCCCAAACTCGAAGCCGAAGGCTCTCCTCCTGGCGGCCGTACAGGATGGGCTGTACCTTGCAGCGAGACGGGAAATGCTCCGGCTCTTGTCGGCTGTAGAAGCCACCCTTCCAGCCCAAGCAGCAATCACCACGTCCCCGTGGACGGCCCGGTTCCGGTGCTGCGAGCCGCGAACCTGAAACTAGAGGTGCGACGGAGAACATAGCACAAGGTTAAATTCTCAAGGTGCTTATCCGCTCGTACATTACATGCATGCATGCAGACGCACAGCCAGACAGACAGATCGACAGAAAAGCAGGGACAGACCGACAGAAAAGCAGAGACAGACGGACTGACAGACAGACATACTGACAGACAGAGAGAGTGACAGAGAGACTGAGACACAGACGGAGAGACAGAGAGACAGAGAGACAGACAGACGTGCTGATTCCCATGTGCATACTCCCCGATAAACAAGAGGAAGGGAGGGCGGAGGGGGAGAGAGGGAGAGAAGAATCGAAGTGCAAGCCAGCGAGCGAGCGAGAGGTGCATCGACAGACGGATGCTGAGATGCTGGCCACCAGATCCCGGTCGTCACTTCTGGCACCCTCTGGCCGCACAAAGGCGATACCTCTCGTGATCGGCAAAAGGACACGGTCTTTGATCCGCAGAAGAGCCGAATCGGGCTGGGCTATGCTGGGCTCACTGAGCTTTGATCCGCTGACTCTCAAAATGCCGCGGATGAGAGCCTCAGCATCGGGCCCCACGTCACCCCTCGCGTGTCACCCCTCAAGGGACTCAGCACAGCACCCCTGTGGCCAGGCCTCGGAGCAACGCAGCATCTCTCTTCTCCCTCACACATGCGAGATCCTCTCTCTTCTTCGGCTCCAGCGCGCTTGGATGCAGAAAGACACGAGATGTAGCTTGCCTTGCACTGGTGACGTCCGGCATTTGGGCTCCGGGCCCGCTTCTATGGTGTCCTGGTCCAGGTGCTCGTCGAAGACTTTGCGTCGACCTCAGCACTGGCCACGGGGCCACAGGAGCAAAGTTCCGTTCCACTCCGCACACTACGCTTGGGTCAAGGGCCCTTGACCGCCGTGGAAGGAGCAGCCGCCGAAGTCCCAGCAATGCAGGGACCTTCCGGAGTCTGCCGACCATGCAAGTCGTGACTTCAAAGTCAGCCTCCCAAGCCGCTTCCGCAACCCTGCGGTAAAGCTTAGGGCAGGTGGGTGCCTGAGCCTGAAGCTGGCGCTGCCGCTTGGTCGTGGTCCTGGATACTTCAGGTTTGCTATCGAAGGGTTTGCCCACCCATGTCTCACACCAGCTGCATGTCATTGTATGTCACATCCACACATACGCTCCTACATACATACATACATACAGACATACAGACATACATACATATACAGACATACGTCGACATACATACGTACATACATACGTGTTGATTAACATTCCTTCATCCGGAAATGGCCTTCCTCGCGGATCTTTGCTTTCTTTTCGCGTGACTTCCGTTCTCATGCTCCTATCCTGCCCGGGCCGCAGAGTCGCCGGAGCCCCCCTGCAACCCCACATCAAGCGCTAGCTTTGGTTGTGCTGTTGCATGGTGCACGAAATGCCTTGAAACTGTATGCCTGCGGAACGATAGCATGTTGCTCACAAGTTACATGTGTCTTACATGCCCAAGTCGATTGCGTGACAACTTTCGCGGATCTCTGTTTCTTTGCGCGGACTCACGGCGAATCTTTCGCGGACACATTGCTTTACATCTGAAGTACGGTACGGTTTAAGCCTACGTAAGCGCGAAGACTCAGACAAGGACCTGAAGATCAATGCTCCCCATACATACATTCGTACATCATACACATGCATCCGTGCATGCATATAGGCACAGAAGATTCCTCCTCACTCTGCGGAGGAGCCAGAGTGGCGGTGGCCATGTAGCCCTCCGCCTGGGACTGAGCCATCGACATGCAGACACATGCACAGACCAACGAGAGAGTGCGTGGGTGTATTCCGCATCAGCTCATGGGAACCATCTGGCTAACTGCTGCCCTTTCGATTCAATAGACTGCGCTAAGGCCGGCACCATGTTGCCCCAAGCGGCTCCGCACAGCTACTTTGGAACCAAGTGATCGTGCTGAGACTTTTGCAATGCGCAGACGTGAGCGTCAAAGACATAGTGCATGCCATCTGCTCTTGGAACTGCTGCTTGTATGAAACTAAACATATGGCCAGCTAAGTTGAGGCACCCGTGCATGGTTTTGCCTGAGCGATCCCCTTCCTGCTTGATCTATATAAGAGGGCCCGAGAAACTCAAGCAAAACGTTGCTCCAAGCGTGCAATACTGAGCAAGTACCAAAAGCAGCCTCGACGCTCGTGCAGACTTCTTTTAGCAAATCGAAAGAATCGAAAGGCTCTGGCGAGGGTGGTCGTTTTCCACCACTTCGACCTGCACTTGCGGCCAAACGAGCTGGCAAATTGACAACCAGGACAGTAAGCCGACTGCTGATGCTCAAAATCGTACTACGGGTTTACAAGAGGGAGCCCCAAGCACTGACAAGACAAGACCCAGACGACAGGAGGCGTCGCATCCCGAACTCTGTGACGGAGATTGGCCTTGATCTGGCTGCCGGCGAACGTTGCACCGTCCATCTTGTTCTGACACACCTCGCTGCAGGTTGGCAGGAGAGGATCAGAGGAGCTAAGCGAGCTTCTTTGGGTCCAAAGGACTTTCCACTCACTCAACTCTGTCATCCTGTAGAAGCATTCCTCTAATTTACGGGCTTTTTGCTTCTAGACGACTTCTAGCCCACCGGACTGCTTGGACTGAGCCGGAGCCTTGGCTGCTTCCTCCGTGGCAAAGCGGACCCATACCTCTTCTGAAGCAAACTCCGCACTGGGGGGTTCCAATGACTGAGGTAACATGGCTAAGGTCCCAGGTGTCTTCTCTGTCATAACATCAAATCGTGAGTTCGTTGCAGGTGAAAGCGGTCTGTCGAAAGCAGCATCAGATGCCTCCCCGAGCCCCACTCCCACGACAGTTTAGTGACTTAGTGCTGCGCTCGGGCGTGGATCCCGCCGCAGTCCGGGAAGCAGTCTGGCAAGCTGCGGAAGAACAACGCCACGATTTTGAGAGCTCACCCTCATGTCCATTGAACGCTGCTTCTCGAGGAGCCTTGTTCTGCTGCTTCCAAAACTGTGGAACCCACTTCGAGTTGCTCGTTGACCATGTCTGTCTTTATGCACGAGACCTATATTTGTATCTGACAAGGATCTGCTTCCAAATCTGAGGCCGCTGCGTAGAACTTCACCAAACGGCGAACATGCCTGCGAGTCGGATGGTCTGAGTGACAATGTCGTTTGAAGCTGCTTAGAAGCCACCCACGGCACACGGCACTGCGTAGGCATAGGCATTGCCAGGGTTCGGGAGTGGAAAGCTCGACAATGACCCTGCTAAACCATGCCAGCATGTTTCTAAAGTAAACTGCAATTTCCCCTGAGCCTGCAAGACGCTGGAAGCCATGTCCTGTAGCCACGCCGGTGCGAAGATGAGGGAAGCATTGCGTTGGAAAGGGCCCTTCTCTGGAAAAGGGTTTTTTTGAGGGGCCACGGAGCAGTTAAACTGAAACTTGATGGCAAGGCAATCCTCTGTTCCCTTCGAGTCTTGGCAGGCCAACTGAAGGACCAACCTATGCAGTGTAACAGATTTGTTTCAAGACACAAGGCCTCGAAAAAGCTGGGCCAGCTAACATAGTCGACGAGGCTCATGTCGCAGAGCCTGAACATGCACTCAGGCCAGTACGTGAAAAGAACCAATTGCTTCACCTGATGCGTTCCCTAGCACTACCTCGCGGCACACGTTTAGAAGGCCTGGTTGTGTCTTACAACATCAACTTGCCAGCCTATCACGATTGACTCATCATCTGCTGGGTGGTCTGGTTTGTTCATATATCCATAGATGTATATATACATACATATACATACATGATAGTCATAGTTGTATATGTGTGTATATATATGTGTATATATAACTACAGATATATATATATATATATGTATATATATATATATATATACATGGACAGGGTTGAGGGTTGCGAGTGGCTCAGAATTGGCGTCCGAGGCCCGGGCCCGCTGATCAAGACCGTGTGGCCCATCTGCGATGCGAAAACTTCGGGGCATGGCGTTGTGGAAGTTTCTAGGGACAGTATAATATAATTGTATACTTATGTCCCAGAGTTTGGAACAGGACTGTTTACGGCGGAAGTTTCGCTGAAGACTTCCTTGCATACGAATTTCAGGGGCTGTTGCACAATGCAATAGTTCATCCACGGTCGGTGTGCCCTGAACTTAAGACTTCGAAGCCCCCCTGAAATCTGGACATCAGATGCTTAGCTTGTACACGGCCTGCAACACAAGCAAGTTCCCGCAAAAAACAGTAAGACTCTGAGCGTGTCTGGGTTTTTAGTTCGCGAACCTCCAAATTAAGTATCTGAGCCCTTAGATTCTTTTCTTCTAAGATTCTAAGCTTGCAAACCTCCAGGCAAATTAAGAATCTGAGCCTAGGGACCTGCTTCTGCAAAGCCTATACATGCTAAAGAACTGAGGACTCAGACTCGATTTGGAGGTTTCCTAGTTTAGCCACACTCACTAGCACCAAGCTTAATATTGATTGATTGATTGCCTGTGGGTGCAAACACCCTTGCACTTGCAAGGCAACAGAGGCTGCTCCGTGCAGTACAACACAAAGAGCGCTCGCACACTCTAAGACTACAGGGGCAGAGTTGCAGCACAGCTCTGCACAGAACAAATGACGGGACATGGCATGCACGAGAGAATATGAACAACAGAAGCTCCTACAACTAACCTCACCTACATGCACATTGGCGCGAATCAAAGGGCTGAGCACGGAGAAACTACGACACAGCCCGTCGCCAAGCTACCTGCTCTTAAACTCAGGCATGGCAGGGAGCTGCGGAAACCTCTGGTTCTGAACAATGATTTGGAGTAGCTGAGTTGTGCTTATTCGGCCTCCTAGTTGCAAACAGGCTTTGGTTCAGGCTTTTGCAAAGACTTTGCTAAGAATCTGAGCCTCCCTGACATGTAGAGCTAAGAATATGAGAGCCTGACCTGCCCCGAGCAGAGTCTTACGCAGCGCTTGCGCTGTATTGCAACCCTCTGAAATGTTCAACATGTGCACCACATCCATGTCACACCACTTTGATGCCACGACGCCTCACTCCACCCCGTATAGCCGAACAGGCAATGCCATGTAGCATAGCATCGTCAAATGCAAATCGGCGTGATATTCAGAGGCAGCTTTCCGTTGCACGTTGTAGCATCTCGTTACGCCAATGTTAACAAATATCGTTGAGCACTAACATGGCCTGCTACAGCACAGGCATGCTCGCATGATGGCTTGTGACTTGCAAGTCATGATGTTCTCTCACAACAGCTGCGGTGGCTGCCAGCTCTGCAGCAGGCGAGCCTTGCGGAACGCGTCTCTGAATTTTTCCTCGCAGGTTTATTCGGGAAGACTCCCCTGAACGACGCAAGAGCCACCAACAGCAATTGTGTCCTGCACATCCTCCGGCTTCGCTTCGGGGTCGAACTTTGCGTCGTCTTCGTCGGCAAAGTCTACCTCCTCATCTTCCTTCAGGACGTATCTCAATCAGCACGGCTCAAGCTTACACCCAGAGCAAATCAGCGGCTCTTTTGCTTGGAGCCTGAGACCCCGGCTCCAGCCGAAGGCGAGTCCTGCAAAGTCGAAGGCCGGAGGTTCTTATAAAGGGGGCTATAAGGGTTACTATAAGGGTACTATAATATAGGGGCCTTAATCATCCTATGACTTACCTTTGGTTAGTAGAGAATGGAAGAATGGTAGTAATACTGTACTTATAATTCTACCCCATTCCTCCATTCCATACTATCCAAAGGTAAGTAGAGTCTGAGCTCCTTGCACGCCCTGGTCTCAAACAGTTATGTAGACTGCTGACATATGGGAGTTTCCGAAAATAGGATCCTTACTATTATAAGGACCCCAAAATACATATCCAAAGCCCTCAGGCCTGCAACACCGTAGCCCTAAACCCCTGGCACTGGTCCTCGAGAGCTTGCAGCTCGCTGTTTTCTACCTGGCAGCGATTGTCAACACCCGAGAATCCAAAATTCCTCGACTACGGGTCTCTTATTCAGGATCCCTCTTGCACCCGGTTGCTTGGGGTGCATATGGATACATTCTGAAATATGCATTATGCCCCCCCCCCTCTCCGACTGCGCACATTCCCCCTAAAACAGGAGACCGACTGCTCGTCTTGACTGAAAGCAGCTCCGCCTCTGCCTCCCCCGCATCGACATGGCGCTCCCCGAACACCGACTCCCACGGGTGTTCCCGCCCCTGTGCCACGATGCTCACTCTCGTGTTTCTCTCTTCAGCCTTCAACGCATTGGAAGGGTCGGCCTCGGCCTCGCTGGCCGGTGACTCGGCCAGGTAGGCTCCTCGCCTCAGGAGATCGAGTTCTTGGCCGTTTTGTTTTGGAGAGCTCTTGGCTTGGTCCACTGCATGCTACACATCGGTCGGAGCCACGGCTATCATCGAAATCGCAATTGGGTTAGCGATGTCAAGGACATGTGGATGCACTTCGATGGCTTCCCGAGGCTTTGTTGGAATTGGGGCCCGGGTTTTAGGGCTTATAGAGCCAACGTCTAGTGAAATTCCAAGGCTGCCCAAGCTCTACATTCCCAGCCAGCACCCTCTTCCCCTCCCGGTGCTGCCTGGCCATTCCTCTTGCATCGCCATTGCAATCTTGCGAATCCACAGCAGTCATACAAAAAAACCGAGGAAAGATAAGAAGCCTGATGAAACCTTCAGCATTTGTCTGTAAGCAAGCTGCCTACCGTTTCTAAATCGCCGCGATGGCAGCTTAGGCGCAGACGGCCTGAGCCGAAGAAACACAACACTCCGGCAAAGTGAAAACTGCTTTGATACAAGACAGTCCATCTGATGGAATCTCGAAGCAAGTAGTCAACCGGCTGCCTCTAGTGACTAGTGCGTTCTGACAGTTTGACAACACAAAACTACTCGAAGACCCACCAAGCCAAATATGCCTCCTAAAGCACAGCAGAGCCTTGCCCGGAAACTCGACGCGTTCAAGGCAGAGACAAGAACGCGGCCAACATGTACCCTACCACTGCTTCTTTCTGTGCCCGCAGGTCAGGTCTGCTTAGGCAACGGGTGCATGTTTATGCAAAATGCCGGCACTTGCACAAGGATGCGAGGTCTCCTCGTCTGCGGAGGGAGGATCGGCGATACTTAGGAAAATAAAATATACCTAGGACCCAGCCGCCCTAGCCTTGAGCTGCAAGTCAGTGACTTCCAGCGATGATTGCTTTTGCTTTCGCCCATATGAGAGACCCGCCAACAAACTTTCTGGGTCTCCGCATCCCTGGGCAACTTTACGAGCCAATGGCACGAATTCGTCAGAGGGCCACTGGGCAAAGACGTGACTTGCCAAGATACGTCTGTAGCGCATGCCACTAGCACAAGTCGGGCTGGGAAACAATATCCTCAGACACGTGCTTCGTGCGTTGTGACATGTCCACCTTACGCCTTCAGAATGCATCATGTGGGAAAAGGCTTGGCTCTCAACAAAAAGCGCCAAAGTCAGAACGTGATTTTCGACCACATCGATACTACCATGTGTGGTGCACCTGTCCAGACCCCATGCGAGCAGCAAGTACAAGGAGGACCCAGCGAGGGAGAATTATTGTGGCCGTCTGACACAAACTGCGCGATTTTATGCCTTCTCTATCTGCAGCCCCCCTCCAGACAAGTGTCGGGGCTGTCGTTGTCTCGGTTCTCGGGGGACTTGTTTATTGACATGTCTCTAGTTCTTCTGAAAGGCCGGACCATGGGCAGTTGAAACGGGAGGAGAGCTGCAAACGTAGCACGTGACCTTTCCAACTGGCTCTGCGCAGCTTCGGCTGGGGACACCCGCGCTTGCCCTAGGCGAAGCTTCAAAGTCCGGTCCGTCTGCTAAAAGATCGGGTTCAGCCAAGCTCCGCAGAGGTCTCCCAGCAGCCCAAGTAGCTCCACTAGTCAGGCGCCAGCTTGTCCGTGACTGCGTCACCCAGCTGAGCAAGAAGGGAGCAGGTCCCAAGGAGAATGGCCGGCTGCTGATGCCAAGCTCTCGAAGATTGATACTGTAGGGTTGAGAGCCACGCTGCCTTGGCGACCATCTCACCATCTTGTGTGTGTGGGGCCGAGGTCCCAGACTCATCATGTCCAACAGCCCTGCCCTCGCTGGCGTGCGCGGCGACGCGCAATGCAGGCAGAGGCTGTCGACTGTCCTTATTTACAGGGGGAAAACAGCTGCAGTTCGGCCGTCTGACGGCAGCCTGGGCTGTCTCCACGGCCTTTGCGACTTGGCTGCTCTGGAATTCGGTTTAAGGAGCCCCAGGCCCAGGCAAGCCGACAATGTGCAAGAACAACACGGCTTGTTCTGCACTCTGCAGCTTTTGGCCTCAACTTGCCAGCCAAACGCAGTAGGCGCAGCAGGCGCAGTGCAATAATTTTTGCATGTGGGCCACTGCATATTACGTTGCAGCGGCATCCTGTGGAAAATAGAATCGATTCGGGTGCAGCCAGCCGCGTTCAAAGTTCTCGCAGGCTCTGGCTTGCCAATGTGTGTCAGACTTCCCCAAAATGCCCAAGCGGCTGTGGCGCAGTTGGGACAAAAAACCAACATGGACCTACTGAAGCAAATCTGCATAATCAACAAACGCAACGAAACATATCCGACTAATGAATTCGCAGAGAGCCTCTCCCGGTTGCACAAGTTTGTTGACTCTTCTCTCAGGCTTCTCAGAGGGACCGGGTTTTGCATGACTTGGCTTCCTGCTGAAGCACTAATCTGAGGCAGTAGCTTCACTGGCCCTCAGATGGAGAACTGAATAAAGCAGAACAGTGCGAGTCCAGCCATTCTGTTGCGAGGAGCTAAAGGCATGTATGTGAAGGTGCACCCATTAGAAGAGTACATGAGCTCTTCGGCCAAGCAGTTCCCCAAAACTCTGCTGCGCAAGCTTGCCGTGCTGCTGAGGTGCAAAAGGTTCTTACATGAGCCCCAAAACTGACCAGGCTGCTGGTTTCAAGGATCGGCTACAGCAAGCTTGCAAGAGTTCTAGGCATAAGCAGCACTTTCAACAGAGGCTCCTCTTGGCGGATTTCCTCTTGTCGTCCTCGCAACGCTTGCATCTGATCCAATCCCGTTAATACTTGCGAGGAGCCCACAAAAGGCCTCGGCTCAGGAACGCGAAAGCGATCCCACTGGCAGAGCTCCAACCTCGTCACAGTGTCAAACATTCCGATTGGCACAAGGGCTTAGGCTTTTTAGGGTTCAGGGGACTCTCCTTTGTGGAAAGCGTAGCCTCTGTCCGAACTTGCGAAGTGTGACCTCTGCGCTGGAAGCCCCTCGTACCGAGCTTCCTGCTGCCATGGGCATCCTGGATCATCGGGCCAGGGGCTGCATCGTCGAATCGCTACTTTATAGGGGGGCTTACGTCCTTTTTTTCGCAGGTCTGGGCAAGGCTCGGGATTGGATAAGCTTCTTCGTCTGGCTCTGAGCGTAGAAGCCTTCGACCCCCTGGTCCTTGGAGCATCCCCAGATTGCCGCCTGTGCTGCCAGCCTGCCTCAGTTACGATGCTTTGCAGAGCGCCTGGCTTGGTTTTCAGCCACTCAGGCGAAGGCGACCTTGCCGTCCATGTGGCTGTGATGATGCTGGCGAATGCGAGGGGGCCTCCATACGAAGACAACTTAGCCACTGAGAGTTGCACTTTGATGCGCTCAAAATCCGAAGATCCCCGATGCCGCAGCGGCTTCGCGGTTCCTACTTCGAGGCTGTGATACCGAGCTTTGCGCGAATCTGCGCGAGTTGCTCGCTGACGTCGGCTTGTTTGACACAGACTGCCGGTGGCAAGGCGCACCTCGGAGCCTTCGAGGGTTCCGGGAAGGCCACCTGGAGCCAAAAGTTGTGTCCGGAATTGCAAGGCTCCTGGGAAGCTCTGGGCCCCCGGCCCGAATGCCGTTTTGCAGAACCACCGGCTTGTACCTGCGTTCAGGTCTTCCAACAAATCTCCAAATGCACAAAGCGACATCTCAAGAATCAAACTCCGCTGTTTGCACTCGTCCGGCACACTCTCGTGCATGACCTGAGCAAGCACTGCATTGAAACTGCCTTCACATCGTAAAGTGGCCCGCGCATGGCCACGAAACGGGGATGGAGAAAAGCGAGGGTGGGGGCAGAGAAAACGTGAAGAGGGAAGGCGCCAAAAAGAGCTTCAACTGAGGCCCAGCTCAGGCTTCCAGAACAGCGGGCCCGGGGATGAGAATCGGGCGGAGTCTTTTGTCTCTCTGGGATTCTCGACTGAATCGAAGCTGACGTTTCAGTTTGGCGAGATTTCGCCAGATGTTTGTGTCTGGAACCAGTGCACCGCTGAAGACGATTGAGGCAAGCTTTCGCTCAACTTCGTTCTGCATGGAATGCGGTTCCAGACACAGTCGAGTGATGAGGCAAAACCAAAAATAACTCTCTACTCATGTTATGAGGGTTAGTATGGGTTAGTTGTCCCGTACGACGTCTTCGAAGGATTGGCCCGGGATCGCCTCGCGGGCGACGCCCTGGGCAGTGCTTCCGAGACGTGGAAAAAGAAACTGAGCTCTTGCACACCACCCGCCCCGTCCAAGAGTGCCACAGCACACAAGGGGCAAGACTTCGGGGGCAGGTGGTAAAAGGTACTGACCAGGTAGTGATTAAAACGAACCAGAACAGGGTGGCGCAACGAAAAACGTTGCTGCGCGAGTACATTCCACTAGACTTGCGAAACCAAGCATAGCTGGCTTCATCACAGGCTTTGCCGTTGCCTCTCGAACCGACATAGTCTTGAACGTGAGGACGAGGCAAGCATCTGTTCAGAATCGAAACACATCCCGGCATCGCGACCGAGTGAAGGGGCACTTGCGGCTTCATCCGTCAAGAGCATCTCGCACGGAATCACGAACGGGGCTGGACTCCGTTACCCTTCCGCGGAAGCAACGTTGCAGCCCAAACCTTCATCCGGAGCACCTGCGACAGTGTGGAGGCACAGCAGGGCCAGCAAGCTGCGAAAGCACGGAGCCTATGAGATCGCACCCTAAACCACCATCACACGGAAGGGACACAGGCATTCTCCCATGTACCACGTCGTGGCTGGCCGTCCTGCTCGGGCTGCAGAAGAACTCCTGAGAAGGTGTCCAGGATGATGCAAAGCACAAGATAAGAACCCCACCCAACTGTACGCCAGAGTGCTGAAAACATCCACAACATCCAGAGCCCATTTGGGGCACTTGCCTCACTCTGAGAAACTAGACTGAGCCAAGCTGCCATGAAGCGGGAGCTTCTGCCTACCAGGGGCCCTCGAAACTACCCAGGGCTGCACAAGCGGCGCTTTCGATTCTGGCACAATAGCGCAGGCCCTGGCCACGGGCAGGCCATCCACATCGCTTCCCTCGCTCATGCTGCGGAAGCCCAACAGCTTCCGGAAGTCATGCTCGTCCAGGCAGTTCACTCGCTCGAAGCTGTCCCTGGAGTTCGTTGGCTGCTGCATCGTCAGGGGGCAAGTTTCTGCCCACTTTCTACCGAAGTGCCTCGATGAACGGCACCACTACCCATGTCGGACTTGAGGAGACAAACATGCACAGACTAGACGCAGACACTCCTGCAGGTATGTTTTTGCTTCTCCTTCAGTGCTCCAAGCCCCAGTAACACACCGCACAGATTAGATTTTCTGCTCCTCTCAGGCGAATCTTGCGAGCTGGAGAGACCGGCTCAAAGCCGTTCCACATGAACACTACTCCCATGATGGGAGAAATGCGCGCGAGTGCCGTCACATCTCAGCATTCGGCCAAGGTCTGGCAGTGCGACATTTCTCAACGTCTCACATACCACGCGGCCATTGAGGCAAGACATAGTCCAGAGTTGAAACTCCCGTTTCATCTAAAGCTAGAGGCAGCGGCTTCGTCGTTGACAGCTTCTTCCGACATGCTGCTGGCCAAGGTGTGCGCCGGTTCAAAACCATTCAACTTCCTTCTCGATCCAAACCCAAAGTACTCTGCACCTATATGGCGTCTGCAAGCCTGCAGCTAGCAAGCCTGGAAAAGGTGTCCACTTGAAAAATTTCTGTCGAAGGACATGAAACAATCAGATCATCTACAGCACAAACGTGCAACATTCCCGATAATTCATTACGTCTCACGAGCGGGGCTCGACTCTGCTGCGCTTGCGCGGGAGCAGCGTGGCAGCCCAAGCCTTTATCCGGAGCACCTGCGACGGAGCTGGCTGGCCGTCCTGCTCGGGCTGCAGAAGAACTCCTGAGAAGGTGTCCAGGATGATGCAAAGCACAAGATAAGAACCCCACCCAACTGTACGCCAGAGTGCTGAAAACATCCACAACATCCAGAGCCCATTTGGGGCACTTGCCTCACTCTGAGAAACTAGACTGAGCCAAGCTGCCATGAAGCGGGAGCTTCTGCCTACCAGGGGCCCTCGAAACTACCCAGGGCTGCACAAGCGGCGCTTTCGATTCTGGCACAATAGCGCAGGCCCTGGCCACGGGCAGGCCATCCACATCGTTTCCCTCGCTCATGCTGCGGAAGCCCAACAGCTTCCGGAAGTCATGCTCGTCCAGGCAGTTCACTCGCTCGAAGCTGTCCCTGGAGTTCGTTGGCTGCTGCATCGTCACGGGGCAAGTTTCTGCCCACTTTCTACTGAAGTGCCTCGACGAACGGCACCACTACCCATGTCGGACTTGAGGAGACAAGCATGCACAGACTAGACGTAGACACTCCTGCAGGTATGTTTTTGCTTCTCCTTCAGTGCTCCAAGCCCCAGTAACACACCGCACAGATTAGATTTTCTGCTCCTCTCAGGCGAATCTTGCGAGCTGGAGAGACCGGCTCAAAGCCGTTCCACATGAACACTACTCCCATGATGGGAGAAATGCGCGCGAGTGCCGTCACATCTCAGCATTCGGCCAAGGTCTGGCAGTGCGACATTTCTCAACGTCTCACATACCACGCGGCCATTGAGGCAAGACATAGTCCAGAGCTGAAACTCCCGTTTCATCTAAAGCTAGAGGCAGCGGCTTCGTCGCTGACAGCTTCTTCCGACATGCTGCTGGCCAAGGTGTGCGCCGGTTCAAAACCATTCAACTTCCTTCTCGATCCAAACCCAAAGTACTCTGCACCTATATGGCGTCTGCAAGCCTGCAGCTAGCAAGCCTGGAAAAGGTGTCCACTTGAAAAATTTCTGTCGAAGGACATGAAACAATCAGATCATCTACAGCACAAACGTGCAACATTCCCGATAATTCATTACGTCTCACGAGCGGGGCTCGACTCTGCTGCGCTTGCGCGGGAGCAGCGTGGCAGCCCAAGCCTTTATCCGGAGCACCTGCGACGGAGCTGGCTGGCCGTCCTGCTCGGGCTGCAGAAGAACTCCTCAGAAGGTGTCCAGGATGATGCAAAGCACAAGATAAGAACCCCACCCAACTGTACGCCAGAGTGCTGAAAACATCCACAACATCCAGAGCCCATTTGGGGCACTTGCCTCACTCTGAGAAACTAGACTGAGCCAAGCTGCCATGAAGCGGGAGCTTCTGCCTACCAGGGGCCCTCGAAACTACCCAGGGCTGCACAAGCGGCGCTTGCGATTCTGGCACAATAGCGCAGGCCCTGGCCACGGGCAGGCCATCCACATCGTTTCCCTCGCTCATGCTGCGGAAGCCCAACAGCTTCCGGAAGTCATGCTCGTCCAGGCAGTTCACTCGCTCGAAGCTGTCCCTGGAGTTCGTTGGCTGCTGCATCGTCACGGGGCAAGCTTCTGCCCACGCCCTCTGCTGCCATAGTTCAGGGACTCCAAGATCTTGAAGGCCCCGCCACCGTACCCACCTACCCCCCACACGTGGGGACTTGAGCACACAAACTTAGGCAAACACACATGTCGCAGGCTCGCTTACGATGAGGACTTTCGTGAGAGCGAGGCAGCGCCTAGTCCTAGCAACGGCTCAGTCCTTTTTAGGCGGCCTTTCCCCCTCAGATTGCTCGGCCTGCTCCAGTAGCCTTCCCTAAAGCCAAAAACTCGAAAAAACCCTAAACCCCACGACCTCGGCCCTGGACGAAAAAACCCCTATGAGCTCCCGACAGGGCTGTTGCGGTACCGCTCCACATGAGCCTGGGCGACTCCATGTCAGGCAGTATACTGTCTTGTGCATACCATGATTACTCTTGTTTTGCATACTGTTAGTGGGTACAGCATCATTTCCAGCAGACTATGCTATACTTAGAGTATGCTAGCTTATATTATCACAGGGTCCAAGAAAGTCCGTGCCTCCAGCCCTTGATGCGGTCCGCTCCAGCTCACTCCACACACCTCTCGCAGTCATGGCCAGGGCTCCGAAAAGATGTCACATATGTGTGTGTGTGTATATATCTATATATATATACACATATAGACAGGTTAACAGATGGATAGATAGATAGATAGATAAATAGGTAGAGATACAGAGATATGAGATATCTGCAGCGAGGGAGGCCCGAGCCTTCTTGCTTGGCAGCACCCACTTTGAATAGCCGCCTCACATGGGTCCAGGGGTCTAGGCTTTTTTTGCTTAGGGGGGCCCGAGTTGGGAGTGGGAAGCGGAAGCAAAGCAGAGCGAAGCTGGCGAAGCTCTCGGGCTCCGGCTGAATTTGGCCCAGAATTGGGCCACGTAGGAGGGGTCCACCAAGTTAACAAACCTGAGTCGCACCAAACTCCCAAGCCAAGCAAAGGCTGCCACACTCACCTTATCCAGAATTCTCGCCAGTTGTCCAGGTTTGCAGGTGTGGCACTTCGTGAAAGGTGTGCCCTTCTGGCCGATCTCGCTCCGATCGGTGCAATCGAAAAACAGACAACAATGTGCACTCTATAAACCAACTACACTGACCAACTGTTCTCATCATCATTCTCTAGGGCCTTCCTCCGCCATGTACGTATGTGTGTCTGTATGCTGTGCGCTGTATGTATGTGTAAATCCGTGCTGCCAATGCTCAAAACATACCGGGATAAGAAGAAGGCTTATGTGTAGTGTTTGTTTGTCTTGAAGGGTTTTAAGAGGCACATTAACTGTGTCCTTGCCTATGATGTGTTGAGCATGAATCTTTTCGCTGAGGCATCTGCGCATAGCCTAGACAGGCGCGGCTCTGAAAGTCGATCGGCAAGTACAGAAAGTTGTACCTCAATCCAGCTTCACTTTTTAGCACCCTTGGTCTGTCTGGCAGAGTCAAGACTCGAGGCCCTCCGCTGGGCCCTTCTCGGATGGCACTGACCCCGAGCTCAGGCTCAGCAGGATCCGACAAAGGCTTGCAACAACATCCAACAGCTGGCGCACTTGCCCTCAAAGCCTTCACTGTCAAGCATCGCCAACCTTGGAAAGGGCGGTTGCAGGCTGCAGACCACTTTGCGGCTGTTTGCCGACTTGGGGGCTCTTCGGCCAAGGACCTCACAGCATCGCTCGCGTGTAGTTGTTGGGCAAGTTTCGAAGCATCACCTGGCTTCGAGCGCGGACTTGCGCATCGTGAAAGGACTCCTGTCCCAAACCATGACGGGCTTGCAGTTGTACACTCTTCCATGGGTAGATCGCCTCGAGACCACATTCAATGGGGCTGCAGCTTGCAACTGGGGGAAGACTCCGGTGCTGCTGATTCCTGATCCGGGCCTTGGTCCCTCCCATACCCCGCCGTCACAAGTCCCCGTGCCTTCACCGAACCCAGCGAATTCCCGCCCTCATGCCCAGCATGCACGCATCTCGAAAGCCGGGCCTCAAACGAAATACGAGTAGACTCTTGACTTCGAGAGAGAGAGAGAGAGAGAGAGAGAGAGAAAGAAAGAAACGAAAGAGATCGTAAATCAACATCCGTCGCATCTGCTGTAGCTATAGCACGTCGTTAGCGATGATTTCACCTGTGAAATCTCCTATCGACCATTACCTCAAGTTCAGAACCCACGAAACAAAGCCGAGGTCCTGCCAGTCGCTGGGGCTTCGACACTCGACAGGCTTCGTCGGGACGGCAGTGCCACGAACCTGCCTGCCTTCGCGGATCAGTTGAATGCTATCGTCCAGCAAACAAAACAGCCCCGAGACGCCAGCAAAGAAGGACAGATGATTCCATGATTGAGCACAGCTTTCATCTACACCCCCCGTGCCCCCAGTGCCCAGCATCCCTGGCTCTGCCTTTCTGAAGGTTCAGCTCTGCCTGCCCACAGCCACGACAGGTGAAGACCGTTGGCTGCAGACTTCTTGCTTCACGCTATACTTACTATACTCTACTTACACTACGTTGTACGACATTATACTACATAAAGCGTTCGATATTATCCTATGTTATACTCTATGCTACCATAGTTTACAATATTACACTGTACTTTCTCATACTACATAGTGTTATATTATACTTCAATATATTGTCCTGTACTGCACTTTATTACACTATATCATACGACATCATATTCTACTATACTTTACTATACTATATTATACTTCAGTATACTTACTTGTATTATATTACACTATATTATACTATCTTGTACTTTGTTTTACTTACTTATATTGTATTCCACTACACTATACTAGGCTCTGCTTTATACTATGCTATATTGTACTGTATTGTACTACGTTGTATTGCGCATCCAGCGGCCTCGAACTCCGCCTCGCCCTTCTGGCCTCCGAAATTTCTCCGGATTAGGGCCATAAGGGCTTAAGTTTTAAGTTTATTGAGTTTAGGATTTAAAGGATTTTGAATGCGTCGGGCTCTTTGTGAAGGGAAGTTGCTGCCGGCGATTGAGGTCCAGGGCCACCCAACCTTAGATCCCCAAAGCCGACTTTTCTGAGGCAAGTGCGGAAACGGCGTCGCCGGGCCTTCCAAACAGGGATTGGAGAAGGAAAAAGTTCTTCAGTTGCGTGTTTGTAGGTGTGCCTACCTTCTGAGACATCTTCTGGGGTCAGCTAAGCTCTGAGGCTTTGGATCTGTAGTGTTCTCGGGTGGAGATTGCTTCATCCACGTCTGCACTCACGACGTTAACTGCCCTTGACTCAGAAGCACTGAGACTGAGAGATTCCCTCGAGCACCTGTTGGCTGTCCTGGCCCAACTCCTGGCTGTGCCTGGGCCAAGTGGCAGAAGAAGAATTTATCACAACAATGTTTACATGGCATCTCTGAGTGATAACACAGACACAGCAACCGAGAATGATCGCAATTCCCAAAGCCAAATCCGGCGCAACGTGGGCAAGGCAGGTCGGAAAATGCAGGCCCGGCAACAAAACCCACGTCATAGTGGCGACGACACTGTGATTCTGGGATGGCCGAGGCACACCAATGCCGGTGTGCGATAGCACAAGGGGCAAGTAAGACATTGAAGCCGCGGTATCCATCGTGCTACCAACCAGCCAAAAAGGATCAGGAATCTGTGAATACCGACAAGGATGAGCACACCTATTTTCACCTCCACCAGAATTCGAGCCCCAAGAGTTTCTGGGGCCCTCGCGGGCCGTGAGGACCCATCCAGGAATCAGCAGAGTCCTACCAGCCAGTACCCATCACTTCCCACGGTCTTACAACTCAACATAGCAAATCACAAAACATCCTCGGTTCCTTTGGGAACTCCCGGCTCCTGCATAGAACCATTGCCCGACCCGGGACCGAAGCTCACCTCTGCTGAAGCAGCAGTTCAAGATTGTGTTTGGGATGAACTCGCAGCCACGAGCTCCAGGCTTTGTCCCGAAAAAAGAACTGCAAATACTGACGACAGACATGACTAAGACATGCGGATATTCAATACCAATGCGTACATGTCGGAAATCAAGGAAGAAGTCGTTCTTCCAAGGCTTGTGCCGGCATCAACACCGTGGCCCAGCCCATGTTGCTGCTCTCTTGCCTCGGACATGGTGCTTCAGAGCTTCGGGGAAAGTCTTCTCCCTGAGCCCCTCTTTCGGCTACCGAAGAACAGACTCGTCAATGAAGCTCAGATTCTCAAGCTAACGGAGGCACAAGCGAAGTTGGGCGTCAACAGGGCCCCCCAAGCAACTGGCTGAACGGGAGTCGTAGCTGCCGGCTGCGACTCGCCCTGGCTCTTCGACTCGTCCTTTCGCTGTTCCTGGCGGTCCCGCAAGGGCTCTTCATGTCGCTGTACAGTACCGACTGACCGATCGGCTCGAGGAACCCCAAGAGAGAAAGGCGGTCCTGTGCCATGACCCGCTGGCGAAGAAACTCGTTCTCCTGGCAGTTTCCGGAGGTTGCGCCGCGAAAGCTTATTGTACCTCCCTGCAAAGCAAGTCGGACCCAACAACTCTGACTGCAGTGCTTGTGCCTGTGCCAATCTGGCCACCTCCGCCGCTAGCCTCTGCAGGTCCTGTTCCGTGGATGCAGAGGAGGTAATGGGCAGTTGGTGTCCGCGGGGCTTGCCGTTCAGACCGACAGGCAAAAACAGCTCGTTCCACACCAGTTCAAGGCACAAAACAGAGTCTTAAAACGCAGTCAAACATCACATGCCTGTTTCGAGGCGGCACTTTTGTTGTCGAGCGCTACGTCAGACGAGGAGACCTGCCGCGAGAAGTCACTTCGAGCTGCGCCAACACAGCGACGCTACTGGTCTCCGTCTTTCTCACTGTCTGTTCTCTTATGACGATTATGCAGCTGCCCAGAGTCTGGAGGTTGTCCCATGCTGTGCGTTCAATCCAGCACCTGAGCACCTGCCCTGAACTTCGCCTAACATTGCTGCTTTGTACCACGAAGCGCCGCCGGGCCCACGCGGCTGTGAGTCGGAGGGGCAAGTCCCGGCATTGGGTCGGACCTCCGCGGTGTGCGCCATGCGGAAGTGAGGGAGAGCTGAACCTCCCACCCCTCGCCACCCTCGCCCACCTCATGTCCTCCTCCTTCGGGATCTGGCCCTGGGCCCAACACACGCACAGACAGAGACCTGCCAAGGGTACCTTTGGAGCCGAGGATGCCGCTGCTTCGCCAAAGCCACTGGGCCAGTCCATGCCTGGCGGAACTGCGGCAGCCGGTCCATCAAAGAAGGGGAGTTGTGCTACCGATCCACAAAGACAAGCACATAGAATCATAGAAGCACCCAAGACGACGGGATGACGGCCGGAAACAGTGAGCACGGAACCATGGAACACGCAAAAAACCACGCCGCAGGCCGCTACTAAAAGTCAGTCTGCAGAGCAATTGCGCTCCTCTTGGACTCGGTGTTCGTGCGACGTACTGGTCAAAGTCGTCATGTCCTGGGCCATGACATCTTGTAAGTTTTTTACGGAGGTGGTAAAGAGGCGACAGTGAAATCACACGATGCAAACCGGCCTGCTGCCTGCGCCGTGTGAGGCGTGCTCTCTCCGCTGGGGAAGTCCTCAAGCACATGGCGGGATGACAAGACAATTCCACCCAAGGCCGCCGTGCGTCGCATTGGTTGCTACTGTTTCTAATTCTATTCATGATACTGAGCAGGGTGCCGCACTTGGAGCAACCTCCACTATTCTGAAACCGCGAATGTTCTCCTTGATGTGAGAGTAGCAAGGCAGTGGCAAGGACTTCTCACCTGACGGCGACTGCGACACCAAGCAACCGGAGCCGAATGCAAGCCATTCAAACATTCTGCAGGAGCTTGCGCTCTGCCATGTTCTTGTGCAGACTGCTAGACTCTGACATCTGCTTGTTCATGCGCATGATGCTAGTTGGTTTATGCGTACACTAGATTTCAGAATCCTGCAGATAGCTTACCCGCTGATTAGGCAAGCTATGTTGTGTAAACACACGGTGTAGCGATTCACGAGCTTGTACATTGGCATATTATGGTGTTGCTGTGAGTGCTTCTACTCAAGCAATCCTCTCGCTGCCTTCCTTGGTGTCTGGATTCGTCTCCGTGTCGCTCCAGCCATTGAGCTCGAACTCGATTGGCTCATCCTTGAAAGGGGAGCTCAAGAAGAGCAGAGGGAGGACACGACGGATGAGCTGGAGCGAAGGACTTCAGACTGGAAAGACCATTGGGGTTTCCAATCGTTTCAGCCCGAAGCCGAAAGCCGTAACCCACTGTTGCAGAAGCCTCAAGCCCCTGATATGCCAAAACTTGTTAGCATGCAATTAATGCAAGCCTCGAACCTTGAAAGCCCGCGTCAGGTTGTCCACGGATGCTTAGCCCCGAAACCACCAAAACCCAAGAAGAACCGTGCGGTAGATCAGACTATCTCCTGCCAAACCGTGAAGTCGCAGCCCAAAAACTCTCGCTCTCTCTCTCTCTCGGGCATGAGGGTCGGTTAGGACCCCCGGGCATCGTGCCCACCCGATGTGTTATCGGGTTTGTTGGGGGGTGAAAGACAAATGTAGATCCTGGCTCTCTCTCTCTCGCTCTCTCTCTCTCTCTCTCTCTCTCTCTCTCTCTCTCTCTCTCTCTCTCTCTCTCTCTCTCTCTCTCTCTCTCTCTCTCTCTCTCTCTCAACGCATATACTTACACAGTGACACACATCACGGACAGTTTCGATGTGTCGCTTGATTGGAAACCCTGAATCATTGAGCTTGACCGAGGGCACGGCCGAAGGAAAGTCCTTGAAGTCCTTCACGGGCGGCAGGGGCTTCTGCGGCGCCTTCCGTCTTCCGTCGGCTCAGCATCAGCTTCCACTACGATGTGAGGATGAAGGTGATGGTGATGACTTTGATGAAGATCTCGGAGACGGCGACGATGCTTCTCAGGACGATGATGATGGCTGTGATCACTGCAAAGACATCCACAAACGCAATGTGCAGGCGAATGGATGTCATGAGCATGAAGAGCATGAATTCGGCGGTGGACAAGATTCCTGCCATTAATCTGGCTATCTTCAGGGCTTCTCCAGTCGGAACCGCGACATGCTGGAAGAGGAAAAAGGCGACCCAACGGTTGAGCTTGGTTCTGGTCATGGGTGTGCCTCGATTCCTACGTATGTGCTCGGGAATGCTGCCTTTCGAGCTTGCACCTAACCCTTTCACTACGACTTGACCTGAGGTTTTCCTGATCCAACAATGGTTTCGCGAAGGTTCAAAGATGCTATGCGTGGATGTGCAGAACGGCCCTGTTTCTATCAATTCATTTCAATATCGAGTTCAGAGCTTGCATCTAAAAGGCTTAGCCTTAGAGCTAGAGTGAATCAAGGCCCCACAGGGCCTTGGTCTCCTGAACCTCCTGAGGGGCCTCCGCAGCAGCAGGTTGTCTGCAAATGATAGGGCCGAGCAGTGCGAGACCCTTGCTTGGATCCCGATCGGAGGCTGCAGCCGTGACTATACTTGCAAATGCAACGCACATTGGGTACTGCTCATCTCCTTCACGGTGTCTGCTACACGACCCGCCTGGTTGGGCGAGTAACCTGGCTGGCTGCTGCTACATTCCATTGTCGAAATAAAGTGTCAAGAGTCAAGGACACAGCCAAGAGAAGGCCAAGATAGTGACATAAGAAGCCAAACGAAAATAACAACTACAGTACTCTTAGTACACTGATCTTGTCGTATGAGTAAGCCCTTTGCGTAACCTCCAGACAAAGGATACTGCGAGTTTAGGCCATTGAGAACCGGGCCCTCGTAGAGAACAGAGTCCGAGCTGGCGCGCATCAAGCAGTTGCTTGAGAAGCCATCTGGGCGGCACAAGTCTTTGGTGAAACTGGGATCTACGAGCGTGCTATCTCTGTTTTCTTTGTTCTACTGGAGAGGGAGGGGAGGGGTAGGGAAGGGCTTCGAATTCGATGATCTCAGGGGTGCAAGATGAAGAACATTGCGAATGACCGCACCATACCGCCCTGAAGCTGATCCAGGCTCTTGCTGGAGAGCCGTGACGCCGCAAAGGCACCCTGCTCACATCGAGAAGTAGTTAGAACGAGGTCCAGGCCTGCATTGGCAGGGGAGCCATCTTCAACAAGTTCGATGAACGTGTTGCGCAGCACCTGCTTCTGAGTGCAATGCAGGGTTGAAGGCTCTACGGGAATTCACATGCGGAACCAAAGCAACCAAACACTAGCTGACTCTTCCCTCCGTGCTTCGGCCCTTCCCACAATCTGGTGGTTCCCGAAAAGAGCAGCTCTGGCACCCATCGTCCGTTGGATGAGGTTGGCTCCTGGCGTGGATCCCGCGAGTCGTGCGTGCTTGGGTTTTCGCCTTCGGCTCATGGAAGAAGCTTTCAAAAGAGGTTGCAAGCTGCAGAGACGCAAGGTCCTTCTGGACTGACTCCATCACGTCCTGCCGCCGTTGGTCATGTTAGTTCTCAATCCCACCGAAGATGCACAGGCCTGCACGATATCTGCGAAGCCTTCGGTTGGCGACTTCTGTAGCAGCGAAATGTGTGGACTGACCACACCGAGGGGGTACCTGGCAGTGCCGACAGCTCTTCTCGTTGTATCGGCAGACAGGGATCTATAGTGCTTCGATTGGGGACACCTCAATGCTCAGGCATTGATGCAAGGATAATCGCAAAAGATTTCTCAAAGCTAGGATCTCTGTCTTGGCAGCGTCCTCAAACTTTGCCAGGCCGACAAATCGACAGTTCTGCCTCTGCACCGATCCCTTGTTAGACTTGAGCCCAAACAGCCGCCGTGCGAGTGCACCTGCAAGCACAAGGTCCTGCCCCGATCTGTTTCAGCGACCTTCACAGTAAGTCAGTAAGGCTGAATCTGCTGAGCACAGAAGCTGCGTTTATTGCACGTGGTCCACATGGCTGAGAGTGCGCCTTGATGGCAGATCTTGCTGCGGGCTGTGCCGCAGCACTAGAGAGACTGCTTGCCGTGCAGTCCTGTTGAATTCTACTGCACCCCGCACGCATCCAGGGCAAACACGATGATCTACTGAGTCATGTCATTCCAATTTTAGAGTTCACAGCAGTGTGCACAGTGATCGATAATCCAGACACATTTGATAACTGACTAACTAAATTACCTACATTGAACTGCACTTTGAAGACGTGTATCAGACATGTATCCTCTGCATTCCGGATGACGCGGCGGCAGGTGCGATGTCCAAGATTCTATGAAACCCACCCCTGCCAATGATCACTCTGGCTGATACGTCGGACAGCGACATCTCCACTAAACCAGGATTGCAAACTACGGCAAGACAAAGCGCCGCGAATTTCTCGATGTTCCGTCAACCCCTTAACATCCTTATGGCAGGGTATCATGCATGACAGGCCGGCTTTCGCCTCATAAGGCCTGTTCCGCAAACGAACCCGTCGATGCCGCTCTATACAACCTGCCCGCACATGCCACGCGAGAGCAACTGTGGATTCTCCCGACTCACCGAGCCTCCAGACAACGAAGTGTTGCAGCCTCAGATGGCAGGGAAGTATCGAGGCAAATGAGGAAGGAGCAACAAACCGATGACTCGGAAGGGCAAATTTCACAAGAGTGTGAACATTGGTCAGCGTGATTTCGGGAGTCGGAAAAGCGAAGCGGACGAACCATTGATGCAACCTCCGAGATTCTGCATGCTGAGCTGAACCTTTCATGCAAACCTACCTTTTCGCCACAACTCCGGTGACTTGTTGAAGCATTGGCACCGTGGATGATCGTGGATGCCATCGTTTACATCTACGAGACTGATGGAGAGTGAATGCAACTGCTCTGCACGACACTTAGGAGCTTGCTGGCCGAAGAGCTGAAGACGTGTCTTGCACGGTGGCTTCATAGTGCAATTCTGCGTAGAAGAGCACGCAAATTGGAGTATCGCTGCTGGCTGGAGAAGAGCGGACAGGATCCACTTGAAAGTCTGCCTCCTCTCTGTCCGAGATGACACGTACGGGCCGCTTGTAATGCTCGGCTATGGCGATCAAGGTAACATGATCACCCCACCGGAAGGGGTCGCTCATGCCTATCAAATAGTCTTCCAGCGAGCCCTCTACGAATTCTTCAAATTCTGCCGGATGCTGACGTATGTACGCAACCGCATTGCGTCGAACCGCCATTGCATCTTCACCGACGGCCGTGGAGACTGCATGGAACTGACACGCACCGTCGCTCGGAGTTGGCTGGCGGCGCAAACCTAGCTGCTGCAAAATCCGCTGCTGCGAAGCTGTCAGCACAGGCAACTCCGACTCCATATCCCGAAGACCTGGAACTGCAGATGAAACGGACTGTTGCCCGCTCCTGCTGGTGCCTGTACAGGGGCATGCATGATGATCATGAACAGCTGTGCACTGTGCGGACCAAGCCATACTTGTCTTCTCTGGGTACCTCTGAGGCACGGACTGTCGCAAGCCATCTCCTGCCCATCATCACTCGAGTCTGCCAACTCCTCGGCCTTGGTCTCAAGATGTCTCAAGCTTTCGGTCAGCAGTTGAACTTCTCTTTCAACAGCTATCGGTGGCAGTCCTTCTTCATCTTCTTCACTTTCGCTGGTCGCTTTGCGGCGCCGACACCAACATTCGCCCGTCGCCAAACCGAGGGCTTGACCATGCCACTCCTTCGCAGGTGTGAGGGATCGGCAGGTTTGCGTTACTGTAGGCTTGGGGGATCGCAGAAGCATTTATTCATCAATTAGCAACTTACTAGAATCCGGCTCGACAAAAGACCAAGGCTCGAAATTCCTGGGTCCGCAAAGCAGGCCAGGACAGTTTTCGTCGGCGCCAGATACGGCTCCCGCACCTGCCGCCAGCACTCACCTTGGTACCGGTGCTGACATCGCTCAAATCATCGAGAGGCCGAACAGTGACGGCACAAAATCCATACTAGCGGTCTTCAGCGAATCGGACTCACTGCGAAAGCGACGACTCGAGGACAGTTGTTATGAGCGTTTTTGACGTCGAAGCAACAAAACAAGGGATAGAAGTCATGCCGTGATGCGCAACAGTTGCGTTCGAATACAGCCAAAACGATTCTACTTCTCTGATTACGCTGCGACGTACGAGTCCGAACTTTCTCCTGCCGAGTTGCAGCACTTTTTGAAGGCTGCTATGGTGTGACCTGGCTCCCAGTCGTTCCAGTGCCACAAAGACGACGGAACTGGCTCGTCCTCAGCGCAGTCAAGAACGGAGCCTCATGCTGCCGCATATAACAGTGTCCAAAAAGCTGTGCCATGTCAATGTGCTCTGAACACGCGAGGTCCCGCTGGCCGGGCTCTGCATCCGTGACTGAGCAAGTGCCCCATCCCGAACTGGACTTCAGAGGCCCCTGAACCATGTTGAAAGTGGACGGATCCCGAAAAACAGCTCCGAGTCTCCGCATACCGCTCTGCGACGCCACTGCACACTGCTGACAGCTCCTGCACTCGCGCAACTCATATGCAGCTAAAGAACGATTAAGTTGTCCCTTTCCACGCCGGTGCCTACTCCATAAGCCACAAAAATCATTGGCAGCCATACTGATACAGTGACTGTACAGTTTTTGAGACTCGTCAGAGGAGGGTTCATATCTTCTGTCCAGTTTATCACGTTCAGACTGCGCGGCTGCTCACAACTACAAAACCTGGCCATACTTGCGACGTGCTATACATGGTTGGATGCTGTCGAGCTCTCCTCAACAACGTCCATGCCCACCACCATCTGGGCAAGCATCGGCGGCTGTCGATAGTCGCAGTTGTGAGGTCGACGTGTGGCCAGCGGCTTCTCACAGCTCAGGTACAACACCCGCGACATCAGTCGGCATATACAGAGCAAGACCTGGAGAACGCTTTGGAGTCATGGCAGCATCGTTTGGGCATGACACCAGGCGACGAACCGAGGCACAACATCAGCAAACTCGGCTCCTACATTTCCCACGTTATCAGCATCCTGGAAGACGTTTGCACTTCATGGACCATTCAGACAGCAACTGGCCTCTGGGTGGGCATTTCGGAGCGCATCCAGCCAAACATCCAATTCGGCGGGCAAGTCTGCTGCGTCCGTGCATTCGTCCTGCGAGGCGACCAGCTGCGTGATTAAAACGAAGCTCAGAGGTGCGTGGCAATGCTCTCTCTAGCATGATGCCCCGTTGGACAGCAAGCCGTCCTGTGCATCCCGAAACTGAACGCTTACTCCCTGCGTCATGGCCAACAGATCCCGAGAAAGCAGGTGCAGTGCCGTGAGGGCACGCAGTGGGACATCTGCAATCTCCTGCATGTTGGCCTGGGATCGCAAATGTCTTTGCTGGTGGCTTCGAACGGCGGTTCAGCGCACAAACTATTCCGCAAATCATCATAAGGAGCCTGTCAAGCGGCAATCCGCATCAAGGCATCTGGGTGAGATTGTGACGTCTTGTTGGGAAACGAGCTTTCGGCTATCGTGTACACCTCCGCAAACTGACGCAGCGTCATGTCTCCTCGAATGATACCGTCCATGTGACGAGCACCCAGGAGCAAAGCGATCAAGTCGCCGGTGATTTGGCTGACTTCCGAGGCTTTGGCTGAGTTCCTGAAAAAGGAGGCCTCCAATTCTTCCGCGCGGTGGACACCCAAGGCATTATTCAATGACACCTGCGGAGCAAGTCGCCGGCAGTCAGCCTTTATGCGGTTCAAGATTCGAACGTCCACGTTTCCATGGTAGATGCGGTATGGGAAGTCTTCAATGTCGGCTTGCAACTCTTTGTGATCCTGCCCAAGGTGCGTGGCAAAAAGAAGGTTTGCTGAATGTGGCTTCTGAGTCTTATAAGGTCTCGGCCTACACAAACATAGCAACCGTTCTGGACGTCATCTTTGATCCGCGCCTGGCTGCGGACTTGGAGCGGCCGGCGGCCTGCAACCAGCCTCAAAGCCAGGTCCTGTTCCATCGCCTGGAAATCGTAGCGGCCCCGAGCTCGAGCATCTGCCGACCAAGGGTGCTGATAGAACCGTTCCAGCAGGCTGTTGACTTGAAAGTCCAATTGCAGCTTCTTTTCTGGGAACGGCTCGTCTGTAGGTGTGAGCTGCTCCTCCTCCTGCGCGGCGCATGCGTCTTGAAGTTGCGCGGGCAGGACGAGCAAGTCTGGCACCGTTGCATGTTGCAGGAGGAGGATCGACGGCTCCCCGCTCTCCGCACAGCATGTGCCCTCCGTGCCTTCGCTGCCGTCAGCAGTGCAGAGAAACTTTTCTGCATTGTGCAGCCTAGCCTGGATGTGGGAAGAACCGGGCCCCTGTAAGTAGGTCTTCACCTCGGCCAACACCTTGTTATGATTCAAAGCCAGCTCATGCAGACCAACTGCTGCACAGTGTTCCGCCGGATCAGGATAGCCCCCGACGGTCAGATCCCCGAACTGTAAAGGCTCCGGCTCGCAAATCGGGCAAGCAAGCGCAAGTGGAGAACTCAAGGACCATTTAGGAAGGGTGAGGCGACCGCACCCATCCTGTATGTTGCCAGCTGACAGCGCTGCATTCCATGCTGCCTCACAATCGCGGTAGAGAGCCCAAGCTCGTTGCTGCTCCGGTCCCCTCGCCTGCTTTTCAAGCCAGTCCCTCATCGTGATGGTTCTGGCCTCCCGCATGGTAATGCGCCCACCCTCTTTCTCACGGACAAGGCGCATGAAAGGCAAAATCCACGCAAGGCTGGCTGCCCGCGCCAGCTCATTCCGAACGGGCCAAGAGCCTTCCTCCCCTCTACCGGCCATGACCAATCGCAGAATCACCAAAGAAGTGCCCTCGCCGCTCTTGACCAGTTCCTCGTAGGTGGTCTCAGCATCTGGGCAGATAGGTGGCCTGAGCACATGGGGAAGCAAGGAGGCCCGCACGTGGTCGTTCATCTGATCCCATGCCTCACTCGGAGGTGCTCTTCGGGCCAGCAGGTCTGTGGAGAGCACCATTGTTGGGTCTCGGGCCTGGCCTGCAAGTCTGCGCAAGGCCTGGACGCCCGGCAGGGAAAAGCCACCCGAGCTGTTCTCGACTCCGAGGACCGGCAAGACTACGTTCGCATCAAACCATGCCTCGTACGCATCCCGCCCTGCAGGGCTTGTGCAGTCCACTGCAGCTGGCTGGGCCAGCTCAGCCTCCCCCAACTTGTGGAGGATGGCGTGCACGAATAGAGCGGCGACCTGGCTCCACAGGTGAAATCCCTGCCCCTACTCCTATGCTGAGCACGCCCGTTCCCTGCCTCAACGGTGCTGTTGAACTGCTTGGCGAGGGCGGCGAGATCTGCTTCGACGTTCGCCATGAAATACCACACGGTGTCGTCTTGATCCCGAACCTCAATTTCTGGGGTGAACATCTTGCTGTGTGAGTCTATGCACCACCTGTGAAACCCGAATCATAACGCAGACACGTGGCAGGGTTCATCATGGCCACGCGGTGCAGGTGTTCCTGCAAGAGGTGCACCAGTCTTTCCTGATCCTGGGCCCATTCCATGCCGACACCGATGAGTGCGCTGGCGTGGACCAGAAGGTGGAGCACTCGGAAGGTCACAGGTCGCAGGCCGGACCCGGGTGGTGGCGGCTTGCCAAAGGGCTGGTTCCAATCCTGTCGAACAGTCTCCGTCATGAGCGACTGAGCCACACTTGCGCGGGTCGTGCGCTTGACAGAGATGCTCTCGTCTGCCTCTGTGAGGGCAAACAGCCCAGGCCGAGGTGCCGGATACTGGACAGCTGCAGGAAAGTCCCTCGACATGTCTGCATAAATGGGTGGCCAGCCGATCCCATGTGGCGGCTGAGTTGCCACAATGGCGACCAGCCTTTGCCCAGGACAAAACTTGTGCCCTTGACCGCCATTGCTTCGGGTACAAGCACCTTGGCCCTCTGAGATGTTCGGGCTCGGACAGGGGCCAAAGGATGCGGGGGCAGCGCAGGCCCCGTAACAGTATCGGTATCCGCAGTCGCACTGTGCCCAGGCAATGTTAGCATTGGGTGGCAGCCCGTGTTTGTGCAGTCCCGCGTATCTCAAGGCGTGCCAAAAGCTGTCGGGAAGTCCTGGCCAAAAATTGGTTCCCAAGGCCTGCTGGTCCAAGGTCAGGAAAGCACGGAAAGGCTCGAGGGCCAGCGGTATCGGACCGGTGCAGACACTTCGATGGGCAGCTCCCAAGAAGCACAGGACGTGGGCAATCACGGAACTCCGCCACGGTGCCTGATTTGACGGATCCATGTCGAGCAAGTCACGATTCCAGTCGAAGTTCTCCTGCACGGTGTCGTCCTCTGCAGTGGCTGCCAAAAGAACCGCTGCTGGGCCCAGTGCTTCCTGGGGAAGTCGATTGCAGACGGCATAGGCCTGGTCAGCACTCGCTTCATCTGCTGCGGAGCGCTGCATGCATGCCACCTCCCCAGCTGCGCGCATGCACTGCACCAGCCCTCGGAAGTCGTTTTTCATCTGCGCACAAAGGGCACTGAACCGGGCCGCAGCCGCCTCAGCTGTTGCTGAATTCCCCAGGTCCTGCAAGGCCACGAGGAGAGCTTGAACGAAATCTTCCCGATTTCCCGGCAGCAGAACGGAAAGGCCCAGCGCGTTGGAGGATTCCAGCGCTTCAGCCTGGCATCTGGTCAGAAAGCGGTGTAGCTCGCAGTCGTCCGCCTTCTCAGCGATGACTTCAAAGAGCTGGCGCACGACCATGCCTGTTGGGATTGAGTTGGCTCGGAAGCTTGCTGCCACCACGTACAGAGAAGCAAGCGGGGCTGGGAGCTCTGCGGCCCAAACGCCATCACCGTGAAACGTGCAGAGCTGAACAGGTGTCACTGAACAGTCTCGACCCACCGGCATCTGCAGGAGCTGCACCAGGTGGGTCACAAGGCCATCCACCCCGTCCTCATCCCGGTTCTCCACCAATGCAGCACTGCCTGCCACCAAGCCCCGCACAAACACAAGGGCAATGAGGCTCTGCGAGGGGGAAAGCTTTACAGCTTTCAGAGCATCCTGGGCTGACCGGAAAGCCTTCTCCAGCATTTCACACGCCCACCGCCTGGCTTGCGGCTTCGGATTTTGCAGCGCATGGCTCACAAGGCATGAGATGACGGAGCTCAGTTGCGAAGTTGTGGACAAGGCATCCGCCAAGCAGGCCACCAATGGGGTGTCCCATCCGGGCCCCGCAGCTGGTGGAGGCAAATGCTCGTCTAGAAGGGTCATCATACCGCCTGCCGACTCCCTGCACTCGCCTGTGCCGTCCATCAACAGTGCAAACTCCTGCAGCACCGTTTGGCAGACACCTTCCACTCTACTCCACTTGATGGAAGTTGGCCAGGAAGCCTGAATCACGTGCCTCATCAGATAGCCTGCCATCTGCTGGAGATATGTCTTGCTGCCTTCCAAATCCTGGAAGCTGTAGTCAAAGCGGCGTATGGCCGAACACAAAATAGTGATGATTGAAGTGTGTTCATCCACACCTGCTTGGGCCCCACTGCTGATCAATCCCAAGTAGTAGCAGGTGCCCACAAGTGCAACTCGGGGTGGAACATCCTCCAAGCGCACCAGCTCCGCCAGAACGGCCATGAGGTGCCCCTCGCCTGCTTGCCTGAAGGGGTTCACGTCTGCTCTTCTTGACTCAAAGAAACAGAACTCTAACGCCTGCTGCACTCACGTCGTGTGAGCCATTGCGCCTCATGTGCTCCCAAATGGTCTCGATGATCTCTGCGGACTTGCCCGGGAAGGATGCCAGCATGTAGGAAGTGACTGCAGTCCTGGAAGCTTCTCAGTTGAAGCGAAAGCCGGACCAAGACGGCATGTTTCACTGCGATCAGCGAAGGGCACAGCTCAACCAAGGCGACTGACTGTCTCGACCAGTAACGTCTGTAAACACCAAGGAATCAAGCAACACAGACCTCCCATGACATCGAGACGAAGAGGGACAATTCACAAACTATTCACAAACACACTACTGTACTGGAAGCATTCTTCGGTCAGAAGACAGACTTCACGACACTTCCCCCACTCGCTTAGTCGGCCAGCCAGACTAACTTCTGAAACTTCTGGCGAGGTGTTGAAGCATTAAGGCACAACCAGCTGATCTCGTACAAGGATGTCCTGAGAAGATCCGGGCAGTGTGCAACACCAGCAAACTGCTCCACCAAGACGGAAAGCTGTGCCAGCAACTGCAGCCCTTCAGAGACATCTTCCGCGGCCCTGAGGCTGTCATCAATACACGCTTGAAGCACTGCCGCATGATGCTGCAGAGCTCCGCCAACTCCCCTCAGCTGAAGCTTTGCCCACGTGATCGAGGATGGAAGGGGGAGGCAAAAAGGCATCCAAATATCTTGCCACTGTTCCTGTGCCCCTCGCTCGGATGGAAAGCGCACATGCAAGCTCGCCACATGCTCTGAAATGGGTAGAAGCAGGCTGGCAGCGACTGCAGGCCACAATGCTACAAGTGCACACGAGTCGTCTTCCTGCTCCGCACCAGGCCTGAATGCCAGTAAGTGCGCTGTGACTGCGCAGACCCAAACATGGAGGTGAACTCGCACTGGTTCGAACACGCTGTGTCCGGGCCATTCTGCCAAGCTCGCACAAGCGCGAGATGCAACCTCGGCGACCACATCCTCACCCAGAAGGCCGATGAAGCTTGAATCCACGCACCTTCCACTTTCCTGTAAAGCCCTCCAAAGCGGTTCTGGTAAACAGCGCTCCATCAACTGGGCAAGCCTGTCCGCCCGATCGAGCACGGCTAGAAGAAAATCCTCTTGTTGCTGCACCTGCTTCCGCTGTGCAAACAGCATTTGCATCAAGCGCGCGCTCCCCGGCATTCTCAAAGCCCAGACTTCGGCATGCTGCTGCACGGCCAAGGTGATCTCTGTCAGGTTGCCTGCCTCGGCTCTCGAGGCCTGGTTGAGCAAGGACTCGGCTACCGGCTGCCACCACGTCTTCTGAATGTCATGGGCATCCAGGTCCGGGCAGCTGGTGTGCAGGCTATGCTGCCATGCGGCCTCCAAGACTGGACCCACCTCAGGGCAAAGCAGAAGTGGGGGGGTAGTGGCAGCGAAAGTCTCTGACTCAGACTGTTGCAATGCTTAAACCAGTGCTACTGGCCTTGTCATCTCGCCGTAGGTGAGAGAGCAGTGCCAGCTGAAAAGGGCCTGTGCGCCGGAGAAGAGTGACATCTCCACACACTTTGCCGCGCCAATGGACCTGCAACTCAGAACAGCTGCGACGTGGGAATCTGCAAGGGTTTGTACATTCACTGTGGTCTTGCGGCCATCCACCGTGTCGAACACCCCGCTTCAGAGGCACGGTTTCCCATCTTTTTTCTCATCCCTCCTTCCTGCAAGTGTCCATACTGTCGCAGTCCTGTGACAGCCCCGCCCTCGTTTCACCGACATTTCAAGCATGTCTTTTGAAGCTGTTAGCTGCTTTTCCTGAGGGTACTTTGCATCAAGCCATAAGAGGAGACTGCAAAACACGTGACACAAGTGCTGTGGTGTTTTCACAAGCATGGTAGAAGTGAGTTGAGTTGGGGAGTGACTGACAAAAGCTGAGATGGCACCGCTTCGTGCAGATACTGCAGGAGTTGGAAGTAACTGTCATGCGAGAATTACCTGAGCTCTACAACCATATCCCTGAGCCTGCTCTTGAGAAAGCTCTGCAGCAAGCACTGTACGAATAGATCGGACAAGAGCCGGCTTGTTGTTGATGGCGCGCATGAGGCTCTGGATGATTGAGAAACTATCGGCCAGTTGCGCTCCGTGGCAGAAGCTTGGCACAACGTGGGGCAATGCATCTGCCAGTATCAGGCGGAAGCGGTCCGTGTCCTCATCCTCCAGGCCGAAGATCTCTTGAATACTTCCGTACGCCAGCGTCTCTGGCTTCATGCCCCATGGTAGGAGGTGAGAGAAATGATCGACAGCTGCACCTGTCCAAGGATGCATCTTGACCTTTGAGTCTCTGCCTTGGGCGTCCACCGGACCTGCCAGCAAGAACGGTCGCATGCAAAGATCAGGACTGCCTCTGAAACCATGGACAACGAGAGCCAACACATGGACTGCTGAATGGAGATCGGCGTTCTCGCCGTGCAAGATGGATGCATCTACTCGGTTCCGCAGCTCACGTGCCACCCACTCCATTTGGAAACGGAGGTAATCCACGATGTCTGCTGCATCATCTTGCTTCATGCTAAGATGGACGTGCAGAACTGACAGCACCCCATCTTGATCAAAGGCCTGCTCCACCTTGTCCAGATGCTGCTTGGCGGCATCCTGAAACATTCCTTGGGACACGGTCTCCTGCATCTGGATTTCGGTGAACACTATTTTGTCGTCCTCGATGAAAGGCACCGCTTCGAGTTCCAGCCTCTGGTTGATGGCGCTAAAGGTGGGGACCAGCATGGGCAGGATGGCGTGGACGGAGTTCTCGTTGTTCTTTCCAAACTCCTCCCATGTCCTCTGGAGCAGCTCGCCGAAGTGCGTGCTGGGGACGCTCGACAACTTGCCTTGTGCACTTCGATCCGTGGAGCACTCGAGCGAGAGAAGTGGAAACAACAACTCGTCCTTCTGCTCCGTGCTGCTTCGACCTTTTGGATCAGACGGGTCGGCTTGGCCAGTGCAACGCATGTCAGCCGACAGGGATATCATGTCAAACAGGCACGTCAAGTCCGGCTGCGCAGGATCCATCGGGCAAGCGGCCATCACATCCGTGGGCACCAAGGGCTGCGGCGTGCTTTCCACACAGGCGAGGCGTGGGCAGACCTCGGCGACATGCTCCTCCCACTCGAGCAACGTGTTCTTCGAGGGGAGCAGATCTGACAAGCACACCTCAGCTTTGCACAATGACAAGCACTTCTGCTCTGACGGACAAGGCGCTAGCAGCGCACCGTGCGAGCATCGGGCATCTCTGAGTCTCCAGCCTCAAGCTTTGCAAAGCGGTTCAGCAGCGCAGGCTCGTATTCGGCAGCTCGCTCGGGTGTCACCACAAGAACCGCTTTGAATTGCTCAGCGACAGCGCAGCGAGGATTGCAGAAACCCTCTCGTGCAATTCGGCAGTACCTCTGGCCGTCACCGCCAGCCCGACAATAGTTCGAATTGAATACATCGTACAAGGCTGCATAGATTATGCTCAGATTTTGCAAGATCAGCAGTCGCTTTTCTTGTGCCATGCTGACGATCGCAGCTTGAATCATACTCTGCGCATACATGTCTGTACTCAGTCGATCGTGCTCCAACGGACTTCCCACGAGACTCTCGGGATTCCAATTGGCAACAGCACGGGCACGCTGCTCTATCCAAGCAATCAGCGGAACAGGCGAGTCTGTAATCACCATGAGGTGGCGTCCATCCACATCGCCCAACAACGAATCTAGCCGATTGACCGTGCTGGTGACCTCAGGCAGAACCTTTGCGAGTGGCGGTACAAAGACACCTGCATCTGCATCCAGGCTGTCTTTCATGATATTGAGTGTATGCACAATCTGGCCGCCTTCGTCCAACTGCCTGCTGTTTCCACTGAAATTGTTGTAAACAGCCATCTGCAAGGCCCAATCAGCTGGAACGAACTTCAGCTCCCGCTCCCAACACAGTTTCACAAGCTGTGTTGCTTCTTTGCTTAACGTGTCAGACACGGCCTGCCTAAGTGCACCCGGCGCTGTCTCCTTGGAGACGAGCTCCATGGCATCGTCGGCTGCCAAAAGAAGACGTGCAGCGTAGGAGCACATGCCGTACCAGTCTCGGAGACCATGAAAATCACTCGGCTGCTGGTTCTGAAGAATCCCCATGAAGGCCCGTGAGATGTGCTCCAAGTTGGCCTCCAGCTGGCGTCGGATCTGGGTGTCGTGGGCCAGGTATGCCCGGATAATGGCCAGGGCGATCTCTTGCAGATCTGACTCTGAGGCTGGCGGGCATGCCACGGTAAGGGCCCTTGACATTTTGGACCTGTCAAGCTCCCAGTTGCTGATTGCGATGACGGACACGGCTTCCTCCGGCTTCCGCGGCTCCAGCCGAGAGTGAAGTACCTTGAGCGGGTTGTGGGGACTCTGCTCAGCAAGGCCTACCTCATCTAGCAAGACCAACGCCAGAGGCCGCGTTCGCCGCTTCAACTTCCGGAGCTTCTCTTGCTGCTTCAGCGCGCGGTCAAAAACTTGCAGCAAGGAGCTGGACGTCGACTGACGGCTCCCCTGGTATGGCTGCACGCTGAAGCTCGCCAAGTGTTTCAGCTCGTCGGAATGGGGGTCTGTCAGAGCGCTAACAAGCAGCGAAGCTGTCAGCGATTTGGAACATCCAGGCTTGCCAAGGATGAAGATGGGAGTCCTTGTCATCGAGCAGATCAGAGCGGCATGAACGTTCTCCCTCAAGGCCCGGATCTTGGCGATGTTGTCCGGCACGTTGATAGCGTTCAGCCAGTACTCCTCCTCTTCGCGCACCACGCTTTGCCACACCTCGAGGCGGCCCAGTTCGTCATCGATGTGGACACCCAAGTGCCCCTGCAAGCAGTCACCAAGCTTCGAATCTGCAAGAAGAGATGCCACGAGTTGCTGGCGCAGCTCCAGGTTCGGGAGCTTCAGCTCGTAGCAGAGATGGATGGCAAGTATCAAAGACTTGAGATCCTGCTTCTCCACCTCCTCCAACTTCCGGCCTCTGTGCTGCCACTCCCAACGGATGAAGGCCCACAGCCTGAGCAGACGGGTTGGGTCTCGCAAGGATGCAGTCAGTGCCAGCCTCTCTCGGTAGAAAGCATGCACCACCCGCACGCAGCGAGCCACGATCTTGCACATTCGCTCTTTTACTAGCGGAGGCTTGAGCGGCCGGTCATTCGCGTCCAGCACGCTCGGGCTTTGCGCTGCCATGGTTTCCACATATTGAGCTTCCGTCTCAGCATCGAGCTGGCCGAAGGAAGAAAGGTGCCCAAACAGACTCTCAGGAAGTGGGTGCACGCGGTAGGCCAGCCCGGACAGCCGGTCTTCAGCCGCGGGGGGGCTGTCGAAGCCAGCAGACATCGCCTGGTTCTGCGCAAAGCGCCACGGGTTGCAAGCTGCAACAAATCTGACTGATTTGTGTATGGATCGGCCGGTACTGGGATTTACCCGGTCCACAATGATTTGCTTGAAAAGTGGTTGATGGGGACACGTGTTCAGCTCATCCCAGAACTGAATCACCATCTGATTCCTGCCTTGCTGGGCCATGACCTCCGCCTTATTCAAAACTGCGACGATCTCCTCGACCGAAGTGCCTGCATGTACTGAATGCTCGTTCAGCTTGCCAGCCCCAAGCAGTTGAGCCGTGAGTCGCAGGAGCACCTCGGAGAAACCGATAAACCTAGCTTTCAAAAGTTGTGGACTCCCTACTGCATCATGTCTCATCCTAACTGCAAGCTAGGGCACCGTCTTCCCGCAGCCAGCCTCGCCCATCAGTATGCAAGGAAGGCCAGCACGGAGGCGCTCCGCGATGTCCACGAGCTTGATCATGTTGTCGGGGGTCAGCACGAACCCCTTAAAAGCCTCGGAAAGCTGAGCATCGGACATGCCGTGGTCAGACATCACTTGAAGCAGCAGCTCTTTCATCTCCGTTTGGCTTGAACTCGCCAAATTCACAGGCAGTGGCTGAATCGTGTGGCTTCTGCCTCTCTTTCCAATTCCGAGCATCCGGAGCACGGCCTGGTTGTACACGTCCCACAGCTTCCGAAGCGCTTCAGGCACCTCACTCCGGCTGCCAACCAAACGGAGTGAATCTCCCGAGTTGAAAGCCCAAGCCGCAGTCGCAGCGCAGCGAACATCCATAATTCGGCCAGCCATGGCCTCTTGCAAAGCCAAGGCCTCACTGTTCCGGTTAATTTGCTGTCGCAAGGCAAGCTCGTCACGCGAGTGCTTCTCTTGCTCCTCTGCAGCAGCAGACCGAAGGCAAACACCGGCCGCCATGCGGATCATCTCATCCAGGACCGGAAGAAAGACGCGTGGGGCATCCACGTTGCGAATCTCATCAAACGTGATTTCAAAATTACGCAGTTGATTTGCCCACTTTTGCGTCCACTCTGCCAGAAAGCGGAGGAAGGTGAAAATGGTCGCCTTGGAGGGCATCGCAAAGTTGCCCACCCTTTGACTGTCGTGCGCCCTTCGCAGAGCTTCCTTTGCTGCGTGGACAACATCAGCAGCGCGTTCTTGCACCAGCTGTGCGTGATGGCCGCTCAACACACCGGATTCAGTCTGCTTGAAAACGACATCCTCCTCTGCGCTTCCGACTAGTCTTGTGCATCGAAGGTCGTTTACAAGCAAAGCTGATCCAGCCAGACTGAAATCTCGTGCCTGGTGTGATGCGAATGTTGGATCCAGGTCTGCCAAACCGAACTCGAAGGGGAGGTCGGGCGAAACGCAAAACTGCCCGGGCATAAGTTTCAGCAAGGGCACTGACAAGAGAGTCAAAGGGATTAACTCCGCAGCCTTTGCTTGTGGCCTCACCTTGATCGAGTTGGCCACCTCCAGGAACAGCCTTGTGCCAGATGAAAGCCGCGCCCACTCGGACGTCGAAGGATCATAGACTGAACCGAAGAGGAGGAGCTCGGAAACGAGCAGGTCAACGTTGACACCACCGCCCTCCTCGAAAGGGTGCAGCTCCAAATGCAAGCAGCGAGCACCGGTGTCAATGGCTTTCTTAAGCTCAAGCGCTGCCTGCCCACGACTTTGCGCACCGCCCCAGACCAAACTGGCATTGGAGGATCGATCCCATTCTGGGTGATTCATAATGTGATGTGTCTTGCCATTACCAGAAACATCCGATGAGACGACCATGTGCCAGCATAAGCATTTGCCAGCTTCTGAAAGTGTGCGCTTCAGAGTCGCATGAGTCAGGATCTTGATCAGCTGTTTCTTGCACAGGTCTTTCTCAAGTGTATCAATCATGGTCTTGGGTGCATGCCGTGTCAAAGTAAACACCAAGCGAACTTCCACATCTGCACCTCCGCCAGATTCCCGACGAGCGCCTGCACGTGCATATAGGGCATCAACTCTGTTGAGAAGCACCTGCCACACGTCAAGAGGAAGACGATCCACCTGCACACAGACACCGACCACCTCAGATTGAAGACCGTTGGTCCGCGCCGAACAGGTCGCATGAGAGACACTATGCAGGAACCGGAGCACGTCATCCTTCATGGTGGTGGCATCACAATGCAAAACATTCTCAGGGCCAGGACCCACACCAAGCGAGAGCATTGCAGAAAGGAGGGTGATAGAGGCTGTGCTTTGGATGATTGACCCAGCCTTTTCATGGGATTCCTCCTCTTGGATCAGGAGGACTCGCCTCGGGTAGATCTGAGCATTTAACCGCCGCGAGATCCGGCTCTTCTGGGTGGCATCATCTGCTAAACGTCTTTGCGGGTACCGCCTGGCTACCTGATGCAAGGGCGGGAGCTGCGCAACAGACTCCTCCTCAACGAAGACTCTCAGGCACTTCGCAAGTTCAGACAGGAAGCGAACATGAGCTCTATCGTCCGGCACATGCCGCTGGCTCTCTGCAAACAGATCCTGCAGATGTTGGTTCCCGATTCCATGCAGCACTTTTGGAGCACGGATGGCAACAGAAACCAGCGAGGAAAGTCGGGTCCACTCACCATCTATGATCGCCGCCGCAAGCTTGACTACGTTTCTTGCTGGAACGCAGCTCATGAGCGGGCACTCGGCGCGCACGGACTCCAGAGCATGGTGCCACTGCATGACTGCATCCCGTGCCCATTTCAGCCTGTCATCCAGCTCACAGAGCGTTCTCCTGGTAAGCCCTTCTCCCGTCGAAGGGAACCTCAGAGTTTGTCCTGCGCGGCTGTGTGGATGGCCAGTCTGCAGCAGTTCCACCAGTTCTTGGCGCAAGCCGATGGCACGTTCCACACAGCTTGTGAAAATGTGCACCCGCTCCGAGTCGTTCTTACCGCCTAGTGGCATGGTGAGCCTAGCCTTGTCTGCACACTCGGTGAGTTGATGCATGTCCCGACAAATCTGCTGTCCATTGAAGTCAAAGAAAGCCGTGATCTCGAGGCTCTGCGAATCTTCGCTGGCCTTGAGCAACAGTTGCCCAGAACTCATCAGCCCGTGGACGGTGTTCCTAACAGCTGTGGCATCATCATCATTCTCCTGCAGCTTGTGCTGAACAACCTGACCCTGCCGCAAAGCGGATCGCAGGTTCTCGAGGATCTCTGGGAATCTCGCTCCCAAGCGGGAATGAGCCTCCTTGAGCATTCTGAACGCCAGCTCTCCGAGGCCGTAGATGCTGCGCGTCTGCAGCGCAGTGTCTTGTATCGCTTCTGACCAGTATGTCGCGACAGTCTGCCGAAACCGGCACGAATCCACATCTTGGTCCATGACACGCAGAGCTCCGATACACAAGGGCATGAAAAAGATCGCCGCCTGTTCGACTGTGTCCAGGATGTCTGGAGTTAGGGCTCCCTCCACCAGCTCCGCCAGCCTGGTGCCCAGCTGCTCCTTCTTGTTGGCGCTCTCTGCAAGCAGCCCGAAGAAGGCCCGGCCTGGAACCGCCGCCATGGCTTGCACGAGACGGTCAACCATTTCAAAGCCATCCCCCTGTGTTTGTCTTTGGGATAGAAACCAGAAGAGCTCCTGCGTTCGTCCCACAGCATCTTCAACTTGGCCCCAGTCTTCTTGGCTCAGAGCAACCTCTTCATCGTCATGTACTCTGAGACATGCATCATGCAGTGACTGCAAGCTGCTCTCTTGCTGAAGCCAGCTCTCGGGGAAACCTGATTGAATCGGCCCGCCCTTGACGGCAGGAGCCCCGCACATGGCAACTTGCACTTCTCTGCAGCGCCTCCAGAACGAAGCTGTCTGCTTCCCGTGCAAAATGGCCTCAATCCGCCTCGCAGCTCTCCTGTAGTCGTTGGACAAGCTTGACGAGGTCAAAGCGAGATCCCGGAAGACATTCTCAACTGCTGATACTGCTACACAACTCCAGTGCTTCTCGACACAGGAGAGCATTCTAGTTGGAAGTCCACCCTCATGGTCGTCGCCCAACCGGAGAAGTCTCTGCAGAATCTCCGCGAACCTGGAATGAAGAAGCAGAAGGTACGGAATAATCTGAAGCGATGCTGCCTCAATCTCCGATTCGACTTCTTGAAGAATTGAGGTCAACGGCCTGTGTGCACCGGACCTCGCCAAATGCAGCAAATTCACAGCATCCACAAACGATTGGAAGCTTGGGTTGGCTGTGCCAGCGCTCAAGCCCAGCTGGCCTCCATCAAGCTCCTGCATCCAGTTGCACTTCAGATCGCCAAGGGCAACATCGAGTTCGTTGACAGGGCAGATGTCCAAGGTGAGCTGGGTCGTCCGTTGCAGGAACAACTTGCGCAGCAAGTTTGAAGAGTCTATAGCAGCCTTGCGCCGCCTCGGAAACAGACGCAGCAACTGCGGCCCAACGGCGTCTTCAAACTTCAACATGAACTCCACCTGCGGTCACAGGCTCACAGGCTGGATAGTGATTAGTAGTAGAAAGTAGTAGAATGAATTCATGCCTATGCTGGTTTGGTGTTCCTTTGGCTGCAACTCGAAGGCAGGCTTGGTGTAGACTTGACTGAACAAGATTCACCCATTTCCCGGAGGCGCCTTGCTGAAAGTATCCTCTAGGTGCTCCCTGCCCACAGGATTCCCAGCTGCCTGAAGCAAATCAGCCAGCGCACTCGCCCTCCATCTTTCAGGGGGAGCCATGGCCAGCATCCCCTGCAACGTCAGGCTGGACGTGGCAAGCTGATCGGAAAGGCTTTGCAGAGCAGCATGGATCGGGGGCGACAAGTGTGGCAGCTCATGGAGGCTCGCTGCTGCTAGGAAGTCCGTCCAAATGTGAGGATGCCGCACTAGCATTTCAAGCCTTACTGATCCAGAACCTTGCGTGTTGAGATCAACATCCCATTCGAAACGAAAGCCGGGGCAAAATCGCGGCAGGTTGATCACCGGCTCCTGTGATGGTTCGCCAGATGCACGTGCGAGAATGTAGCGCAAGATTAGCTCAACAATGCATCGCATGTGGCTCTCAGAGGCCAAGGTAACCCAGTGCGTGGTGGTCTCCCAGGTGGCCGGCATCGAGGTCAAAGCAAGCTGCAGGTGCAGCACGCAGAAGGCCCGGCAGGCTTCTACACGCATGTGCTGGGGATCCACAAACTTGAGCAACAGCACAACCCAGTCCTCGCGAGACAACTCGGTGGGACAACCCATGTGCCACAGTGACTTGAAGAGCACCCTCTGCAACATCACGGACAGTTGGGTTGAGAACAAGACGCGCAAAGCATACCTGATGAACTGCTCCGGGGTCTTCGCACCAGACACTGCACTCAAGGCGACTTCCGCCACCTGTTGCCTCCACTTCACCCACTCATCCCCTGATTGCAAGGCCAGATCCTTAGCTCACGGCCACCATGACAGCATCCATGAAGTACAACTGTCGCACACTTGGACATTGTTGGAACAATGGCTGGTCAGCTCATTGAATCTGTACGGCACTAGAGGCATGGAAAGCTCTTCATCTGCCTGTCTTTACAACAGCATTTGCATCAACTAAGGCCGCGTCTATGCTTTCATCAAGCAAGGCTGCCAAGCACAACCAGTTGCAGGTGCCCTGAAAACTTTGCAGATCCATATCAGCGACGATGGCAGCATCGGCTGTCAAGGCTATGGCCATTAGCCGACAGGAAAGCATCTGGGGTCTCTCGAGCAGGTTGCTGAAATCCGGAAGGCGTGGCCGAGCACACTGTTTCCAAGCAGAGGCCAGCTGCTGCACCACTTTACCGTGAAAGTCCCGGTCCGAGTTGATGTGCTCCAACTTGTTAAGAAACTCCTGAAGTGCTTTGGGGATCTCCGACCAATCGCTCTGCGTCTTCAGAATTCGATCCATGGCCTCCTCGACACCAGCACAGCCGCATGCCCTCTCAAGGACACCTCTGTCAATTCCACTACTCTTGCTTAAGCGCCGCAATGCTTCATCGGCAGCTGCAAACACCTCTGCTACCACCTTTGCACTGCCAAGGTGCAGCTTCAGCATCAACTCGACATTTCGTGGCAGAGCATGCTCGCAAACAATACTTTCCCAATCTATGGGTGTGAATCGGAAGCTGTTGGAGCAGTGTGTAAGTTCTACCTCGTGTGTCGAGAGGTCTTCTGCACTTCTCGCCAAGAGCTGCGCCGTTGCCTGCTTCCAGCAGCATCGTGGCTTGGAGGCGGCATCTGCCAGAACAGCATGCAGGGCTAGTCGAGCAACACGCATGTTCTGGTAGCCATTGAAGGGCGGCTGGCGCCAATCCGCGATAGCAGTCATGACATGGGTACGCAAACTCCAGTCGAACTCTCCAAGGTGTCCTTTCGAGTCTAAGTCAAGCTCTGCCGCCCAGAGGACATAGGTCAGCAGCTCCGGCTTTTGGGAAAAGCTTAGCACTTGCACAAGCGCCTTTGCAAGGCTCTTTTCGACGGGAAACCTGTCTCGTGCATGAGATGAATGCTCACAAGAGATTCCCTGCACACTCTGAACCGCTTCGCTGACATGTTTTGCTGCTCCATCGAGGTCTTGCACCCCGGATAACGTATCAGCTGCCAGTAGAAGTGCCAAGATGAACTCAACATCCTCATTTTGGAGATTTGGCTTGCCGTATACAATGTATTGAGTCTGGGACGGGGGAGCATGCTGAAGTACACGATTGTTCTCCCCATCCCATTCCCAATTCAGCACCGTGGACACAACATTCAACACACGATTCACAACTCCCGTTGTCGGATGATGTGCCAGCTTGAAGAGGTACGCCTGGTGAGTCTCGTCTGCAGCTGAAAAAGAAGTTGTATAGATCCACATGTTCTTGCGTGAAAGCATCTTGAGCTGGCTGCCTGACAAACTCTCTTTCGGCAGAGGTTTCAGCCAAGACATGCCGCACCATTCGTTCAGAAACGAGCCCTTAAGTACATAGCTGTCGTGGTGCTCCAATACTGGAGCTATCACTCGAAGATATACCCCACCCTCCGTCTCTGTTGACATTGATTCCTCCCACAAGATCTGCTTCTTGTCCAAATAGATTGGAAGAAAGTAGTCGCCCACCTGAACCCAATCCTGATGGACTTGGACTCCATGTACAGACGAACCCCAGGGCACGATCGGGACGTTGTTCGCCTTGGCCTGCATGTCCATGCATTTGCGATATCTGATGCCGTTGGAATTCTGATTTTGCTTCAGTAAGTGCCAAGTCGAAGGATGCTTGCCACGTGCCGAGCTCAATTCACCTTCTCCGTTCATCCCTATCTTGAAGAGCACCTGCTTGCCCTGCAAGTGCGTTGGAAGATAATGCCCAGAGGAAGTCTGTATAAAGTCGCCGGTACCAGTCGGGGTACCCATGACCTCAGCGCCAACCCTTGCAAAAGGAATGTATCTGCAAGCAATCGCAGCTGCTTCGAGAACATTCAGTGGTGATGGGGCGCAGACAATAGCTCCCGTGTACTTCACCCGCGCAAGATAGGATTGGTGGATCACAGGGTAGTCATACGCTGGCATGCTCTTCTGGCTGCCACTGATCTCTCGGGGAATTCGCACCTGGGGTCGTCACAAGCGAAACACAGCACCTGAACCAAGAACTCAAAGGCAACAAAGTCCAATAAATGTCGTTGTCTGTTTAGTGCAGCCAGCAGGCTTCATACTTCACCAGCCCATCCGCAGGAGGCATCCTGCTGGACTGCCAAGGTTGAGAGTTCTGACTTCCAGTGCTGTGTGAAGGCTTTGCATTCAATCTATTCCATGTAGTCTATGCCGTGTGCACGAGGCCCCGACACCACAAGTCTTTCGGAGTCACCACTGGAACGAGAGATGCGGAGACTCTAACACAGAACTTGAGCAAGATTGTCTGCAGACGGAACAAAGGTCAAAGCCTGCATAAATCTGCTCGACGGCAGCCAACTGCAAAGGCAGCCGAACTGTTGACTGCTGTGAAGCATGCTGAGGCATGTCAAATAAAGATGTCACCATCTGAATGGCACCAGCACCTTGGTATTACACCCGTTGCGCGGTGGACGGCATGATCTGTTGTTTCACTACACCGACCGCAAGCTACAACTCTGTACAGGCGAGTGCAGTCCTGCATCTTGCTCGAAAACAACAGGGCACCACGTGCACCGGTGTGCACCCAGGCTGCTCCCGCAAGACCAGTCTGCATCTCGACGCGAACGGGCTAGCTTTCACTGCCCCCGCCAGCCGTCGCCAATGTCCTGGACGTGCCTCGGCAAGACCTCAGGGACACAGCGGCAAGCGTCGCGAGCACTCCTTGTGAGAAGAAGTGATGCAATTATGATGTTGGATTAGAGTCATCAACTCGCAACCACACAGGTCAGACTGCCGCAATTGCTCAAGAACCATGTCTGTCTATCGCCAGCCGGCAAAGCTGAAAGCTCATGTACCAACATCAATGCTTCAACTTCCATCTGCAAGCAGGAAATTGGCCCCCTGGTTTGCGTACCCTAAAATCGAACAAGTTCTTTGCTGCAATGCTTGGTCGGAGCTACTGGTAGTGAACCTTCTCACATTGAGCCGGGTTTGTGCCCGTGGTTTGATGCCCCCCCGAATGCTGCAGGCGCACTTGATCGTGGCTGACATTCTGAGAAACCCACCTCCCCACTGAACCACGCAGCGTCCAGCAACCTCGTCAGCAGACACTGCCATCACCCCTTTCCACATGAAGCACCAGCATGAACGATACTTGCCACGCGGGCACGCAATGAAACATAAAGTGTCATCACTGTCGTTTGGAAGTCACAGGGCTCGCACCCACCCCGGGCATGAACTTCCAACAGCCTCTGCCTGAAATACTGCGATCATCGGCAGAGATTCGACTGTTGACTGTTTCCTACTGGTGGTGACTCGGAATGGTTTTGAATCATGGGCGATATGATGCGCCGATACGACTTATGGTGTGGTTGAGGTTATCTGCAAGCTAGTGGCCGGCGAAAGCACATGATCCTCCTAGAAACACGAGACGTTCCTGGAAGCCGACAGTAATCACATGTGCTCACGTTCGACGGGCCTTTCTTCCTCCAGTATGCGGGACTGCTCCTCTTCCTCCGAAGCTCCATGCTAGGGGTTTGCTGTGTTGCCATCTGACGGGTGGGCCGCATGGGTCCAGAAACAGTTAGGAGGCGGTCGGTCCTTGAGCTTCTGAAGCTGCCACTCAGCCTCTTCTCTCCCCACCTCAGCCTGCAGGCAAGTGTAAGAGTGTTCGTCCATGGGCCGTCTGTTTTCAGGTTCAGGGGGCTGAAGGGGCTTCAGCTAATTCACGACAGGGTGGGTCAAGGACGTCATTCGGGACGGCTTGGGAAATCCCTGCGTTGGGATTGCGCTCAAAATTCCAGATGATCTGTCTGACTTGGACTTCACTGGACTTCCTCTTCACGGTGGCCTCGGCAGGCACCAAAACCTGATCACGCCTCAACACCTTTGTCACTCTTTCACAAGGCAACCACCCAGAACACAGAATCCTCAACACTCAGAGTCCGTAAGAGCCTCCCGCAGCTCCCGGCGTTTGGCCGCCAACTCCTCAGCCTTCTCGAAGCGGAAACTTCGGAACATCGGGGCTGGCACTCAGTGATGTGGTTTAGCTGCAGGATGTTTCACGACTCGGCCATGGGGCGACACCATGACTGGGCCAACTTGGAGCATTTCTTCCTCTCCCACGACCAGGATCGCGCCTCACGCTTGAAGGCCAGAAGTCGCATGCGCCTCCTCAGGCGGTCAACCATTCTTAAGAAAGACAACCCGGCCTCATTCCATGAAGACACAAGATGCGTAACCATGCCCTCTCAATCAATTAGCCTCGAATGCTCTGCTAGGCCCCGAGCTTTTGATCGCTGAGCTGCTCTAGTTTCGCCTGCTGGAACAGCCGAGAATGCGGTTCTCTCGTTGTTTTGGGGCCTGCACATGCACCTCGGCAGGGAGACTCGACACAGGGGGACCAAGCACCTTGTCTCAAACTCTCTCCCCCTGCCTCTTCGGCACAGGACTCCACGAACCGAGCTCGCCAGGCTGCTTCCTCTACCTCTCTGTCAAACAGACGTGCACGTTGCCTGCACCCCACTTGTCCCATCTCCACGACAGCAATTGCATTTTCCGCTCGATTCTTATCCAACTTCATCTTCTGAGGCATGGGAGAGGGTGAAGCAGAAGCACCGGGGCCTGCTCTTTCTGCCTGTTTTCCCGGAGGTTTCGGAGGCCGTCCTCCAACAAAGCACAGAAACGAGCGGGGAACCAACGGCACAGAGCCAAATGCAAACTGTGACGCCGATGTGCTCAGAACAGGGCTGCAAGCTTTGTGTTTGGCATTGCTTGAGCAACACAAAAGAAACGGTCCTCGGCGGCCTGCACGGCTTTGGTGCGGGCCTGGCACAACAATTCAGGAACCCAATTTATCTTGCCGGTGTGGATGAATGCAGCCTCGAGTCGACGTTCAAGAGTTCGCTCCTCGTTCCAATCTATCTGGTGACACTGTTCAGTGTCTGCCAAACAAGGCTTCAAGACTACCGACCCCGTGTCCTCCTCCCGACGCTGTGCTGCTGCTGCGGCCTCCTCCTCCAAAAGGCCATGCAACCTCAGATCGCCACGGCACACTCCGTTCTGTAGCTGTCCCTCTTGCTGTGGCTTTTCGTATCTCGAGGCCAGGGCAGCTGAAGACGCTCTTCGTCTTCTTGCCGCTGCGCCAGACAGGCCGCCACTCTTTCCAGCACCTTTGGAACGGAGCAGCAGCCCTGCGGAACTGTCTCGAAAGAGCCGGAGCTGTCGGAGCTGGGAGCTGGAGCCTGGGCTCGCGCGTGCTCCGCGGCGAGGCGCTCCTGGTCCGGGCCCGATCGGTGAATCGGGCGAAAGCAGGTCTTTCCTAACGAAAGTCAAGATGGGGTCAAGCAAGCCCGGGCGCCTGGGCTCTCGCAGCCCAAAAGCACGCCTGCGCACCTGAGCAATGGGCAACTGTGCAGCAAGCTTCAAACACCACTCTTACCTTGGCTCCTGTGCCTCGTTTGTCTTGCTCCTATGGGCAACTAGGACAGCCTTGCTGTGTTTTCTCGGGTTAAAAGATCTCATCTTCGCATCCGAGCGGCTCTGCTGCCTCTGTGCACGCTGTTTCGCAGCCTTCACAAACTGACCCGGCAGGCAGAATCAACATAAGGCGAGCATCCCTTGGCTAGCCAGAACTGACAGCTGCCGGCCTCTTCATTTCGGACCTGACCAATGCAATCATGCGAACGGTAAGCGGGTGCAGGTGATGCTCTGCGACGACCTGACTCTGAGACGAAATTGCTTCAACCAGACAGGGTGCCTCCTGTTCACGCAGCTGGGTTTGCTCCATCATGAGCCTGATTGTCACACGCTTTTTTGCTAGAATCTAGAATAGTCTTGGCCCTACGCAACAAATAACAGGCAAGCGCAGCGGCCTGTCCAAGGCCGCGCGCACCGCGGCCTGCAGCTTGCGCCTGCCGCATGCATGTCTTGCAAGACACAAGCCACAAGTAGCCTCAGGTGCATCCGATAGGGTGGTGCCTCCGGGTCTGTGTCTGCAGGTCCTGCGCAGGCGGTTAAGGACTGAAATGACTAGAGGTCAAGAAATCGCTTCTTTCCCTGCATGTGCAACAACTCTTCAGAAACCGAATGCCCCAAGATGCCACTTGCGTCTCTCCGACTGACCGTGAACAGGCACAAACCCAGTCCTGCTGCTGTGCCTTGTAAACAGCAGCTTGCACCATCATCTTGTCCTGGTGCTTCTCCTGGCGTTGCTTTGAGTGTCGTGCTCAACGATGCCGGCACATCCCTGCAAAGCACCTCGCCTTTGCAGCTTTCCGAGCTTGGTCGCGGGTCTTCCGCGCCACCTCTGCCTGGCAATGCCGTTCCCTTTTGCTCGACAATGGCACGAAGCAGCGTGGGCCTCGCCCTCCTTTTGCACCTGCACTGCGCCTGAAGTCCAAGAGCTGTTCCTTTTGATCAGTTGCCGCTGCTGCCTGAGTGCCAGACGAGCACGGCTCTCCGCGGCAAGGTGGGCACACGCCCGCTCTTGCGCTAGGAACTCGACCTCCAACGCAGGCAAACAGCTGCGAGCAAGCCGGAAGGTTGTGCTTTGGGAACGCTCTTCCGCTTTGCGTGAAACTGATCGGCTGTGTTGCGGCGGGGAGCGGGAAGGCAGCCTCGTCGGCAACTCTGGACACGTGCTCCTCCTGCTCGCGGGCCTCTTCCTCACGACTCTGCATGGCCCAAGTAGCTTCAGGCAGTGCGGCTACACTGACACGACACCACTGCTCACGCATCAAGGAGGTACCATGCAGACGGCGCAGTTATCATTTCCAACATGACTTAAGCCTTAATGAAAAGCGAGGCTCCACAACCACCCTCATGACTCATATCCACTCGCAGCTCTGGGTTACTAGAGGGTTCATACAGTGTCTGGAGCGTGGCCGCCGAAGACCAGTTCAGGTGACGGTGCGATGCAAGATCTTTCCCGCACATGACAACCCCGACAGATTGGGTCTCAACTGTCTCTCACGGCGGCCTCCACTTCTTTGCGCAGCACCTTGCGGCAACCCGACCATGCGTCTGCTTGGGCTAGTCGGCAAGTAGGTACCATGACCAGACCCAGAAGCATGAAGAAAGGTCGGAGTAAGTAAACGGAACTGGTTCGGAACGGCTGTCGCTGGTTGTGCACCGCAAAGGTACGACTTCAAACAAGGCTATACGACTTATATCATGTAACGGCTAGTTACTAGCATTGCCGATCATGTCATGGTTACTTCCCTTCTTGTTCCGCCTAGTAAATGTTCCGCTACTAGTATTATGGGTACACCAGTAGTTTCTACGAAGGTTACCCCCTACAGCTGGCACTTTAGGGCATTCCTTAAGCCATCGCCTGCAACTGCCTCAGCTGCTCAGCCTCCACCTCTTCATAGTGGCGCCTGGCGTACCGGCATAGGGCCACAAGAAGCAGAGCAAAGCCCACAATCGCGGCTCTCTCTGGGCTGTCGCCGCCTCGCCTCAGCTCGCGGAGCTCGGGAGCCTCCCAGGCCCGTCGGCGCCCGGCCTCCCTGGCTTGGACCTGGACACGACTTCAGCTTCGGGTCCTTCTGTACGAGTAAACAGAGAAAGACAGAGACGGAAAGAGTGCCATCTTCGTTAATGCAGTGATGAACTTTGCTAGGCTTCGGTTTCCTGCTGAGACCCCTGTCCGGAAACCCGAGCTGCGACTTTTTTCTCTCTGCTAGCTAGCTCTTTGGCGAGCCGTAGATGTCGTAGCGACGCTGCATAGAGAGCGGCATCTTGTTGCGGACATCCTTGCCGCGGGTCACTGCGTTCAAAGCTGCACATATCAAAGGCTGAAGCTGCCAAGGAGATCCCCTCAAGCTCGAGTCCTCGAGGGCATCGGGCTGCACCTCAACTACCTTTACACCGGAGGACGTGCCGTCGAACTCGGCCAGCACCTATGCAAACCAGGCCCTGTCGTCTCATCTCACTTCCCTCCCGCACTGTTCGTTCCTGACCCGACCGTACCCGACCCTCTTCGCCTTGCCCCAAGGGTCCACAGCCATGGCGTGTCCCCAGGACTGGCGTCGGTTGCCGTCCTCGTTGTGTAACCCCGCCTGGCGCCAGGCGGTCTCGCCCTTCGGAGCTGCCCGGTATTGCCGGGTTCTTGCGTTCCGAACGACTTGAGTTGAACTTTCGATCTGGTATGTCTGGTCACATCTGCCTGCGATTTGAGAAGTGGTTTACATGATTTGCATGCATTCCCCAGCATGCCTGTGCGGCAGCGATCACGTAGCACTGGCATTCCACTGCTCGTGTCCGCATGAGAAGCTCCCAGTGTGCTTCGCCCGTCGGCATGGAGAATGCCGAGGGGATGAGCAAAATTTCCTTATAGTGTCAGTGTAGGCGGGAGCAACACGCGAAATAGTCTCTCGTCAATGCTGCGATATTCACACGCTTAGTGCAAACCAGGCCACTGCTCCGTGTTCGAAGCGCAGCTGCTGGTACAGCTGCGGAAAGCGGACCTCGAGACATTTCCAGAGACACGGCACGTGGCGATGCGTTGCACTGAAGTGAAGCCCATGTGCGTCGTAGCAAACAGTCACGCCCAGCTTGCCGACGGCGCTGTCGCATGCGACCACTTCCGCCCCCGGCACGGTCTGTTTGGACTCCACCAATCCGGTGAATGGAGCATCGAAGAGGTGGATCTTGCCTGCAAAAGCCCGCCCCAGAGGTGCATGACAACTGTCCCTCGACAGGTGCACGCCAAGGAACGGTAAACCGACACCATCTCACCCTCAGAGTTGAGGATCACGTGAGTGTTTAAAATCTTGTTGTCCTCGGCGCCAAGAAGGCTCTAGGATACTACAACGACTGCACCACCCGAAACCTGAAGCTGGAGCGCTGCTCTGCTGCCACCAAGTCTCGGGTTCGCCCTCCACCTTCTCTTGGAAGCCTGCGGAAGGTTGCAGAGGTTTTGGGGTTTGGTGCTTCCTACACTTTTGCGTCAATCCAGACGCCTCCCAGCGACAGCCAGACCTGCTGCTCTTTGGCTAGGGCGGCGTAACCTTGGCATGCAAGTGAAACTCTGACACCGCGTCCCTTCTCCGAAGCTCTCGCGGCGCCCTGCTAGCCCCTGAAAGGCGAGTGGCGGCCCATGGTGGGCCCGGACAGCGGCTCCGCCGCCTCCTGCGCCTCCCGACAAAGAGGCGCAGAATATCGATATCTATATCTCGATTATTATATATATATACACGTATATTATATACATCTATATAAATATAAATATAAATATATATATATAAAGGTCTGGGATCGAGCGATCCGAAAGCGGACTAGCATTGCCCGGACTGCCCGGACCCCAGAACCCGGAATAGGCCCCACACAGGACAAGGTTCGCCATGAGCCTTGTGCGATGAGCTGCCAAGGGAGTGCCACGTGTGTCCGCGATGAGTTCTGGAGGATCGTGCTTGTCGCACTTTGCCATCCTGGTGACGACCATTGCGTACAAGATTGCAATTGCCCTGGCCAAGTGCACAGACGAGGGGAAGTCTGTCAAAGTCCAGTGGAAGACTGCGGAGGCGATGCAGATACAAGCTGATGCATTCGCTGCAGGCACCATCATGGTCCAGCGCACCCTCTTTTTGCTGTCGCTTGCGGCAAGCATTTGCCGCCACTTCATGCCGCATCACGTTGATCACTGTGTTTCCGTCCCTATCGGAATTACAGTGGTGCTGCTCATTGCCTCGGCTGTTTGGGTCCGGCCTACACGGAAGGAGAATGCGAATCCTTGCATCGGCAGCTCCCTGTGCGAGTTCTTGGGGGCGCTCGGTGCTGTGACGGCTTGTTCGTGCCTCCAAGCCGGTCACATCTACTTGAACCGAATCTTCCTCAAGGATAGAACTCCGGAAATGGCCTACAGCAGAAGTATATTCGTCAATGCAAGAGGTTATATCCCTCTTAAGCGTTTTCTGCGTCATCGGGTTTGACAACCAGGCAGACTCCGTCCAGAAGAGGGGATGGACTTGCGAGGTTTGTCATGACATCGGTCTTGACGTCGAGGATGTGACACGTTCCCTGAGTGTGGCCTCGACGGATGCTGACATATGCTGACTTAGCCAATGACTTAGCCACTGCGGGAGCCGGCTTGTGTCCAATCATTGCCGGCTTCGGCATGCCGGTTGGCATCTGTTGGGAGAAAGCGGCATTGTCATGCATAGCGGAAGACACGTGCATCGCCACTATGCTTTTCGCCAGTCATTACGACTGGCGCGAACGAAAATTCATGGACTGTGCTACCGCATAAAAACTACAGAACGACATTCGCTGCAGTTTCGTGCGAGTGGTCTGCACTGTTAGTTTGCTCTGCTTGCGTGTCTGCACATAGCTGTCACTGCACATGGCACGCATGTGAGTGGGCATGGTCCTTTTGAACCAACCATGTGGGGTTCGCGCCTTGTAGTTTGCCTCCCCTACCCCTGGAGGAATAGGAATAGGCTCAAGCTTTGAGCGTTAGGTAGCGTTTGTGCTTTCAGTGCGAGTGCCAGGCAATTGTAAAATGTGTAAATTGTGTCTGGCATGTCCCTATCAATGCCGGCAGCAGATGTCCCTTGTTGGCTCTAGTTTTGACTGTTTGAAGAGACGTGCATGGCCGAGACAGCTTTTGTACATGCTGGTTCCATCTTGGCATGCTTCCTCTTCTGCAGATTTCTGCTCCGCTCGGGTTTATTCCGGGCGAGTGCACACTGCTTCAACCCTGAATTCATTGCTAGGCGTGCGTCCCCTGGACCCTGAACGCTACGAAGAGAGACACATATACATATATATATATATATATATATATATATATATATATATATACATATATATATATATATAATGTACATATACAAACATGCAAGAGTCGCAGAGCTTCCCCCGCGCGCGCCTCGCCGGCCTTGGCCCCGATGAAGGCGAAGCACTCGGGCAGCGCCACGAGCTGGCAGCCCTTCGAGAGAACCACGGGGGCTAAGCTGCCGATTTTCGGTACACTCGGGAATCGCCGGTCCTGCGAAGCCGCCTCGGTCACCAGCTGCTTGCAGGTGTGGAAGTTGGCCTCCTTGTCGTTCCGCGCCGTCATTTGGCACAGGCCCACCTGGCTGGTGCAGTTCCCAGGATGTGGAGAACCCTCCCGACTTTCCATTTCCCGTTGCCTTGAAGGTCTTCTTCCCGGAGGTCGCTGCCTCACTTGGACTTGGACTCTTGGCAGTCCCTTTCTTAGATTCTTGGCCACGAAGCCCACTCAACACAACCTGCCAAGCGTCAGCCATGGCGGCTGCACACCCGCGGGCCAAGCGCAGCGCCGTGGCCACAAGCGGGCACCGGCCCCACAGCACTAGCTGAGCTGTGCGGGTGGGTAGCTTGCAGTTTCCTAATGTTTCCTGGCATTGCCCCTAAAGCGCCATCTTCCACTGCTTGCTTGACCTTGCAAACATGTATGAAGTTACCGCTCATGCGAATCCTTTGGCTGACGCTGGCTCAAGCCTTTCAAGCTGTTTGGAGAGCCATAGAGCATTAACAGTGGCTCAAGCTCCTTGAAGGACCTTCTTGGGTGTGACACGCATGACCCAGCCCATCATCATGACAAAGTATGGACCAACTGCATGTGGCTGAACCATGTCGTATGCAGCACGCCCCACCTCCTTTCGCTTCTCCTGCAGCAACGGAACTTGCTTCGGAGTCATGGCAGAAGTGGCAAAAGCTGGGCAGGCAACAAGACGGTGGCCGGTCACACCTCCTCCTCCGCTTCGGCTGCTTCACGGCTGGCGTTGGCCGCGCGGCGGGCGCTGCGCTCCTTGCGACTGCGGGTGGGGAGGGGCGAGCGGGGAGGTGCGGTTGGCAAAAGCGGCAGGCACCTCCGCGAGCCTCGCCTTCTCCTTCTCCGCTTCCAGAGCGCGAAGCTCGCCTGGAAGCAGGAGACCTGGCAGTCTGCTGTAATCGCTGTAATCCGTCGCAGGAGCACATGTTTCCAAGTCCATGGCCTTCCCGTCGACCTGGGACAAACAGCGTGGTGCTGGAGCCGGCAGAGCTTCGAAAAATCGATTCGAGTGCGGGACAGCTCCGGCCCGCATCCCTCACCTCTGAGACTCCGGCTCTTCAGCCCAGCAGCACGGCGCTCGAAGTCTGCTGCAGCGGAGAGCTGTGCCCAGTCCTGTTAGCAAATGCCTACTTGGACATCCTTTTTGCTTGCTTGATGCTGCTTGACACTCTTATTTGAAGCTCCCCTCTGTCCGCGTGGCCGGCTGCCGAAGCGCAGCGTGCCTCGCCCCTCACACCTGGGCTACATCCGTCATCCGAGCGCATATGCTCTGTCACACCACAACACAGGTTCTCACCTGTACTGCAAGCGGCGAAGACCTGCATTGCTGTGAAAGTGCTGCAAGCTGAGTCAATGTCGGAGTACGTGTGAAACACAAGTGCCTGATGTTCCATTCTTCGGAGGGTCGCCATGGCTCACCGCGGAAGCTCTCGCGCACCCTTCAAGCAGTGCAATTTGCCAAGTCCTCCACCAATCATCCCTAGGCAAGGACTTTTCTTTGCAGCTTCCCATTTACCTCCCGTGTTGACTTGTGGTCTAAGGCTGATCTTGCCTGCGAGTGCCACTGTTTGTCAACGGCAGGCGACCAACCACCCTCCCCAGGCACAAGCTGTCTTTTTGGCTTGGAGGGGCTGCATCCGCGTGCGCTCAACGTGCATCGTTGCCTGGCGGCGAATTCGGACTGGGTCCAGGATGATTGAGAGCATGGCTTTGCTGAGGCCGAGGCCTCACAGCCCAGCGAAGACTGGTGGCACCGGCATAACCTGGCTGCGTCATGTGAAAGGGAAAGCTCAGTCTAAGCCGAGTCTCTCTACACTTCCGCACCCATGCAGGCTGGCAACGGACACACTGTGCATTGCAGGGCTGACTCGCTGACCCTGAACCAAAGACCTGCGCTCACGACTCTGAGCCCGACCATGGCTCAACCGAACGCCGGTTCTGCCTCCTAGGTCGGCCTTGTTTCGTTTTCCGCGAAGCGGCCCCTCCTCTGAGCCGCGTGCGTGTATGCCCGGCGCCGGGGGAGCTAGCATTGGCCCGGTGGCCATCGGCAGGCCCTCAAGACTCAACAGCACTGTCGATGGAATGGTCCGAGATTTTTGCGAGGCTCCCGCAGCTACTGCACCTGGCGGCAGCCGGAGCAATGTCTGAGCCTCGTGGCCGACGATTGGACTCCCTGATGCCGCAAGAAGTGTGCTCGACGTGCTCGGTGCCCTGCGGCGCTGTGCACGAAGTCCTGCGGATTCCGGATCTCCTGGCATCGGAACACCCGGCCTCGGCCCAAACCCCCCGAAGCTTCGGAGGCCTCCGGCCCTCCCTTGGCATCCATGTCCCAAAGGATGGCGAGCCTGACCAAAGCCCCCTGCATGGAGCACCGCTTCGCACTAGTGAAGAACAGAGGCTCTGGCGCAAACTGCGGCGGCAGGTTCATGAGAGAGCCACGACAGATGCCATCCAACTGCCAGGCAGCTATCTCGCATGCATGAATGCTGCCCTGAAACATCAGTCTCGCAAGCTCACGATGGAAACCTCGATACAAGTACCCTAGATTACGTGCGCCTGTGGGAAACGCTCGAGCATCTGCTGCACCTCGGGCTTCCACCACTTCGAAGATGCAAGACACTCGAGACCAGCACGAAATGGCAATAGTAGTGGTGCAGCCACTCGATGAATCGTGCGTAGTAAACGTGAACCCTTGTTCCGCTTTCTGCCGCGTTACGCTCAGCCCATGTCCAGTTTCCCACTCCACAAGTAGCAACAAGAAGTTACAGAAGCGGCACTCCTCTGACTCTGTGCCAAGGGCCGGGCTGCTTGTGCAGATGGTGGTGGCCATTCCGCCAGGCCCACCGTGCGCTTCCTTTGGCTTCAGAAGGTTTGGGAATTTGGGGTTGCAGGGCTGTAGGGTTATTGAGTGTATCTTTTTGGTTGAGTTCGTTCGGGGTTCAAGAACCTCGGTCGGTTCGTCAGGGTCGACGGTGCGGCTGCACTCACTGACTATACAGGCTATACATCTTCGATTTGGAATCACATCAAGACCGAGTCTAAAAAGATACCAATGGGCCCCGTTCTGAGGCAGAAACGATGCCGATATGGGAACTGCGACGTCCGGAACTGGTGTCGCAACTGGCGCACGGACGATTGGAGGACAATTCCCTCAACCCTGAGTACACTCCGACAGCCGCTACCCGGACTCTGGCCCATCAACTCGACAAACACCTGCGAGGTCTCGGATCAGCGCTGTCCCGGGCGGAGGCGGCGGCGGCTTGAGGTTGGCCCTGCACGCGCCATGCGAACTGAACCATGCCGGTTATTGAACACGATGGTTGAAGTTCAGACGGATTCCTGATCGCGACATAGCGCGAGATCGTCTGGGCCCGCGACGGCGGCGCCCCGGGAGGCGGCGGTGGCTCCGTCCTTGAGTCGCGAGTGGAAGCTCGAAATGGAACGAACATAAACTCGTGAGCACGGGATCCCAAAGTCTCAGTTCACGACACGGCGGTCGCTGCCTAGCAGTCGGAAAACGGCCAAGAGCCCGGTTGATGCTGCGATTTACAGTGTACAGCTTAGCCAGAGAGTCGCTTGAACGAAAATCGATGAAGAAGCCAGCACTTAGGAAGAGCATTGTGACTGGTCTTATGGGGGCAGCTCCACCTGCGACGGCGGCGGCGGGGCCCTGGGACCAAGTCACTTCGGAGATACACCCTGCAAAAGCTGCTCCCGATTTTTGCTCCGGAACAGCATTGCGACTCGAAGACCGTGAAGGCGCACATGAACTGGAACCCCGTCAAAACGAATCTTTTCGTAAAGACCACTTCTCTCTTTTGTCTGTCATCGGCTCGTTCGGGGCTGTCTCTACGGCCTAGCAGCCTAGCAATACTCGGTAGCAGGGGGGCAGAACTCGTCGTCCACCAATACACGGATGGAATTCTCCTTGTTTGTGCTGCCACAGCGCGCCTGACAGGCATAGAAGTCTATCATGAAAGAGGGAATGGAAGATACCAGGTGCTTCCACTGCTAGCTGCCATTGCGACTAGCCCGTGTTCTGAAGTTTCCAGGATCAGGATGCGGATCTACAGGGTTTCAGGTCTTACAGAGAAGTTTCCAAACTTTTCGGCCGCGCCTCGCCGTTGGACATTTGGCAGTAGCCCTTGGCTTCGCCCTCGTTGTCGGTCATGCTGCAGCATTGTCAGATGTCTTGGATTCCCAGCGGCTCTGGCCCTCCAGGGCCGACACGCGACCCTGCAGGTCCCGGATCATCTTGAGCAGCTCCTTCAAACATCACAACTCAGTCGCGGGATACTTGGATTCCAACAAGCTGCCGCTACAGTAGCTGCCGGCTTCCGCCGCCCGCCTGGCTCATGTCCGAGTCTTCCTTCTGCAACTTTGCGGCATCTTCACGCACGGCACTACAGCGACCCAGCACCGGCAGGAAAAATGCTCTTCGCCCAGGCCGGTGCCGATGACAAGGAAACAGCCCATCGCCAGAGCAGCAAGCACCCGGCCGACCATCAGGAGTGTCACATTCTCCCCTGCAGGGATGGCAGCATGGGCAAATGCTTGCAGCAAGCAGGAGAGGAAGAGGAGCACCACGAAGATGAAGAACATCCAAGTCGCGAGGCCTTGCGGCTGTGACAAGGGCCGAAAGCTGCGTGCGAACAAGAAAACTGTCATCGCTCCCAGCGTGAGGGTGGAGAGGCCCAGGCCGATCATGTTGCCCATAAGCTGTCCCGCATTCTCGTAAGGATTCAATATGAATTCACCGGGCCGACTTCCCGGGCAGCGCTGCCTGGCATCCATGCAAAAAGCGGCCTTCAAGGCCCTCCTCCCGGCTGCGCAACGGCGCTTCGAGCCAAGGGCACCAGCACGGAGCCACTTCCCCGAAGCTCCGAAGCACTCTCCCCCCTTTCCCAACATTTCCCACCCCCCCTCCCCGCCCCTCCAAAAAAAAAAAAAGGCCCCAGCCGGCCTCGAGGCCACCAGGAGGCCCAGCGCTTTCTGCAGCTCGGGCCCTGAGCCGAGCCGTAGAGGAAATTCGGTGATGAGCTGAAAGCCATGGGACCTAGTAAGTAAGGCTATACGTACCTTCACTGGGGTTATAAGTATAGTTATCCTGATTATATAAACCTGGTTACTAAGTCCAGAAAGTCAAAAAGTAGATCCCTTCATGGGGGTTCCTATACTATAAAGTACCCATAGTAGTATAGGGCTTGAAATTAGGGGATCTAAAATCTTAGGAAGCCTGTAAAACGAGAGGTTGGGCACTCTGGTCAGCTTTTGGCCTAACGTTGCTTCATCAGTTTAATCTCCGACTGGGACTTCGAAAGGAAGGATCGGTCAATGCAGGGCCTGGGCCCCCAGCCTTGCGACTCACAGCTCAATTTCTTGGAGCCCCAAGCACCCTGTTGGGTCAATCTGCTATAGGACACAGCAGTTGCACCCCTGCAGGCACTACCGAGGCTGCTTTTCGCGATGGATATCTTCACGCAGCCTGCATCATCTCTTGGAGACAATTGACTTCGACTGCTCCCGCTTGGGAATACCAAAGCAAAAAATGAACCTATCCGAAGAAGCTGGGACATCGGAAATTCAGCCGCTACTGCGGCACTTTTAGAATCACTGCAAGACTTCGTTTCCAGGCTAATCACGGATCCGCTTCGCGCTCTCAGAGCTGCGTCACGACCTTCAGGGCCACGGGCTCCCGCAGCGGGGGAAGCGCAGCCCTTGGCGAGAAGCGGAAAGGGACTACGAGAGGAGAGCAGAGAGAAGGCTTCGCAAGGTCTTCGAGGCGAGCTTCCGCGCTTCCAGCCTGGCCAGACTGCACCGGATGTCTGCCGTTTCCACGTTGAGGTGCTTGATCGCCTGAGCACTAAATGCAAGGGGCAGGAGATGGTTTGAGGTAGAAGGTAGAGGGCCTCTACAGAGTCAGGGTTCGAAGGCAGACTTGAACGATGGAAACTGCCACGTGAAAGCCGGAAGCCTGCCGCGTAAGCTTGTTCTCGTAGCTCATCATGGCAAACTGCAAGCTCTTGGCAGGCCCACACAACCTCAAGGCGTGCGAAGTGGCTGACACAGCTATCCTGCAGCTAGTGCGATCGAAGCTTCTTCATGCAGCCGGAGACAAACCTGAGTGTGCGCACATTGATCATTGACCTTGCTTCAACGCAAACCTGGTTCAAGCGAGCTGTCAAGACGAGGTGCTCTTCCAAATCAATGAGACCACTTCGATCAGCATCCATGATCCTTGAGATCGCGATGGTTTTCGAAGCACGAAAAGGAGCCTCGAAAGCCCTGTCGAGGGTGGGGCATGAAGAGCGTCCACACATCTTCCGTGGAGATCCCCATGGACTGCAGGAAGCTCGCCATCCTCAGGCTCCGGTGGATTCTGTGCTGCAAACTTCGAGTCTGCAGTGGCCAG